TACTCAATACCATATTGTCCTCAATTAAATGGTAAAGCCGAACGTTTAAATAGAACCTTAAATGAAAATATACGTTCATTGCTGTTTATGGCTGAAATGGAAAAAGAAATGTGGGGTGAAGCTCTTTATTGTAGCGTATATTTACTCAATAGACTACCAAGTGAGTCTATAAATAATAAAACTCCTTTCGAACTATGGAATGGAAAGCTACCAAATCTTTCGAATATTCGTGAATTTGGGTGTGATGCCTTCGCTAAAAAATTGCCATCAACTAAAAAATTGGAAACCAGAGCAATAAAATATAGGATGATCGGATATACAAATAACGGATACAGACTTTGGGACGACGTTAATAGAAAAGTTATAGTTGCGAGAGATATCACATTCGTAAGAAGAAATAGTAAAAATATAAACACCGAAATAATTACAAAACCAGAAACTATTAATGTAAAAGTCTATTCAAATAACCAAGATAATCAAATTAAAGAAGTAATACCACAAGAAGAAAAAGAGGCAGAGGAAAGAATTTTAGAAGAAACGGGACAAAAAGAGGCTGAAGAAACAATAATAACATCAAAAAGAACTAAAAAATTACCAGAAAAATACAAGGATTATGTTTTGCTTACTTACGAAGAAGCGTTGAAAAGTTCTGAAAAAGAACAATGGGAAAAGGCTATAGAAAGTGAACTGAATTCTTTAGAAGAAAATAATGTCTGGAAAATAGTAGATAAAACTGAGACCAAAGGACATAAAATACTTTCTAATAAATGGGTGTTCAGAATTAAAGAAAACGGAAAACATAAAGCCAGACTAGTAGTTAGAGGAAATGAACAACAAGAGGTAGATTATGATGATATATTTAGTCCAGTTGCATCTCAAAATGCTATTAAAACTTTGTTTGCTATAGCTGCAGCCAAGAACTACAAATTAATGACGTTCGATGTAAAAACAGCGTTTCTTAATGGAAATTTAAGGGAAGATGAGCAAGTTTTCATGAAAATTCCTAAGGGAGTACAATATGATTCAAAAAATAAAGTTTGTAAGTTATTGAAGTCATTATACGGACTTAGACAGTCTCCTAAAAGATGGTATGAAAAGTTCAATGAAAAAATAAAAGAATTAGGATTTAATCAATTAAAAAATGAGCCATGTATATATAAAAACCAAGATGCGTCAATTTTATTAGCTATTTATGTTGATGATGGAGTAGTAATTGGTAAAACAGAAGAATTAACACAATTGCTACGTAAATTGAATGAGAAATTTGAGATTACGTCTTATAATGAACCCTCTTTGTATCTAGGTATGGAGTTAAAAGTAAATGAAGTAGGTTGGCATTTGACTCAAACTGAATATACAAAAACACTTTTAAAAAAGTTTCATATGGATAAATGTAAACCAGTTCCCACACCCGTAGGAGAGGGTGAAATAGAGTCAGATCCATTTAGAGTACTATGGAGAAAAAAATCAAATTATCCTTATAGAGAAGCCGTAGGAAGTCTCTTGTATTTATCGACCAGAACTCGGCCAGATATAGCATTTGCTGTTAGTAAAGCTAGTAGGTGTATGGAGAATCCTGAAAAGAAGGATATAATTGCCATAAAAAGAATTTTTAGATATCTTTCTGGTACTTTAGAAGAAGGTTTGTGCTACAAATTCGGTTCAGATCTAAAACTTACCGCTTTCTGTGATTCAGATTATGCGAGCGATCTTAAAACAAGGCGTAGTACAACGGGCTATGTTTTAATGATGTCAGGTGGTCCTATTTCATGGTGCTCTAGACGACAGCCAATTGTATCGTTGTCTTCTACAGAAGCAGAATTTATATCTGCAGCTGAATGTTGTAAGGAGGCTATGTTTATAAAATCTCTTCTTAAAGATCTGAATATTGATATAAAACTTTCATTTCATATTGACAATCAGAGCGCTATTGCATTAATTAAAAATGGTGTGTTTAATAAGAGGTCCAAGCACATAGACGTTCGTTATCATTATATACACGAGTTGTATCAAAATAATGAATTTAGCATTACCTATTGTCCAACAGAAATACAAATTGCAGATATATTTACAAAAGCATTAAAAAAAATAAAATTTAACAAACATAAAAGTTTATTGATCTCAAGTATTTGCTAAGTTTGTTATTTAATATTGTTTTTTGTCATTATAGTAATGTTACTTCTTATATATAATAATACTTGTATTAAGTTGTGCTAATTCGTAAAAAGTTAAACTGTCATGTGAAAAGTGTGAGATTTATTGTAATAGTAAAATGTATGTTTATCTGTTATAATTTTCACGTAAACGTAAAAATTAGGAGAGGGTGAAAAAGAAATAGTTCTTAATTTGAATATAGTTCTTCTATTGTTTTTTTGCAGTTGTCTAAAATTGGTATCGAATATACGTTGATACGGAAATAATTCTTTATTGTATTATTTCGTAAAATCACAGTCTAATATCTATGATCAGGTAACACAGTATGAAGTTAGCCGTACAACAAGAGAAATAAAATTTGAATATGATTTAAACACAAACAGATATCTTTGTAACAATTCAGATATGTGTACATACTACTAAATGCATAGATAAGTTATAATAGGTACATTATTATTTCTTTACTACGAGAATGCTTTGCTGTTCGCGAATTGCTAAATTAAAACAAAACCGGTCAAATGTGAGTTGTATTCACACGCCGGTTGCGTACATAAAATAATCTGTAAATAGATTATATTTTACTTAGACAAAAAAAAATTGAATTATGTGTATAGGAAATTTTTACTTGGATATGTAGATATGAGATAAATAACCTTATTTTATTTTTATATGAAACAGACACTTTATAATAATTATTATAATTGTTAGTAGTAATTTCTTATTTTACGACATAGCCTAAATGTGGCTAAATGTGCCACACCATAATACATGAAGACAATACTGAAAATGAGATACAGATATCCCATAGCTGAGTTATATAGGGAAAGCAAAATTATTGGCCCATAGATCAGTATTGGGGTTCAGTAATTATGAAAGTTTATTAAAGAAACGAGTCTTTCAGTTACCATTGCCAGTGATTCGAACGGTTTTCGCTAAGCGTTTTAGCCTATGTATAAAATAACTCTACAATACAATAACTAAATCAATTAATATCATGAAGTGTTCTTTTGCTAAGGCCAGGATAAGGAGAAAGGAGTGGTTACAAAACCTGAATTACGATGAATACGAGAAACTGCTTCATACTACATGCTAATATAAGCCTCAAAGTTATAGAGTTTTTACCGGATATATTAATGTTATTATTGTATTGTGTTATTTGTAGTAATTCCATTATAATTATTATGTAAATGCACATAGTATGTATATATTTATATAGAATATATATTATATTTTTCACGTCATAATTCAATGTTTGAAGAAGTACTGAATCTTTATTACTTTCATCGTTATTTATATTAGATTTTTTTACAGTAGATCCAAATGTACTAAAATTGGGCATAATTATTGGTATCGGTTGACAATCTTCTCCAGTAAAGTGAAGATATCTTAGCAAATTTTATAAGTATAATTTTTTTTTCTGTTCTTTATGTTGTGGCGTATATATATATTGTATATATAACAAACCTTTATAAATACCTTTTGAATTTCTGTAGAAAAATAAATTTTAAATAACAGAGCGCATGCGAAGTTGCGCGCGCAGTATAAAATTTAGAAATTGTCATTCTTTTTAAAAAATATATAGACGTTTGAATATTGAATTAAATATTTTACTTATTCATTTCCCATAATGTTATTATTCAAAACATTTGTATTTCAATGTTTAATCTTGAAATCAAACTTGTTTTTTTTTAATGGATGATAATAGAATGGTAGCCACGCCTGCGCTAACACTGACGGGGCACCAGTGATGATAGGTGACGATGAAAGTGACGAATTCCACTACGATTAACCACGACGACTTTCAGGAATAACCGCGCGGAGGTCGACCTGACAAGATGTATTGGTAACAATAGGTCAACTAGACCCCATTACTAACAATCCTTTCCCCCCAATACTTATATACTGATAACAAATGTTTGAAAATGTAAATAAGGAAGTGAGTAAACAATATTAACTTATATGTAATGAAATATTTATGACTGAAGAGTACACATATTATTGGAAGAGTCATAACATAACACTGTGTGATAATTATTATTCTTCTTCTTTTTGGCCTTAGCACCGACTTCAAACAGATTATTTCCTTTCAATTAAAATCTAATATTAGTGGGAGGGAGCCTTTGTACAAGTCATTTGCTTAGACACCTCTGTCTCATTTGTGTTTCTACCGTGAAGCAGTTGTGTTTGCATGGCTGTGTTTTGATTTGAAGGGTGGGATATGGCAGTGAATTTACAGGGTACAGAGAAATAACATCTGAGTCCTCAGGAATGGCAACGCATGGCCTCGTTTGCTAGTTTAGTTGTTTAGTTACTTATTTACATAAAAAAGAAATTAGTTTATTTAGTTTTTGTTATTTTTTTTTAAATAAGTTCAATTTTTTTGGTGATAATCGATATATATATATATATATATATATATATATATATATATATATATATATATATATATATATATATGTATGTATATATAAGTTTTATAAATGTTTTTTTTATTAATTTCCACTACAATATATGTGTACAAATTTGAAATCGATATTATTAATAGAGCATTAGTAACAGAAACAAATACTATAGCCCTGTGTCCGAACGGACGAACGCATGGCATACGGACAAAATCCCACCTTTGTCCATTTTAACGCGAAACCTTGACGACGCATTTATAACACGCACGCAATAAACTTTAAACCTGTTGCTGAATAGCGGACCAATAACTCAATTGCATTTGACTTTGACTATATTTACTCTTTTTGTGTGTAATCGTCTGGCACACCGTACTCCATTACTGCATGCATACAAACAACTGATCAACTGAAACAACCAACATTATAGCATCATAGAAGGTACAGTTCAGACGTACGCTGCGTCCACAGACTGACAGTGTTCGAAACGATTGCGTTGTTGATTGTGGTGTTTTTTGTTGTGACTTTTGTGAAACTGTTTGTAAAAAATTATTAACTGTTAATTATTTTGTGATTAAGGTTGATTACAACTTATTTAAAAAAGTGTACAGGTAAGAAATAATTCAATATGCAAATTTTATTTTGCAATAGAAAAAAAAGTATATACGAGGTCTGTCCGGAAAGTTCGTATAAAAGTGTTCTGGAATGCGAGAAAGAGGAGTGGGGAGGCCAGGTAAGCGCAGGACCCCTTCCTTATGTCCCTAACAATGCTTCAGTTCTGGTCTGACCGCCGTGCGGTGCGAACTGGCTTGTCACGCCATCTGTGAAGTTACCTCTTAACGAAACCCCGTCGGCATGGAGCCCGCTTCCGTTGAAGAGCAGCGCGTCGTAATCAAGTTTCTCTCGAAACTCGGCAAGAATGGCCGTGAAATTTTTGCCGATCTAATTCGATAAGACATCCGGGGAACCACGAACAAAAAAATCAAGAAAATCCCGCTCAAATGTCAAGACAATGTTGATTGTTTTTTTCGATGTTCGGGGGATTGTCCATATTCGTCCCTCCAGGCCAGACAGTTGATGGAAAATTCTACGTCGATGTGCTCAGACGCCTCAAAGCTCGTGTGGCACGAGTTCGTCCAGAATTGGCGCGAGAGGGGCGTTGGATTCTTCACCACGACAATGCCCCTGCCCACACCTCTCTTGTTGTCCGTGAGTTTTTGAGTAAAAATTCCATTACGGTGACCGAACACCCCCCCTATGCGCCGGATTTGGCCCCGTGTGACTTCTTCTTGTTCCCAAAAACCAAATTGGTACTTCGGGGGCGGCATTTGGGGGACATAAATGAGATAAAAAAAGCTACGACGGGGCAGCTGAGAAACCTACAACCAGAGGACTTTCAAGGAGCCTTCTCACAGTGGAAACGGCGTTGGCACAAGTGCATTATGTCACAGGGGGAGTACTTTGAAGGGGATAAAATTGATTTACCTGAATAATTGTAAAATAAAATTTTTAAAAAACTTTTATACGTACTTTCCGGACAAACCTCGTAAATTAACGACAAAATAAATTACCCACAAAATTAATAAGTATTTAGTCGTAAATATTAACTACCAATAATACACAAATAATATCTACACACAAAATTATTGTTATAGCCTTGAGGTTTCCAGAATAATATTTTTTTATATTTCTATAACAATTCTGACCAAATTCAGCAGCAGTTAATTCTCTGAATGAACTAATATTACGATTAATAGTAGCGATACATATATAAATATTATTATTAAAGGTATCTCACTCGTTTATAAATGCTTAGCTTAAAAATTAAATATGAATAAATAATTAATGATATTGTTAATTTTTTTTTATACAACTTAGAATAGCAAACAAGCTGACGGCCCACCTGATGGAAAGTGGTAACCGTCGCCTATAGACATGGGCAGTACCATGGACATAACAGAGTATACTGTTTCGCCCATGATACCCTCCCATGCGTTGCCATTGCTGAGAACTCAGATGTTATTCCTCTATACCCTGTAAATTCACGCCATATCCCACCCTTCAAAACGATACACAGCCATGCAAACATAACTGCTTTACGGTTGAAACACGAATGGGACAGTGGTACCCAAGCAAACGACTTTTGTACGAAGTCTCTCTCTGGTAAAATAATAAAATAATTAATAAGTTTAAAAAATGCAAATAATTAAATAATAAACGGACTGTTTTAAACTCCTTCAGAATAGGTACTTACTTGTTTTTTATAGATTCTAATAGAATGATGACCCCGCCTGTGCTGTCGGTATACACTGGCGGGGCAGCAGTGAGGGATGATTGGTGAAAATGAAAAGTCAGGTCAGTTAGCCCATCGTTACAAATTCAACGGTAAATTAGTTACGATACTTTCCAGGGGGAACCGCGTGGAGATCGACCTGTTATATATATATAACAGTTCCGTCAACAAAAATCTCCGTTGAACGTGTTCATTATGACCTCTTTTTCTCCTCAACCGATAAAGAACGACTTATTTCGTTTGGAAATCATTAAGCTTTATGACTAAACTTTCGCTTCAATTGGCTACATGTTATCGGAGGAAAGGGATTGTTAGTAATGCGGACTACCATTTCCATTGATAGCAATATACCCTGTAAGGTCGACCCCCACGTGGTTACCCCTGGAAACCATCATGCTAAATTCCTGATGTACTTATTACAATAGACTAACTGAACTGCTTTTTCATCCCTCACTGGTGCCCTGCCAGCGTATAGGTACTGTTTTTTTTTTATACAACATAGAATGGCAAACAAGCTGACGGCCCACCTGATGTAAAGTGGTAACCGTCGCCTATAGACATGAGCAGTACCATGGACATAACAGAGTATACTGTTTCGCCCATGATACCCCCCATGCGTTACCATTTCTGAGGACTCAGGTGTTATTCCTCTGTACCCAGTAAATTCACGCCATATCCCACCCTTCAAACCGATACACAGCCATGCAAACACAACTGCTTCACGGTTGAAACACGAATGGGACAGAGGTACCCAAGCAATCGACTTTTGCACAAAGTCTCCCTCTGGTTTTCTTTTAATAGGTGATTAGGGAATGGTTACCCCGCCTGCGCTATCAATATACACTAGCGGGGTACCAGTGAAACATAATAGGTGAGGATGGAGTAGGTCAATTAGCCCATCGTTGATCAATTGACCTGATATTGCTAGCAATGGGGCTGTAAAACCGCATTACTAACGATTCCTTTCCCCACAGCGTATACCATTAACACGGGCGGAGTTACAATTCCATCGTCATCAATTTAAAAAAAAGATCACATGTCAGTTGCAACTTGGATTAACTGCGGTTTAACCAGAAGTCCACTTCCCTTATTTTAGAAGTTCCCTTATTTTAGAAACTAAACCGATGGTTTTTAGACATGACAAAATGTACTGTTACCGCCCATAGTTTCTTTTACACTACATCCTAAAAAAAAGGCTATGGCGATGAATATCCCCGTCAATGCTTATTTCTACCTGCGTTTATTCGCCACATGGGGCATATAAAAAGCTGGTGGTCGTGGAATCGTCTTGGGACCGTGGGAGTCTCCCAGTGAATTCATAGTGTTGTATTGTGGTAGTTATACCAAGTATATTTCAATTAGTAGTGATAATAGGATCACGATATTGTAAACCTAACACTAATTCTGCTAGTGCTGACTCAGTTCAAAGCATAGAACTTATTATTAATTGATTATTATTGTTTTATATTTATTTGAATAGTTTAAGCAACTTGTCTATTGTTAATTACCAAACATTATAGATATTGCAACCACGTGTTTCATTTCTAAAAGTACTATTTATAAAAAAAATCCATACAGCAAAAAAGAAGCGGGTGTTATGGGGCAGGGTTTTAACACAGTTGGTGTTTTTGAAATGACTAGACTCGTAGAGTATTCTGAATTGAACTATTTTTATTATTACAAATCGTCCATATATATAGTAGAGATATCTTAATTACTATTTACAATTACAATAGTCAAATACTTCCATTGAAAGAGTGACAACAAATACAGATAATAACTTACTAATGGAAACTTGGATGAGATAGACAAATATACAAATATGAATATTAAACAATATAATGATTTCGATATCAAATGGACAAATACAAATATACAAATAGGAATGTCAAATATTATAATGATTAGGTCGTAGGCTGACTCATGGTCTTAGGTCACGTACTCTTAATATATGTAACACGGGTTATCAATTTTATGTTGTATTTTTTACTTCATTATGCAGTATTTTTGCAAATTCTAGGTCGATTATGATAATTCTTTTTGCAAGCAATAGAATTTTCCGTAAATTCATGAATGTTTCTGGTATTAGATTTTTATTATTTTCTCAATCCTTGCAAATATAAATAAGTACATATAACTTATTTTTTTTAAATGAATTTCTTTTCAATGAATCGTGGCCGCAAATCAAAGTCACTGTTAAAAACTAATATTCTATAAACACATCAAAGAAACTTAAACAAGACCTTTGCTGAATTAACAAAAAAATTTTTTTGTTCATTTATGCTCGAGTACTATTAGTGGACATAATTGCACAAAAACAGGCCTAGACTCGATCACTATTTGGAAAAATGAACTTTAGTATGGGGTAATGTGTTGTTGTAAAACTTTTCTTTGTTAATTAAAACTTAACTAATATCATAAAGAAGAGAAATTTTACTTGTAATAGAGAAGTTCAAAAATACTTAACTGATTTAAAAAATCCTTACCAAAAACATTGATTTTGCAACGATTTTATAATTTATTTATCGTAACAAAGACTTATTAGTCATAGCATAACAGTCATAACATAACAATGAGCACCCACGAGGTTTCTTAGAAACCGACGCCTCTGATTCAAAATAAAAAGTTCTATTATATTCATTATTAAGCCAATTTACACAGTTTTATCTTTTAAATACTCAATAACTGGATAAAAGCATTTTTAAGGAAAAATTAAACAACCTTGCTTTAAATCTTTTTATCAGAAGATCCTTTATTTCCGGATGAACCTTATTGTAGACTCGCCATTGAGTCGCTACATAGCAGCATTCAAATATTTCGCTTACGTTTTGCGGGGAATACCCCAACTGTATTGTATGAATCGATGAATGAATGAACTCTTTATTAATCCTTTCAAAGAATGATACAGATTGTAAAGATTAACAATATGTACACAAACAAAGTACTAAATTTATTATTATTATTTCAACCGTTAACTGTCTACTGCTGGACATAAGCCTTCCTCATAAGGGGAGTTTTGCCAGCAGTTTCAACACTTGGCAGGCAGGTTGGCAACCGCAGTTAAGCTTTTAATGATGTTTAAGAGGGACACTGCTGCCCGTCCCTCACCCTCCCTTAGTCAACTCTTACGACATCCACGAGAAAGGAAGGGGTGACCTATTATATGCCGGGACCACAGGGGAAGTACTTAATTACATACACTTAATTATATAAAAGCAAGATAAAGAGGCAACAATAGGCGGCTTAATCGCTAAATAGTGATCTCTTTCAGGCAAGCTTAGGATGGAGAGGAATTGTTGTATTTTACGTCACTTTTATTTTGTTTTCATTATCAGTTTTCGTATAGTATTCGTATAGTATAGTCATATAGTCACTTGTATGTTATGTAACGTTGACGTCAGAAAAATGTTATGGAACGTTGACGTCAGAAAAATGTTATGGCGCTTTAAATGGGGGGGGGGGGGGAATTTAATTGCCGGGTAGCTATTATATCGACTAGGTCTTTGGCGTCGTAATTACGTATACCCCTTTCATCTAATAACGGAGATACGAGGGTCGCACTTTGATGAGCTGTCAGTTTAACTCGTAGAGATTGGTATCGTTCTGGCCGCTCTCCAAGCTCTAATTCCTCCGAAGGGTTAGAATATAGCCACTCATCGGCCAACTGCCACCGACCAATCAAATGCGTCCGTGACCCACGTGACCAATAGTCAACATGCGCGAATTGCACTAAGCCGCACACCAAGCAAGCCAGCAAGGGAATTCATCCCCACCCTACAACCACTCCCGCTACAATAACGACATGGCGCAAGCGTCTGCTGCAAGTGCAATGCACCGGCAAGCGCCACAACAATCGATACCCTTGCGCCACGTTGTCACGCAGCTGAATTTCCTACCTTTGGCTCTCCTTCCGGTAACTACGATTGCAGCTAATATAGGTAGAACATTAATGGCCTCTGCCAAAGCCGCCACTGAACGTAGTACCAAACTACCAACTCGGCGCTAACGACGTAATAGCGCTCGCAATAGAAAGCATAGGAATTGGCCAATGGTAACTTTAATACCCTTTCTGGAATTCGCAATTCATTTACGACGTAGAGGTGGGCCAACTCATTCTTGCTCAACGTATCGAGCTGGGCGTAGAAGATGCAGCCGGAACGCCCGCGGCGCACGGGAATACCTCTCACTAGCTGCAATGCAAAATTTAGTTCCTTTAGAGCTCCGATTATAGTCACGGTCTGAATATCCGCAGAAAATCCCTGCATGTGGGAAGTTCAGAAGTCGGGCTGTAATAATACCAACAGGTCATCATACTACCATAATACCAAATTTTCGGCACTACTTTCGACCAGGTATTTTTAGATGATACGAAGTAACTTTTCCGCATACATTATTTCCACACGAAAGGGAATCCCGTGCCGAATGGGTGAATGCGGGGCGCCTCACCCAATATCGAGTTAGCTGCGAAAAATGTTGTTAGCTAATCTAGATATTGCGAAAGCTTCTGATCTGATGTGGCATAAAGCACTGCTCTCAAAATTACGTTCACTTACCTGCAAAATTGTGCAGTTGGGTCGCCAGTTTTCTCAAGAAACGAAACATTAAGGTCGTAATCGACGGAGCATGCTCTGATTTAAAAGCTGTGAATGCTGGTGTCCCGCAAGGCTGTGTACTATCCCTTCTGTTTCTTCTGCATATCAAAGATATGTTATAGATCAATAATATTCATTGCTATGCGGATGACAATACAGGGGATGCATTATATACCGGTCATGCAAACATCTTACGAGCACATACCGATAAATGCCGGAATAGACTTGTGTCTGAAATAGAAACTTCACTCGATCAAGTTTCGATCTAGGGTGAACACAATCTTGTTCAGGTTAACTCTAAGAAAACAAATCTACGCAATCACCGCAAAAAATGACGCCGTTTGTCGTATTTTCTCACTTTCAAAACACTACCCTTGATAATAAGTCGAGTCTATGGATCCTTGGCGTATATCAACGCCAAGGAGAAGGAAGATCAGCAACGTCTGAAGGAGAAGGCTAAGATGGTCTCTAAAAAATTAGGAGTGCTCAATAGAGTGAGACGGTATTTCACGCCGGATCACCGCTTGCCATTGTATAAAGCTCAAGTTAAGCCACATATTAAATACTATTCTCACCTATGGGCAGAAGCGCTACAATAATAGCTTCTTCCTTTGGGCCATATTTAAAGTCGGGCGACTCGAATTAATAATGATCAGTGTCTTACTATCTGACTCGACCCACTGAAACAGCGCAGAGATGTTGCATCTCTATGCATCTTTTACCGAATTTATCATGAGTGTGAGGAGTGTTCTGAGGAATTCTTCGGATTTATACCTGCTGCTGATTTACACCACCGTACAACCCGCCACAAACCAAAGTTCTATCCGAATGATTGGAGGTCCTCTACCGTCCGTTTTTCAAAGCACTTTCTTCCACGCACAACAACGCTTTAGAATCAACTTCCAGTAGTAATATTTTCGAACCGATACAACATCATAACCTTCAAGAAAAGATCATATTCCTTTTTAAAAGGCCAGCAGCATATCTGCAATGCCTGTGATGTTGCGGATGCTTATGGGTGAATATAGTCACTTACCATCAAATGAGCCGCATGCTTGTTTACTCCCTGTATTATAAAAAAAAAGTACACATCCAATTAGGGAGGCATTCCTCGTTTATGAGCGCGTATTCCCTTGCCTAGCGAGCTGCTCGACATCCATATCGGGAGCGCCGTTGTTAATGCCTACTCTCGCCGATCTTGAGGCTGAGTAAAAAAGCTTTAGCGTCCTATTTTTGCCACCTCTGATAGGCGACGTAGACGCCGGAGATGGGGGAGTATGCCGTTTTAATGGAACGAACTGTATGCAGTCCCTACTAATTGTCACCACGCCAACTGAAATATTGTGTTCAATGAGGGCGGGCGACGCGCCCTTCTTGATGGTGGGGCACAGTAGAAAGGTCCCAACTCTGATGCCGGGACAATACAGGACTTTGTCAGGTCTATTAAGTCCCGACTAACTATAATTTATAGCAATGGCTTATGCTTACGGTTTATTAGCAGAGTCGGGTTGTTGAAGGGAGAGGTCAGAGTGAGGAGATAGTTTGCCCCTTCCCCCCCCCCCCCCACTTTGGAGCGTCCCTGATGAACAACACGGAAAAGCAAGAGAATGGAAAACGACACAATCCTGTAAATCTGTGTACTGTACAAGTTGGCCACCCAAACGGACATGCCAAGAAGGCGTACCCCAAATGCTTATCGACTGCGCTCTATGGCAAGTTATCGATGATATACTAACTTCCCCGGAGACAACCAGCTGTATGCTAACGACGTAGCCTATATTGCGTTGTCCTTATCACCAAAGCATGCAACCTGTAGGGACAGCCTGTAGGGACTAGTCTGCTCTAGTCATTGCAATTGATTTATTTTATTGATTCGTTTTAATTCTATACTATATACTTTAATTTTTGTAATCTGATACTGTGTAATAGTTTGTATTAACATAAATTCATTATTTATATAATTAAACTTTTTGAAAAAAGCAGCAGGTGGATTTCTTGCCTGTACTTCTTGACTAAAATTGCGTTCCAAAGGGGCGATAATAAAAACAATACTATTTGAAAATGCTCAAATCTAAGTTTACTTAAATAAAAATATTTTTTTAATACTTTCCTTAATACTCGACATCCTATCCCGGTGGCTGAACTCCTGGAAATTATCGGCGGGCTAGCTACAATCATGATAAAATGAATATAGTATATCGTAGTAGAATATAGAATATAGTCTATTATCACTACAATCATGATAAAATGTATATAGGGTAACCTAGGATTACAAAAATAAATGTACAAATACACTTTTATTTCTTTTTCACCTTTAAATAATAGTTATCATACTTACATAATGATGAATCATAAGCTATTGTACCTATTATTATTTACTTTACTACTTTAATAAAGTAGACTTTAGAAAATAATATTTTTTAACTCTTATCTGTATGCAGATAGATATCTGTATAACACTATCGCGGAGTGAAGACTAATATATAAATATATGAAGAATGTACATGACAATCTACCACTACACTCTCCATACATATTTATAATATTTCGTAGAGTAATAAGAACAATAAACTTCGTAAAAAAATGTATCACAGTTTAACATATATTTTCTTTTGTTTACAGGTCTCATGAAAAAGAAAAATTATATTCAACATGGGCACAGGTATAAAGCAAATTTAAATATGGTCCTTATAAAACCTACTAGATATATCAACATTATATTTTTCTCCCATATCCTTCGTGGTAACACATTCTAATAACTTGAACCATTACTACATCAAAAAGTAACACAAATAAACATACTGACACGTTTATAATATTAGTAAGAATATAAAGAATTAATTAGCATACCTGGTATTCATGCGGTAACAATGGTTAATAAAAAATCATAAATATAAACAAACTATTATAATAAATGCCTAAGTGTATATGTACACCGTAGTAATAATATAAATATTTTTGTTGCAGATTATACTATATTCAATCATATGGCAAAATATGATTTTACAGCACCTATTGATGTGGAATATTTTGAAGAAAATGATGAGGGAATACAAAATACAAACAAAACTTATGATGGTGATGTAATATTTGTTAGCGAGTTAAAGACTAATGAAAGTGAAAACCATGGGAATAATACAAATGCATTACAGACTAATAATACAAGAGAACCTAATAAAAATATTAATTGTGATACAACAAACGAAATTAATTCTGAAAAAGATGTTCCACAGTGCAACTTAGTTGTTACTGATAAGACTTCGGTACCTACAATACAAGATACGGAACATGTACAAATGACTAATAGCTTTTTATCCAATCCAATAGACAGTATGGGGACTAAAACTACTGACCCATTAAATATAGTTTCTGAATGTTTATTATTTATTACGGATAGTTACGGTAGTCATTTGAAAATAAGATATGATAAACAAAGTACACCATCTATGATTGAGCAATCAATGAATCATTATTTACGAATTAAAAACCATTTTTTCAAAATTTGCTATGACATAGTCATTACTAAAATTGTACCACAAGAAAATAATTACGCTTTTATACAAACTTTCTTAAATAAAACACTTCCATCCACCATTAGCAAAAACGATAATTATAAAACTTTATACTTGAAAGCTATCTTTCGGGAAATGATATATTGGGCAAAATACAGAAAATACTTAATTGATTCGTACCGTAAAAATAATCCATCTGTATTAGTACAACAATTAAATAGTCCACCAATGACGGCAAATTTTAGAAGTCCAAGTACAATTCAACCTCAGCAAACAAATACTACTGGACCAAATTTACGTTCATCCTGCATATTTACATCTGGGCCACCTGGAAGAGAAGTCAGTATTAATGTTATACAAGGGACATTCTCAAATAAAAATGCACAATTGGTTCCAACCAACACTTTATCTACAAACAATGGAACAAATACAGACTATCAATCTCAATATACATTAAACAATTTTCGTACTTCAAATAGGCTAGAACACACAGAAGGTATGGCCTCCGGTAACTATCAAAGTAATAGCCATGTTAATACCACAAACACGTTAATTCGTGGAGCTCCACCTGATTATTACAGTGCTATAAATCGGAATAATCGACGTAATATGTATTTGAACGTTGGTACCATAATGGAAAAAAATATTTATAATGACAGAGGTATTATAAGACGTCACGATAGATTTAACGAAACTCCTCAAAAGTCACCAGACTGTAACAATAGCAGTTTTGTTGTCCAATATCCAGCAAAAAGAGCCCGACATTCTTCACTGTACAGCGATGTAAGACCCATTAATATGGATAATGTACTAGAAAATAATGCGAGACTACGTAACGTACAAACTGCTCCTCCAAGATATGAAATGAATTTTCAATATACTCAAACACAAAATAGTAACAGCATTAATGGCATTCAATACGAATATCAGCATAATGTTAGTTCCAATTCTGCTGGAGTTGTGAATAATGAAATAAGTAAATCGAATTGCAACACCACCGAAAGTAGAGTGGTAAGGTTTTATATTTAATATATTACTACTAAAACCAAATAAATTCCGAGGTATTCACTAAGTTTAATTAGTAACCTAATATTATATGAATTTGCTCTGACCTATGGATTCACTCAGCTGGTCCATTCTCCAACAAGAATACCAGATATAGAGAACCATACAAGCTCCTTGCTGGACCTTCTGCTGACAACACACCCGGATGGATACACTGTCAGAGTGGATGCGCCAAATGGCTCATCCGACCATTGTCTTATCCGGGCTAATGTCCCCAACACTCGACATGATCCACTCCGTCCTATTGGACGACGTCGCGTGTGGCACTATAAGTCAGCAGACTGGGATGGATTGCGAGAATTTTATGCATCGTACCCGTGGAAGCAGCTCTGTTTTGCATCACATGATCCTAACAACTGCGCAATTGCCGTTAGCAAGGCTATCATTGAAGGCATGAAGCTATTTATCCCTAAGCCGCTAGTGGCAATGGGATCGAAGAAGCATCCGTGGTTTAACCGGTCTTGTAAGAAAGCCAGATTTGCTCAGCAAGCTGCATACAGGGCTTGGACTACGGCTCGCACTAACTCTGATCCTGGAATCACTGATCCTGCTTCGAGGTACAGTAAGAGAGTAATTGCCAGAGCCAAATTTGAATTTGTGGGCAGAATTGGTAGGCGACTATCAAACTTTCTTTCTGGTAACCGTGCTTTCTGGTCGCTTGCTAAAGCTGCCCAAGGAAACTTTTATCAGTCGTCTTTTCCACCACTTCGGAAACCGAATGGTAACTTGGCCTACAGTGCTAAAGAGAAAGCCGACTTATTTGGCATTCTCTTTGACGATCTCATACTCCAAAGGGCAATTTCCTTCGACAGGGAAAACCACCCTTGTACATCCTATACCTAAAAAGGGCGATAAGTCGGACCCTTCAAATTACAGACCAATTGCGATCGCTTCCCTTCTCTCTAAGGTGATGGAGCGTATAGTTAACGCACAGCTGTAAAAATACCTAGAAGATTACGATTTATTTAGTGACCGGCAATATGGCTTTCGCCATAGTCGCTCAACTGGTGACCTCTTGGTATATCTTACGCACCGATGGGCATCAGCCATTGAGAGTCAAGGTGAGGCGCTCGCTGTCGGTCTTGATATTGCAAAGGCATTTGACCGAGTCTGGCATCGGGGTCTTCTATCGAAATTGCCCTACTATGGACTTCCCGACAGCCTCTGTAAATAGGTCGCCAGTTTTTTGTCCGGCAGACGCATAAAAACCGTTGTAGATGGTTGCTGCTCCGATAGCATGGATATTAACGCTGGTGTCCCGCAGGGCTCTGTGCTGTCCCCAACGCTGTTTCTGCTGCATATTAATGATATGTTAACCTTCGGTAACATTCACTGTTATGCGGATGATAGCACCAGGGATGCCCTTTATACGGATCGTACCAATGTCTCCCGTTCCATCGTGGAGAACAATCGTGAACAGCTTGTGTCTGAAATCGAGAGAACATTAACTGGAGTCTCTGATTGGGTACGACAAAACTTGGTCCAATTTAACCCCTCTAAGACAAGCTTGCACGTTCACCGCTAAGAAAACCCCATTTGCAAGACACGTCTCTTAACATCTCTAATAGCATTGGGATCCTTGGTGTCGACATCTCTAGTGACGTACAGTTCCGTGGCCACCTCGAAAATAAGGTGAAGCTGGCATCCAAAAAACTCGGTGTGCTTAACAGAGCGAAGCATTACTTCACGCCGCTTTGCTTTAATACTTTACAAATCGCAAATCCGGCCCCATATGGAGTATTGCTGTCACTTATGGGCGGGAGCACCTAGATACCAGCTTGAACCCTTCGACTCAGTGCAACGACGAGCTATGAGAATTGTCGATGATCCCAGACTTGCAAGCGGTATCGAATCCTTAAGTCTTAGGAGAGATTTTGCCTCACTCTGCGTGTTCTACCGCTTATACAACGGATTGTGCTCAGAGGAATTATTCAATATGATGCCTACAGGCACTTTCTATCATCGTACGGCTCGCCATCGACAGGGAGTTCACCCTCATACCTTACAGCCTAAATGATCGCGTACAACGCGGTTTCAGAGATGCTTTCTCCCACGAACACTCAGGTTATGGAATGAGCTCCCTGCCGAGGTTTTCCCAAGAGACTACCGCGTGGTGTTCTTCAAAAGTGGGGTAAAGCGGTTTCTTCAGGGTCGGCAACGCGCGCGTAATAATACCTTTGGTATTGCAGGCGTTCATAGGCTACGGTAACCACTTACCATCAGGTGGGCCGTATGCTTGTTTGCCACCTCAGTGGTATAAAAAAAATTTATTTTACTTTAGAATAAAAAAGAAATATAAATTAAATAAAATAATGTTCACTTTACAGAATACTCTGCTCAATCTAGAAGAACAAACAGAAAATTTATACGTTGACAAAGAAAAATGTTGCGTCTGTAAATCGTTAACAAAAACAAAGTGTTCCATCTGCTACAATGTATATTATTGCAGTCTAGACTGTCAGGTATATTTATATTTTTATTATTAATTGTATTTTGTTTGTTACTTCGTACACATGGATTTTAGAAGTAGAAAAATCAATAAAATAGACTACTTCTAGATTACGTATCAAGATAAAACATATATCAAATTTTAAGTTAGCATTTTACCAGAGGGAGACTTTGTACAAAAGTCGATTGCTTGGGTACCTCTGTTCCATTCGTGTTTCAACCGTGAAGCAGTTGTGTTTGCGTAGCTGTGTTTCGGTTTAAAGGAGGGGATATGGCGTGAATTTACTAGGTACAGAGGAATAACACCTGATTGCCCAGGAATGGCAACGCATGGGGGGTATCATGGGCGAAACAGTATAGTCTGTTATGTCCATGGTACTGCTCATGTCTATAGGCGACGGTTACCACTTTCCATCATGTGGGCCGTCAGCTTATTTGCCATTCTAAGTTGTATAAAAAAAACTCAAAACACAGTTGTAAAAACTGCATCCCATTTGGTTCGGAAGTTCTTGCATGATGCTGGAGCAAACAAACAGACAGACAAAAAGTTTTAAAAAATTGTTTTGACTTCTGTTGGTTATAAATAAACCTTACGAGTACATAGATTTTCTTAAATATAATATATTTAATATGATAGGAAGAATGGTAATAATGATGATAGATTTTTATGATATACCTAAATTGTAACTTTTTTTAGCGTTCTCACTGGACTTCACACGAATCAAGTTGCCAGAAATAGAAGAAGAAGATCAATCAATTTAACCAAAGTTAATTAGTATAAAATATTTTTAATTACTTCGTATTTGACTTTTTACCTCCTTGCTAGGATACCTAATAAACAAAATTAACGTAGATTTTATAATATATTATAACACCTATCCGGAAAACAGTATTCAATTAAACAAAAACAATTTGCCAATCAATGATACATATAAATAAATACAAGCAGTATATTTTACTTAAATCAGTTCATTATTTTTTGCATAAAAAACAATAAATATCCATTCATTTTAATTTAGGAGGATATGTCCTAATTTACTTGTATACAGTACTTGAATACCTACTTAAATAATACAAGTTCCTTTAAAGATTGTTATTGATAGATTGAACAGTTATTTAGAAATCCATTCCCTTTCATACACGAAATTTGTATTGATTGCTTGATATGCAAATGCGTTTCTTAAGAAATGAAACCAAATAGTCCTGGTACCGAAATCCCCGGTTCTTGTTTTTTACTTTTTGGAAATTCCCGTTTCTTTGGAGCAGCCACCAGGATTTACGGTACTTTCGGGAATGAAAATGATTAATTTTATTCAGTTCAATTCACAATAATAACATAGAATTTGGCAAATAACGTGTATATGACCTACTAACAGCTTAGTAGATGTAAAAACCAACATTTTATGTTCATCACGCTATTCCATCTTGCCAGCTCGTGGTTCCTTTACAGCCTGAGTTCCTTTCATTACTCGTATTTATGATAGGATTTTAGTTCTGGTCATAATAATTAGCAAAACAAAAACGGTGAGGTGTCTGGAGGCTCTTATCGGTGTATCTGTGTTTCTTCCTCTGAGACAGTTAAAGACGAGTCAAATCTCTACGTATCGTCGCGTCATCTATTTGTCTCACTGCAACGTCTCCTTAAATTTTCACAAAACTTCATAAAATTATCATGACAGAAATGTTAGGAATTATTGTTAAATTTGATGTGGACTTCAAATTTTTAGAGGAATTCGCCGCAATCTCAATGTAGTCCACCTGATTTAAAAGCTGCACCAGTAGTCCATCTTTTGCTAGTGAAAACACTAACAAAGACTGGAGAGTGTATGTACATCAAGTTGGATATTTATTTTAGCTGTCTCCGTTACCTAAAGGATTCATCTTTTCTTGTTCTGTGAGCGCTCGTAAACTTGAAAGCAAAATCCTGCATATACGATTACTTTTATTAGTTTCTTCGTGGTGACAATGAGAAAAGTATATTGTAGAGAACCACAATCAATCGACCTTGTAATTTCAATACTCATATCCACCGTTTAGATTAATTTATGCTGTACGGACTATGCAAGTAGAATCGTCAATGTTATCACTTTGATTTAAAGTCTGGTTTCCATCGTTACTAATATTTCAGATATTATCATCATCGACTATGAACTCTCCTTGTTGGGTCTTGATGGTAAGTGATTCAAACGAATACGAGATCTTAGTCAAGATTCCTTTAGGGAAGCAAAGATCTAGGCTAAGCTTTAGGGGAGCTAAGATCACTGTCTGGTCATTACTACTGTGTTGTATCCGCCTTCCAACAAAACTCAACCTTGAGAGCATTGCATATGGCATTACGCGTCTACAAATCAAGATGTTATGCGAAAATATGTTATTTATTAGAGACGTTGCTTAAAGGATCAGTATCAAATTGTTAGGAAGATTCTCTCTAAAGAAAGCAACTGTCTATGGTGCAATAGGAAATGTGTTGATAGTGTTCCGACAAAAAATTTGACTCACCGTGCGACTACGGCGACACTTTTTACTGACTCAGCGCTCTTAAGACTTAGGTAAGCGAATCGTATGTGTTTATCTAATAGTGTTTACGATACATTTATTATATTTACATTATCATAATTGCTTTATTTAGTTTCTTGTCATTACAATTCTAACGTTATAACCCTTCATATAGTGTAGATGGAAGGCGCAAATTTTGACATTAGTCGTGAAAGAATTCATATGGAAGATGATCTTGAGTTAACTTTGCTTGGCGATAATTTAATTGAAATACCATTAGAATAGCATTTAGGGACAAATAGTGACGATAGTGACATAATAGTAGTTAAAAAAAAATTAAGAATTTAATTATTGAATCTGATTCAAAGGACTAAGATACAGAAGATGCAGCAATGCATGGAGTGGCTTTACGGGAAGCGACATTCCCTACAAAAAATCAACTTTTCAACAGTAAATAAAGTACCAGGGCTACAAGTTTTCAACATCGAAGAACCACTACAATTTTTTAAGCTGTATTTCACGGAAGATTAGGTCGACTAAATTGTGTCAGAAATCAATAGTTACGCCAAGAACAAATTAAGAAACAAAACTCTTTCCAAAAATTCTATACGGCATACATAGCGCGATATAAATAAGGATTTTTGGGTCTTTATCGATGTAATCTTTAATATGGGTGTGATATACTCATTAAAGTTTAGACTGCAAGCTCCCCGCTCCAGGCCTCTCCTTTGGGTGACGTCCAGGAGGATGGTCACATGAGTCGCATTGTGACATATTATTGTTTATTCTTTCCTATACTTATCTACCATACCAAATTCCAAAATACCATTTTTTTCTAATGTGTTCTCTAGAAGATTCAACTATTTTTTTTTATGTAACATAAAATGGCACACAAGCTAAACGGCCCATCTGATGGAAAATAGTAACCGTCGCCTATAGACATGAGCAGTACCATGGACATAATAGAGTATACTGTTTCTCCCATGATACCTCCCATGCGTTGCCATTCCTGAGGACTCAGGTGTTATTCCTCTGTACACTATAAATTCACTGCCATATCCCACCCTTCAAACCGAAATACGAATAAACAAACGAATGGTAACAAATACCTTAAAAGTAGGTAATCTCGCCATTATCGGCGATCAATTTAGGGACCCGACAACAGGACCGCCGTTGATTTTTGCTCTGCCATCGATATACGGTGTCTCGATTGCCAACAGTAGTATTATTCTTAAAACTGTAATTATTAGCATGTAATAGTTAATTATGCTCTGTAAGAACAGTTTATATGTACCGAAAATCCCGGGATTTCCCGGTTTCTGCAAAGGCTGGTACCGAAAATCCCGTTTCTCCGAAATAGGTCCAGAGGGCCTACCATGAAATATTTTCTGAAATTTCGGGGACGAACGAAACAGAAAATTGATGTTAAAATTTCATTTTTTAAAAATTAAAAATGTTTTCATTCTTTACACAGAAATATGTTACAATTAAATGTTTTACATTTATGAATCGGTACGGAAATTGAGCCCAAAAATGGAACTGTCATGGTCGAACTTCTCTTGAGGCTTTAGTATTTATATGAATAGGTGAGTTTATCGGAGAGGGGAATTCTCGAGGTCATTAATGATAACATGATGCATATATTTTAAATATACAATCAATTTGCGAATACAGATAAATATATACTCATCACGTTTCGTAATAAATAATTCTAATTTACTGTAGAAAGGTTAATATGACACCAATATGGAAAATCATTATGCTTGCAAAAAGAATCATTATAAACGATACAGAACTGGCGAAAATCTGTATAATAAAGTAAAAATAAATTACTAACGAGAACCCGCTTCTTTTTGGCATATGGTGAATTATTATTATTTGTTTTAGTAATAAAAAAGGTGTTTAGGCACTCGGCTTTTCTTAAAAGATCTTTTACATTTATATTTATTGTTTGTTAGAATATCACCCACTTCAGTACATCCTTTCGTTTCGCCTTTAGTAACACTTCTTATAATATTCCAACTGATTAGAACAGGTAATTTTGTAGTAGTATGACATATATTTTTTGTATTTACATCTTTTCATAAACATTACTTATAGGTGTAATAATAAACAATAATAGACTTGTTAGTCATTACTTATCAACTTTAATCAATATATCATAGTTATCAATAATTTAGAAATAGAGAAAAGACTTTTATTTTTTATAATGCGTCACAACATAACGTCATACACAATTGTAAATAATATCGTTTTATCTACTTCATAACATAACAGTACCCTTAATTCTTACGAATGAATTACAGAAAATAAAGTAACATGTATCATCGCCTTTTGTATATATTTTAGTATGCTCTTTATTGCATAAATATTATGCGTCATTTTAAAACACGCCTATTTGTGACAACGGTCTTATGTATCTTAAGATTCTACTAAAAAAGTACAAAGGAACCCTTATGTTGTTTTATGTTTCGGGGAATGATTACTAACTTCTTAGTAATGGTTCCTTATCAGGTCGATCTTCAAAAAGTGAACAAGAGTATTCACCCTTATGTTCGTTTTCATTCTCACCTATCATCCCTCACTGGTGCCCCGCCAGCGTATAATGTTTCGGGGAATGATTACTAACATTGTCATTACTACTATTAATGCGAACTCACACAGTCCCATTATCACTAAAAAGCAATATACCTTATCAGGACCCCGATCGACCTTCGTTTATTTATAATGTGTATGTCCCCAGGTGAAACTAGTGCTGACTGTAACTTCCATCTTTGATTGAACCGTGAAATGAACACTTGTGCTTATTGTAATGATTATGATATATGAAATTGTAATTTAGTTCTAAACCACGATAGGCTTGTTATATATATATATATATATATATATATATATATATATATATATATATATATATATATATATATATATATATATATATATATATATATATATATAACTGTCTTCGTTTTCATTCTCACAGTAGAAACTATCATCCCTCACTGGTGCCCCGTAAAATCCAGCGTATAACATGAGCGCAGGTACCTAATAATCGTAAATGGGAGGAGGGACGTTAGCTAATCCATTGTCATTACCATACTCATACATTATCATACCATTATCATCCATTAAAAAAAACCCTTGTTGGCAAATAAAAAAAAAAATCGAAACACCGCGTGCCGATGAACAAACAGTGAGCTTTTAAGTTGTTTTGTTTCTTTTTTTAACAACGGCTGTCTAAGCAAATCCTGTTGTCGGATCCCCATTTGAATTGGACCCCGATAATGGCGTGGGAGATTTTTTAAACTACAGAAACAATGATTATATATATATATATATATATATATATATATATATATATATATATATATATATATATATATATATATATATATATATATATATATATATATATATATATATATATATATATATATATTTATAATGTGTACGTCCCAGGTGAAACTAGTGCTGACTGTAACTTCTTTGTTTTGGGGTTTAGGGGCATTCTTTGATTGAACCGTGAAATGAACACTTGTGCTTATTGTAATGATTATGATATATGAAATTGTAATTTAGTTAAGGACTAAATCATCTAATTCAATGTTTTAATCATGTAGACTTGTATATATATATATATATATATATATATATATATATATATATATATATATATATATATATATATATATATATTATTTATAAAAATAGTACTTTACCTCCAAAACACTCGTCTAATATATATATATATATATATATATATATATATATATATATATATATATATATATATATATATATATATATATATATATATATATATATATATATATATATATATATATATATATATATATACACTCGTCTCTAGTATCTAATACCCTTCAAATCGAAATACAGCCATGCAAACACAACTGCTTCACAGTAGAAACATGAATGGGACAGAGGTGCCCAAGGAAACAACTTTTGCACAAAATCTCCCTCTGGTAAAATCATATGTTATGAATAAAAAATATTATATTCTAGTATACTCGTACTATAAATACATTGGGAGGTTTCTAATTTACACTGAATCCAACTTTATTTGGAAAGCTATACACCTATAGGTACCTAATAATCGTAACTGGGAGGAAAGGGATCGTTAGCAATAGAGTATAACAGCCCTATTGCTAGCAATATGCCTTATTAGGTCGACCTCCAGTTGGTTCCCCCTAGAAACCATCGTGAACAATTCTTGTTGAATTCTTGTTGAATGAATCACGATGGGCTAACTGACCTACTTCATCCTCACCTATCTTCCTTCACTGGTGCCCCGCCGGTGTATACCGATAGCGCGGGTGGGGTTACCATTCCATTGTCATCCATTAAAAAAAAATCATAACTTCTAACAATAGCTCTTTCTTATCAAATAAAAAAAAAAATACCCAACATCCTTATCTTTCAGTTCAGGCAATGCTTTGGATCGTATTATTTTTATGAACAAACAGTTTACATGAGTTCTTTTATTCTTAGTTGTTTTGTTTCTTTTTTATTTTTGTTTTGTATGTGTCTGCACTGCATCTTTTCTGATTTCTGATCTGTCTAAGCAAATCCAAAAAAATTTGCAATATAGAGCACTTAATTATTCTCATGAATCATCAATGAATCATCCTTTACTGTCATTTGAATTGTTATCTACCGAGTTGTTTTAGATAAGGTGGCCGTGGGCGGCTATTATAAAAATAATTCATTCTCATACCTCCAAAATCACATTGTAATGGGCAAGGTAGATTTCTAATATTGACCTCCCTCGAATACCAACTCACATTATATTATAATCTTATATATTCAACAATATTATTACCATCGTCAAGTCTACAATGTTACATAATTATTTCAAACGCACATAATAAATTCACACAGTTCTTTTATCGATAAAGCACATTAAGGAGCATAGTACCTACCTACTCATATTACACTTCAATTTGCTGACGAAAGTATCGGGTGACATTCACAACGTTTCAAAGAATTGTTTATAATACTTATAGGAACACATACGTATTACAATGAATGACATTGATACTTACATATATTCCTTATTTAAAAAATCTGTTCGTGGAAGAGTAGGTAAGGAACTCAAGTGTAAGAACAAATGATTTGTCGTCTTTACAATACCTATTACTTTTATTGACTGTACCATAAACGAACAGTCAAAACATTAGTTACTAGTCAAAATACCGTAAAAAATATTCTATTTAACGTACTTTCTACCTTATTTATAATATAAAAACGTCAAACTTCCAATAAACCCATTTAGCTATTGAACAAAGATTTCGGAATGTTATTAGCTATAGAATTCTTTTGTCTATTTCTTTTGTATTAATTTGATAGAATGTGTGATAGTTAACTTTGTGATAGTTAATATGTATTTGTAGGTTTTAGTTTCTTTGAATGTCGTCTAAAAACAAACCCCCTTAGGGTTTGTATTTAGACGACATATAGTACTTTCCATCATACTAGAGGTAGGTAGTTGTTAGTAATAAAATGCAGCTAGTAACCTCATTAGTATTAATAGTCAGATCAACCTCCACACCTTTAGGGATTGCAATCCGGTGTCATTTTCAATCCGATCGAAACTGGCCTAGACCTGCCGAGTTCGGTAGAATTAAACAAGTTTTTTTTAAAAATATGGTTTATTACATAGGTAGTTTTTTAAAATATAATAATAACATTATTAATAATAACATTTATTTATTGGAACCATAAAAACAAATTACAAAAGTAGAGTAGTGTACGATAACAGCCACATAAGTTAAAACAACTGTGTCGTGACTGTCATCATCACATCTGACGTTAACTGTCCACTACTGAACATGGGCCTTCCCCTTGGGGGGTTTTGCCAGTAGTTGTCACGCTTGGTTAACGGGCTGGCAATCACAGTTAGCCTTTAGACAGTTAAGTTATAAAAATATAAATATATATAAAATCAACTTATTTTCGATGATATAATTTAACAAATAAACAAAAATTTAATACAGTGTGGGTACGGTAACTTGTAAATATGTTCGGTCGGCCACTAGTAACATTGATGAGTTTAATATGACTCGGGTTTTTTTAATTGAAGGTAATGGAAATCGACCTGCACTAACGGTATTCACTGGCGGGGCACCAGTGAGGAATTACTGATAAGAATGACAAGACAGGTCTTTTTTTTTAATGAATGATAATTGAGTGATCACTCTGCCTGTGCTAACGGTATACGCTGGCGGGGCACCAGTAAGAGATAATAAGTCAAGTTTTTTAAAATGATACAAAAATTTAATTTTAAGTAACTAAGAATATAACAAAGGCTTAGAATTAATGACATAAATACAAGAAGTCATCTAGTATCAGTTTAAAAACATTTCAATTTTACTCTTCATAAATGATTACAAAGATTGTTAAAATGAACAGATTGAAGTCAATCCCATTCTTTTAGTATTAAAAATCATTCTCTGTGTAGTTTATTTCTTTTTACAAATTACTTTTTTCATCTTCTGTGTAGTTTCCATTTTTTTCCTTTTTTAATTGATAAAAAATTTACCTGCTTAAAAAAGTCCACCGATTTTCGATAGATCAATCTATTAATCGTCATTAAATCATAAATTTTATGGATTATGTAGTGGTCCAAATTGACTACATAGAAACATACAAACATACTATTAAATCGAATTTTTCTATCTTTGGGTCGGAAATACACTATGAAATGACAAATACACCTTCGTATATGTCAATCCATCAGTCAAATTTTAGTAATCTAAGTTTAATAATTGTCAGTCAGTCATTCAAATTTATCTATTTTTCTTTTGCGTTCATCAGTTTATTTCGCGGTAAAAGCTTTAAAAATTGTTTTCCTTTTTAATTGATGAGCATACTATCAATCATAACCAAATATTAATAATTTAGATAACTTATAATCAATAACGTTTGGTTGACAATATAAAATATATCATACAGCGTCCAAGATATTGCAAAAATGACTTATAAACTATCAGAAGGCTCCCTCGAGGTATGTCGGTTTTCTATTTCATGTACCTACTTATGTTAAATAAAAACATTAATTAATGTTTTATCGAAACTTGCATAAATAGTAAATCTGTAATTAAAATTATATGAATAATATGGATTTATAGAAAACAATATTTACTGTCACCTAACCCTGCGCTATCAATGGGGCTAATAGTCCCATTACTATAAATCCCTCACACTCGCAATGCGTATGTTAAACCAAATTGCTATTCCTTGCCTTTCAGCGATATATAGTATATTATATATATTGTTTTAGCTTCTTTTGCTTTATTTATATATATATATATATATATATATATATATATATATATATATATATAATCTTCTCTGGAAATTGTCATGATTAATTCTTAAATATGTCATAATGGCCTTTGCTTGATTGCCCTGCTTTTATCTTAAATGATCATCTTCCACTGGTACCCCACCAGCATATACTGATAGCACAGGCAGAATTACCATTCCATTTTCACCCATAAAGAAAAACCATGTGAAATCAAGTTGATGAAATACATTCCATCAGGTCAACCTTCACATAGAAACCATCATTATACAAACATATACCAATTATGTAAACTGAGTTACCATTCTATCATCATCTTCAAATAAAATAGTATCTATTCTAACCTTGACATTGGTGGAAAATTACCATTGTCTTATATACTACAGTGGAATACTACAAATTAAAGAATAAAGTCCGTTACAAAAAATATCTTCAATTTTTCTTTATTATTGTGTGAAGGAAGAAAACTTACTACTTTTTTAAGTTTTAATGTATACCCAAATAATAAATTTTACATGAAAATATTAAGTCTTAAAACAGATTAGATATATTATTAGTTAAAGTTTTAAACAAGTTGCCTGTGAATGTTATTTTTTTATGTTTATTATACAACTTGCAGGAGGTTTACAATTGATATTCTTTAACTATGTTATATTATTTACTTATTTTTAAATTTATTATACTGAATTAGGCAGTGATATGGACTTCCAAAACAACAGTTACAGAAGTCCATATCAATAAGCTTAATTAATTACAATTAAACAAAATAATAGACTAACTAATAATTCTAAATTGTTTTTATTCATTATTTTTGTAATTACTATGATTTACTTCTATGTGGGTCCCATTTTGCCATGATTGTTTTTTTTTTTATACAGTGACATCTATTTGTATAATATTTCCATCTATTCATCTATATAACATTTCTCTTTATAGGTAATCATGACAGGAGGTCATTATGACAAACCAGTAATGCAGGTGTTAGGAAGTAAAAAAATACAAGGCAGTGGTGCTAATGAAAGATTCAGATTACTGGTATCTGATGGTAAACACTCCCACAGCTTTGCAATGCTCGCAACACAATTAAATGATAAACTGATTACAGGAGAACTCTCAGACTATTCTGTTGTACAAATAGATCGATTTGTTACATCATTACTAAAAGACACTGGCAAAGGAGAAAAGTAAGTTTTGTTTTGTTGAAGAAAAGACTTTTCTTTAGTTTGCTTTTTTTAATACTAAAGCTGTGTATTTTTTAATGAGTGAAAATACAATGGTATGACATGAATAATATCGGATGACCTGTAGCTAAATGGAGTGACAACTCACAAAAATTGGTGGCAATAATTAGCAGTGATGAGCCGAAGATCATGCTCAGTGGCATGCCTTGGGGAGTCTTATGTCCAGCAGTGGACTGCAGTAGACTGATATTGCAGACATTGATGTCCCTGCCTGTAGTTTAACTAAGGATGTAAATCTTTAAAAGAAATTTTCTCTTTCAGGAGAGTAATGATAATATTAGATGTTACAATTATTGCTCCTGGTGGGGAAGTGGGTAGGAAACTTGGTAGTCCACAGACTTTGAGCGAATCATCAACACCATCAGCCATATCTAAACCAGCCATGCAACCAGTACCAAAACAAAGTCCAATAAAGCCACAAATGATGCAGCGCGCCACACCAGCACCAGGTCTTGATTCCAGTCTCCTCTCCAGTCAAATGACGCATCCCATTGCAAGTCTCAGCCCTTATCAAAATAAGTAAGTTAAATTCATAGTTCAGTGTTATTAATATTATTGATAATTTTAATTAAATTAAATACATTCTTATAGTATATTTAATAAAAAAAATCATTTACTTATATTTTTTTAACTAAATAAACATCATATTGTTATAAATGGGAATTGAGATGAACTATCATTTTTTTAAGGTGGGTAATAAAAGCACGCGTCATGAACAAATCAGCTATACGAACCTGGAGCAATGCCAGAGGGGAGGGAAAATTGTTCAGCATGGACCTATGTGATGAAAGTGGCGAAATCAGAGCAACCGCCTTCAAAAATGAATGCGACAAATTCTATGATATGATACAGGTACATATTTTAATGCCAAATGGAAGAGACTGACCAGAAATGATATAGTCAAGGATAGAATGACTCACACACTCCTCTTATTCCTAGGATTCCTAAGTGACAAGAAAATATAAGTCAGTCTAAGGAAACTTAAAAGAAAAGCCTATATGTATGCAGACTGGGTGTGGTAATAGTTAGCTAAAATCCTAAAATACTGTTCAGAACAAAAATTAATGCGAATTAGCAAATCAGTAAAGAACGTTAATTTTTAGGGACCAGTTATAATATTTGTGTGTGTGTGTGTGTGTGTGTGTGTGTGTATATATATATGTTTATGAAACATGTATATAACTAGTCTTAGTTGCCTCTAACAACACCTATGAATAAGAATGTGTGATACACTATTCATACTATATTACCTCTGGTTTTCTTCTCTATTTTTATTATAAAAAGGCTTCATTAGCCTTGGTGCTGCAACTAGTTGTGGTTCGATAATGGGTTCGATTCTGAGGTGCAACTTTTCTAAACCTATTTATATAATAAAATACTATTTAAATATATATAACCTAATGTTTTAACTTGATAGTTTCGTGACACTACTGTTTTATGGACCATTATACATATATGTATAGATATATTATTGTGCTAAATTAATGTAAATCTATTAGAAAATTTAAATCAAAATTTTTCTGTTATAAAATTTGCAATATTTTTTTTTCTTTTACATTTATAATAGTTTGAAAAATGTTATGTATATAAGATTTTTATACCAACAGGTAGATAAAGTATACTACATAAGTCGTTGCACGCTGAAAACGGCCAACAAGCAATTCACCAGCCTAAAGAATGACTATGAGATGTCATTCACCAATGATACAGTGGTTGTAGAGTGTCAGGAAGATAGTGGCTCAGTGCCCACCATTAAATACGATTTTGTGCCAATTAATGAAATTGCTACTAAAAATCCAGACACTTTACTTGGTAAGTATAATATAGCAACCTGTAGTGTATTTCAGAAACTATGTACCTATGTTGTCAATAATGAAATTTAAAGATAAAATTTAAACAACTATAAGAGAACAACCAAACAAATGTTTCCGATATTTTTTCTTACACCTCTTTATATATGTATGGGTAATAAAATGAAAACTCTTGTTTTTCCTTGCTGCAAAATAATGCGATTTTTTTCTGTAAGGATGCAATATAAACGTGCTTTGTTATTAAAAATTTTTAATTGAATTTTCAATCATACTTTGGCGCCATGTTAACATGTCAACACAAATTTAATAGTCAAAATTGTGCAGTCTTATTTACTACTACATACATAAATAGCATTCTTTGCACTGTTAGTGTGGGGCACTTATTTAATATAAAAAAAAACTTTTTTTTCACACCGAAGTTATTTATTTATATTTTTTATATATTTTTATATTTATTTATATTTTTTACACAGTTAAAGTGTACTGTTAACTGTACACTTTAACTAATTTGAAAGTTCACTAGACTCGCGACGCGTGAGACACTTAGTTCAGGGTTTTATTGAACCTGGATGATAAATGTAACTATTTAATTTTACTGGCCAGATCGGCAGGCAGAAACCAGGTCCGTAGCTGGGCAGTAATTTGGCTAGCTAAATTACGACTGACTGATTTAGAGTTTGTATTAGTTTATACAGGCATAATACTGCTGATTTAAATGGAAATAAATGATATTGCTATTCAGCAATAATATATCTAAATGCTAGGATTGTAACAGTACCTATGTTTTACGATAATTTTTCACGGTTTTGGCACAATTCGGGGTGTTTCAAGGGACTTTGGTATATTCGAAATTTTTGTTATCTGAACCAGCCATTATCCCAATAATTTCGGATACACGAGACTTTACTACATTTAAATGTACTAATTTTTTTAAATAATGATTTACCATCTGTTATAATGAAAATGCCTTAATATTAATTAAAAAAATACTTGAAACACTAAAAATGCTCTTTCACAAATTTTATAGATTTTTTTTGTACAACTTAGAATGGAAAACAAGCTGACCACCTACCTGATGGAAAGTGGTAACCGTCGCTTATAGATATGAGCAGTATCATGGACATAACAGAGTATACTGTTTCGCCCATGATACCCCCCAATTAACACAATTAATTGCATACTGTATATAGATTCTAAACTCTACCAATCGCTTTACAAAGTAAACATTGTAATAGCGTGGTGGAATAATGTAAGATATTAAATTTGTATTTTATATTTTTTTAGATGTAATAGGAGTATGCAAATCAGCAGCTGATGTTCAAGAACTAACTGCTAGAAGTACAGGGAAGCTGCTAAAAAAACGCGAAGTCACCCTCGTCGACTCTTCTGGAGGTGCAGTAAGTATTGAAAACTTTTTTAACAACCAAACAAAGAAGGATCTCGATTAATTTTAATTTTTTGTTACTATGTTACCCTTTAGCAAGTGTTAATCAATGTGCAACTAAACTTTAATGATTTTATATTTTTAGATTATTCTAACACTATGGGGAAATGATGCCGAAAAATTTGATGGAAGTAGCAACCCTGTTGTTTCTGCAAAGGTATGGCAACTATTTCATTTACTTATTGCTTTTTCACAATAATACCTTCTGACTTGTCAGTACAAATCCTATACCGAGCGCATATAATTTGTACAGTGCAAATCAAAAAGGAAGGACTTGTTGAATTATCAAAAGGAAGTAAGGAACATATCAGTCCTATAAAAAAATACCCTTCTCACAAAGTTAAAATATATTTGCCACTAAATAATCTAGAAGATAAAAAAAACCTAAAAAAAATCATTTTGACATCTCCAGGGCGCCCGACTGACAGAATTCAATGGCAGTAAATCTCTGTCGTGTTTATCGAGTACAATGCTACGCCTCAACCCCGACCTGCCTGAAGCTCACAAATTACGAGGATGGTATGATAATGGTGGAGCCAACATGGAGGTCGTTAACATATCTGCTAGGTAATTTAAATGTTGGTTAATTTTAAACTTTCTCGTTATTGCCACATAATATTCTAAATACACTATCAAAACTTAACACGACGCAACTACAGGTAAATAGTACCTACGTATGTGACTTTTATTGCCTACGTTTCGATGTGAATTAATGTAACATGCAATTATTTCCAATTTTTAAAACTTAAAGATCGATCTTCTATTAGTTTGCAGTAATAAAAATTAATTCCACTTGCATTTTTTCTAATATGACCAAACATTTTTAAACGACTGCAGAAAAAAATAACAGATTTTTAATTTATATAGTTTTTTTTTTTTATAACTTATCACTTTTCTGTAAAACAAAATCTTAATTTTGCAAATTGATAAATAATTTAAATGGTTTTCAGGTCGGGAGTATACAGCGGCGGTAGCAACGAATGGTTAACATTCTCAGAAGCGGAGGCCCGTCAACTCGGCTCTGGTGATAAAGGCGACTTTTACAACTTACTCGGCGTCCTCACATTCACATTCTCAGAAAACGCTCTGTATAAAGCGTGTCCGCAAGAACAGTGTAACAAAAAAGTTGTGGACCAAGACAATGGCTCCTACAGATGTGAAAAATGTAATCGAGAGTACCCGAATTTTAAGCATAGACTACTGTTAGGCGTAAGTATTATAAATATTACGTATATATTTTTTTACTACTGTAAATTTTAGATATATGATTAGAAATTCAGGTTTTTTTTTTTCCTAATATTAAAAGACGAAGGATATGTTTGTTTGTAATGGATAAAATCAAAAAAGGATTCGACCGATTTTAAAATTTCTTTTACCTATAAAAAGTTATGTTATCAGAGCACAAAAAAGCCTACATATTCTTTTCAAGAAAAATTAGAGATGCCTACCAAAATTACAGTAATATAACCCGAGGTATTAAAAATTCGCCCATTACAGCTAATAGAAAATACTATGTACTATATAAAATACTATATGATATAAAATACTCTTCATCCAAAGATTGCCTGGAAGAGATCGCTTTTAGCGATAAGATCGCCCATTGTTTTCTTACTGTTATTATTTCTGTAATTGTTTCTATTTATAATAAGTGTACTATCGTAATCTTTTGGAAAAAACAATAAAGAGTGTTTGTCTATGTTTTCTATATATTCGTGCGAAGCCGAGGTGGATCAGTTTAATTATATATCTGCATTTTGTTAGGCAAACGTATCAGACCCGACTGGTGACCAGCGCATAACAGCGTTCAACGAAACCGCAGAATCGATGCTCGGCAAGTCCGCCGCCGAGGTTGGCCAGATGTTCGACTACGACAAGAACGCATATAACCAAATGTTCGAGGATGTCAAATTCAAGACATTCATATTCAAGTTCCGAACTAAAATGGAAACTTACAATGTATGTATTCATTAGAGCCTTCTACAGTATTTTGATTTATATACGTCCACAACGTGTGCATAGCACCCGTTAGCATAAAGAAAAAATGTTGTTATTGCATAACATTAAGAATAACAATACCATACAGTACTAGAGAAACCATGCCTCTATTGGAGATTATATACATAATAAGAAAATATTATATTTATTTATTCTCATTCATCATCATTTCAACTGTTAATTGTCCACTGCTGAACATATGCCATCCACTATTGGAGGTTTTGCCTGTAGTTGCCATGCTTGACATTCAGGTTGGCAACTACAGTTAGACTTTGGTGATGTTTTAAAAAAGACGCTACTACCCATCCTTCGACCATTAAGTTCACTTTATTCATCTCTTACGACACTGACGGGAAAAGAAAGGGTGGTCCATTCTAAGCCGAGACCACACAACATAGAATTGACTTTTTCATACATATATATATGTATTGTTTATAAATTAATATAAATTTATTAAAGCAGCTACTATTTTCAATAATTTAAAAACAAAAATATATTTTGTCTATACTTAGATATTAATCAATATTTATTTATATTTTAAAATTTAACCATATAATATCAATTTATCCCACATGCTTAATCTTACATACTAATAAGTCGATTTACATACACGTGTATAAAAAAAGTTGACTTGTTTTTGGCGAAGCGTTTGTATAGACACTTATCTATATAATCTAAGTTCACGGCCTTAAACTTGTTTTTCCTTATGTAACACTACTTATTTTGTTTTCTTAGGATGAAGCTCGTCTTAAAACTACTGTAATGAGCGCGCAGCCTATTGATTATAAAGAAGCCAACTCGAGACTAATCAAAAGCATCAAGTCTATAACAGGAGTGGAAGTGTAAAATTTTTTATTTTGTACATTTTTGGAATATACAAAAAATGTTGTCTTATTCGAAACCTCATACTTAAACATTGAAACTTTTCACGTTCAAAATAGTTGTTTCTGAGAACATATTTGAATTTAAAAGTCAAATGTCGATTGAATAAAATTAAGCGATTATGTATGCGATTTGTTGATTTTGATCTTTTTTTTTTTTATAAATTATAAATGTGAATTATACTATTACATCACAATATTCATACGCGCCAAACACGCTTTGTTTGTCATGACGTATCCAAATGTAACATTCAGGTATCAACTTAAATGTTACATCTGAAGAACCATTTCTCTAATCCTTTCTCTAAAATTGATATCACTACGAAATTTTTATTGTAAGGATCAATATAAACTAATTTACTCATAGATTCAAGACAAAAATATTATAATTGTAGTTTATGATGGTCCATAAAGCAGTTTCAATAAATAATTAAATTAAAATATTAAATTAAGAAATAGGTTTAAAGAAATGGCGCTTCAGAATCAGCTCTATTACCCATCACAAATAGTTATAACAACGGTTGGCAATTAATATAAAACATTTTAAAAACCATGTATTATACAACAATTGTAATTGTGCAACGTAATTATTAATAAAAATAAAATGAATAATTGTTTCACTAATTTAACTGCCTGGATTTACCAGATTAATATTTTCGTATTTTTAAATACCTACAAACCTATCGTGACCACGACGTAGTGCAATTCACGTCGGAACGTAGACAATAAAGAAGCAGATATGTAGGTACTATATACCTGTAAAAGCTTTTTCAATGCGTTAAGCCTCGATTATATATTTAAGAATATGTGTAAATAACCCAAGGTTTAAAATTAATATTTTCGTACCTGTACCGCCCCTGTCATATTTATGCGACAAAGATTTTCATATGGGTATATAATATATAAAGCGTATAATAGACAGAAGAAAAAATAAGAAAAGTGTACAATATTTAAAAATTAAGCATTAGAAGTACGACGAACAACTATCAAGCCGTACTTAAATATATTTTCATAAATTGATACGTGAAAATATATACTGTTTTGAATTTGAATATACGAGTACAATCTTTGAGATAGTTCACTCTGCTATATAAATAAGACTAAAATACCAATTACTTAATTTCTACTTTAGAAAAACAATTGAACACATTTTGCACTCAGAAATATTGTCAATGACATCTAAATATGATGGCTAAATTTTAGCCATTAACTATAATTATATTAAAATTATGAATAATATATTGTATTATTTTTAAAATTGATGGGAATCAATACTTTTATAATGATTTACTATTTATAATTTAAACAATGTTCTCAAATATTATAGATTAATATTCTGAGCATTTGGACTGTAAATAAAACAAATGTTTTTCACTAGGTACTTTATTCAATCTCATTGATATGACTCATAATTTGGCTAAAATGGACATTTTATAGGTGTACTCGAGCAATATCAAAGCGATTTATACGTAATGTAAACCTAAATTATGTTTATTTATTAGAACTTAGATATGAAAATAGTACACTTGGTACAGGAAACATAGTTTCTATGAAAATGATTAAAAAATATTTATTTATAAATGTCAGTTTAAAAAATATGTTAACAGACCTATTTAGAATGTTGTTTACTATTACAGACAATAATCGTACAAAATCATTAGTAGTGTCGTAACAAATAAATCCATTCTCATAAAACACTTTGAGTCACAAATTCGGACTCACACACTCAATTTGAAACAACATTGCTTTCAACATGGAATAATACAATTTATCACTGCCACACACAATTTATAAGCGTTCTTAGAGCTTATCTCAAAACCTAATCCTAATAGATTTAGGAAATCGGGAGTATCTTGTTTTATAAAATATATGACTTATATTTTGCAAAATTACAATTACGGAATCTACACGAGAGTATATTAAAAAAAAGTAATCGATCTCAACTATCAAATATTAAAAAAAAACCTTTTGAACTCTGTATAAAACACTAGCTTGTAGCTGCAACTTCGTCCGGTTAACTAGGTTCTACCATGAAATGAAATTCCGAAATTTCGAGTTCAATTTCGTGTTTTTGTTCGTATCAAAATCGACTCAGTAAATGGAGCTTAACATTTTGTTCATTATAAATCCTAATAGTCCAAAGGAACGATATTTTAACATATTTAATAGTTTTAAATAGCATGTATTATGTAATTTTATATATTTTATACTTCATGGTAAGCCCTTAGGATATGTTCACTGGTAGAAATAAAAAGGAAGCCATATAATACATCAAATTTTATAGTAATTGATTAAGACGCTATAAAGTAACAAACTCACTTTCACACATATAAGCAAGAATATCTTTTATCATCTCTGTAAATGACACATGAAATAATTGACTAGACGCCATTGAATTGCTCGAGTACGAATCGTGAAGGTGCATAAAAACAAGTAGCTAATGTCACTCGTTAATTACAAGGGATACCATTTCTATAGTGTACACTTATAATAAATACATATAATACAACATCGGTATAACAAATGATGACTTACAACGAAATTAATGGGTATGTTAGTTACATGGCAGTGTAATTAGTTACAAATAGACATTTCACATTTAGAGATGAAACATCAGATCATTATCGTCAAATAGAATGCTTAATATTAATTATATAAGTGTGTTAATTATGTAGGTGTCGCATTAAAAAATAATAGTTATAAATAATTTATTATAGAGGAACTTCCAATGATTTAATATAAAAAATAAATAATCTCTAAATTGAGATAAAATTATGTTCTTATAATGTTATGGTCTACTAAAGCAATATAATAAAATGATGATCTAATCATATTTACATCTGATTATTTTGTTCTTAACTGAATGGGAAAACCAAATGTGAGTTCTGTTATTGGATTCAGTTAATGGATAGGTAATTCCTATGGTTTGTGTACATGCTTTTTGAAACCTGCATGCATCTTTAAATGTGAATGCTGTAATTGAAACATAGCTAATTAGTTGCATATGTTAAAAAAAATATTCATACAATTATAAATATAACTAAACCTAGTTGGCCTTGTACTTAATCATACAATAAATAAGATGACCATAATGCTTGACTAATGACTAATAATTGTTAGAAAACACTAAATTGACAAAATTCCAACATGCTTATTAGGAGAAATTTAATATCTATGAGATTTGCAATTTTATAAGTTTCAAATTAAGTCTTTATTAAAATAAATTGCTTATCAATAAATATAAGAGGCCGTTGCGTTGTGAGTTACCAGACCTGCATATAGCCACCAAACTATCACAAACATTTGTTTTATATTATTATACGAAATTAAAGCCATAACCAAGAGATTATAAAGGTGGTTACTTACGAATAGTGAGATAAAATTTAATCTATTTCTTCCTTTAATTGTACAATCATTAACTGAAGACATCGGATATCATTCTAACATTGCTCTTAAATTATCTTTATAATGATAATTGTAACATTAAGATTACACTTATAATAAACATTACCACTGTAATAATTATAACACTTTATGATAATTCATCGCTTTCTTCTTTTACTTTTACATAAATATTAAGAAAATATTGAGTTAATTTAAATGACAGTCAATTCCAAAAAAGATTTACAGTAGTAAATTATTCACATTTATTTTCTGCAAGTATAACTTTCAACTAATTGGAATGAGATTCTATAATATCACCGTAAAAATACAAAATAATTTTTCAATTGGAATCGTAATTTATTTCCATGTACACATAGACAATCATAATATTATGATGTATAAATATTAATAAAATAGATTTTACACAAACGCGAGTGTATCGCACTAAAAGGTAACTTTTAATAAAAACATACATTTAATTCCTTTATATACGTCAATAGGCATAGCCTTTAATCTCATGATCGCATTCCATAGTATGCAAAGAGCCAACGATACGACGGGACTGTAACTGGTAGCAAGCCGCTACGAGCACACGAGCGCATCCACGTCGTACCACATAGCACTAGTCGCGCACAAACACTACACAAGTTTATTACAAAACACAAGTCAGTAAGTGATACAGAGAGGTTCGAGCGAGCGGAAGGAGTCCGAATCTCGCCAGTCGCCTGCCCGAGTAGCCGCGCGACACGCGCCACACGCAACACGCCGTGCGCCACACGCGACACGCCATGCGCCACACGCAACACGCCGTGCGCAACACGCAACACGTCACGCGCCACACCACACCACACCACACCACACGCACACACCAAACGCCACGGATTGTGCAACAGATGCCTCCGGAGTTTTAGCTCCGATACTTACAGCGAGAATAAATAAAAGCGAATAAATTAAAGTAACGCTCTTTGGAACGGATTACGTTCGAGGTACGATAGTACGAACGAGTAACAGAACGTGTTCCGCCCATCGCGGGAGCGAAGCGCGCGCGCTTACACACGAAACGATAACTTATAATAAACTTAAAATTAAAGCGTTCGATAACAAAATGTTTGGCCCCAACATAAGCATTAATAGTAATTCATCCATATAATTTACAAAAATAATTTTACACTTTTTTATAACACCACATTATATATTTTCCTGCGCCCGTCTAATTTAATTTTGGTCATAGCAATATATAATTGCTAATAAAGAAATAATTTGTCAGTCTCAAAATGGCAACAAGATTCCCACAAACTTACTCATGTAAATGAAACCAATCAACCGGTTATAATAACTTAAATTCAATAAACGGCATAAAGTACTGAATGTTTACGCTATCTGTGCAAGTAGGATCTCATTCGGTACCTTTCGATCACAACCTTATCGTTAAAATCGATCAACACAAGTAGCATTTGTAGGAAAGCAATGCAACGTTAATATGTTCAAATTTTCGATTTCAAAACGATAGCGCTCCGTATTTCTACATCTAAACCGGTCCCGGTACTATAGCCGACGTCGAGTCTAGCGTATATAATCGACCGTGGAATCTAGACTACTCTTTCGTACTGATGCTATTGGACCGGACGCGAAATCGCGAGGGATTCGCTACCTCGGTACAATTAGCCGAGCTTAGTACCGAAAACCGACTACAAACTTGTCACAACGAAAGAGCCAGGATCGGCATGAGTTCGCTAGACGTAGAAGACGGGAACGCGGTCGACCGGAGGGGCCGCGTGGGGCGCGTGGGGCGCGTGTGGTGCGGATCGAGGGGGGGGCGTGGGGCGCGGGGCGGCGCGTTCAGCGGCGCGCTCACGGCACCAGGTCGGGCAGGCGCCCGCGGCCCTAGGGGCGCCCGCCGCCCTCCGCCTGCACCACCTGCGCCGCACAACCCACCATTAGTCACACGCCTCACTCCGCTCTGCACTACAAATCTACTAGAATGTTTTTAAAGGGATGGGGAAACGCGAGCAGAAATGGAGAGTGCAAAAATGGCGAAATCTCACCAAGCCACTTCTATATGAAATAAGAATAGATACTTAAATCTAAAGGAGAACAATTATTTAAAAAAAAAAATGAAACTATTATCAAATACTTTATATTATATAATACTCAATTAATTAAACTAGGAATAGACTTTTGTTAAAAAAAGAAACGATAATTAAATTGAAAAATAAATCGACGTGTGATAGTGATAGTTTATTTATTTGAATCGGTTCCTATCGTATTGACTCACTTTCCGTTCCTTGTAGTAGAGCTCCTCGCTCTCCTTGTCGCAGAGTAGAAGCACGACGGCGCCGAAGAGGAAGATGGCGGCGCCCCACCCGACACCGTACGCCCACCCGAACTCCCAAACTGACCGGTTGCCTATACAAATCAAATAAAATTTTTAAAAACCCTGAGTACATATATACTTAACATTATATAAAAACGTGAGAATTTTTACACGTAATAAAATTAAACAGTAGTTTTCATAGAATCGTAGCATAAATAATGCGACAGAATCTTTTTTTAATTTTCTCGTTTCTGTCTCTGTATGTTATGTATATCTTTATGTGTTAACGTAAGAAACAATTTTCAGAATATGTTATAGTAAATATGAATAATAAATTTAAAAATATTTAACGTCTTACTGTTAATGTAATACGCACCTCCGAAATAAACAATTTCGTAATTCATTCCATTCTATTCTAAACGACACGTTTAGAATATTTGCATATACTCGTAGTTGGAAAAAGATGTAAAGGGAAAGAACTTACCCAAATTTAGCTCCGCGGCAAAACACACAGGGTAGATAACTAGTGCTATTAAAATGCACATCACTGGAAAAGAAAAGTATTTTATAAATATATCGTTACTTTACTTGAAAATTTATTCCGGGTTTGATTTTATATTACCAGTTTCAGTATTGGTTTGAGTGCTAAGATTTGAAACTTAGCTCTATCAATTAAATGAATCTTCAACAAACAACAAATATGACATCGCTATAGTGTTGAGAAAAAAAAACCATCTAAAATATCAACGATTTCGAATTATCAATTGCAAATGATAAAATACAGTTTTGATCTGTTGTCAATAAATCTATTTATGAAGCCCTTCTGCTAGCAACACGTTATTCGCACAATCGTATTATTTTAATTGAGTATATAATAGTATTGTTAATCCAATATCCCAAGACAATGGAACGCATGCAGTATATTAACCGTTTTAGTGCCATTGATTTTTACTCATATCTACTTAAAAAATACTAAAGAAATCTTTGTCGTCATTGTTTGATGTCATTTACCCATGTCTCTAAAAAAACTGTATCTCCTCCAAAAATTATCTAATTTTAATATTTTTTCTACAGCGAGCTAAACAACAAATGATTTCACGAGCGCTATGGCGTTCGTGACACTTTTAGTTACAATGCGCACGAGCGCGATGGTGCTCCTCGGCACTCAAACGGTTAAATATTAAAGATACTTACAAGCAAGCGCCATGGCGAGCACCGCAAACCGGTAATACCGAAATTTGGTGCGGTGGTCAGCAGCACGGAGCCCAAGTCCGGTCAACAGCGCGCCGCACACGTCCGCCGCCAGCGTCGCCACGCACAATCCCGCCGCGGCCCTGCAATAATAACACGGAACATATTTTTACAATTACAATTATTATATAAGGTGGACATAACTAGATTTCCTACTTCACACGACATACAGAGCCGACTTTAGCCTACCAGACGCCGCAGGACAACTCATATTACCCCTACGGCGAAAACAAGGACGCCAGAAGTCTAGTGAGCCGAATGCTAGAAGGATCCATCAATTGATAGACAGTTACAATAGTGCCTTTCACCTTTTGAAGCTTGAAACCTGCACGCCTACATATCGCGTCTCTTCCTAAGACTGGTTTTGACCTATAGACATGAACATCAGAAAATACAGGTGAGCTCGTGGCACCCCTGATGCGTTGCCATTCTTGAATAATTTTACTACTATACCTAGGGTATAAAAGTGAAATTATTCAAACACGATACCTTTAACAAACAGTCACGCAAGCACTGCCGCTTTGTAAAAAAAAAAAAAAAACAATAAAATTAAATAACCCTTTCCAAATTATTTCCCTATTTCCCTGCAAAAAAAGACTCGAAATCTTTCAGCCATCCAGCCTTTTCAAATATCTGTCGGGCCGTATTCTTTATCGACAGTCTCATTGAATACAAAATGAAGCCTGCTACAGTTAAAAAAAATTGATTATAACTTACTTAATATAAGGCGCTGGTCTCGCAGCATAGCAGCCAGGCTGCGCGGTAATATCAAAGGGTAGAGGCGTGGGCGCTTCAGGATCTATGCAGTGCATGAAGAGCCCCTGTCGCCATCCGGCGGCCATCAGCCAGTCCGCTGAGGCCAGCCCCAGCACCATAAGGATCACAACCAACAACCCGCATATCAGTGCAATCACCTGGAATAATATAGTAGTTTTTTATAATTAAATATATACACTGAAAGTTTTAAAACAATTGACGGAACGACATCGAAGAACGGACAATGGGAAAAGGGGAAAGGGATTATTAGTAATGGAGACTGAGAATCCCATTACTAACAATATACCCAACCAGGTCGACCTCCATGAGGTTCGCCCTGGAAATTATCATGGTTAATTTCTAATGAATTCATCATAATGGGCTAACTGGCCTATTTTCATTCTCATCTATCACCCTTCACTGGTGCCCCGCAGGCGTATATCGTTAGCGCAATTTTATTTTCACCATAAAAAAACCATTGGGGAATAAAAGTGCTCCAGTAGCATACAGAGAAATGTAATCGACCAACCTGTAATACCTCCACCTACCAATAGGTAGATGGAGCGACAACCTTAAATGTTAAAAGCATCACGTTCATCTCTTCAGCAAAAAAAGTTATAATATTTTTTTATTACTTTATCAATTGTCTTATTATAAGTTATTACTTGTACTTTCATTTAGAATTCCATACGTCGAAATGCAAAATGATGACTTTTGCTCATCCGTTTGTCTGACCATCTATTATAATGATAATAATATCATAATATTTTTTATTTTATTAAGGACAGATAAAGTAGAAAGTTGTTTGTATCAAGAAGGTACCTACGAAGAACATCAATCAATTTAATCGGAATGGTCTATCCGTTTGCATACATATATATATAATTTATGTTCTCCTATCAATTGTTTACATTATCTGTGCTGTACAACGGCTTTAAGTTCAAACTGTTGAATCTATCTATAATAAACAAATGATTAGTACATTGTATAGACATCAATTAAATAAAACCTATTTACAATTCATGGTAGATAAATTATTCCATTATTCAAAACTCGCAATCAACATCATCATCATCATATGAGCCTTTAACTGTCCACTGCTGAACATAAGCCTCGACCTTCGAGGATATACAATCAACATACTATAGAATATTTCAGCTGAAAAAATTCGATCATAAATCTACTTTCATAAACTAAGTAGTTACATAAATTCGTGATGAAGCTACAGTCATACGTTATTTTATTACCCCTAAGTTCAAAATGATTAATAAAATCATTTCTTAGCGAGTTAGTTAACGCCTATATTTTTTATCTACATCTACGCATTTTCACTGAATATTTTTTATAAGTCAACAAACTTAAACTGCCTGAATACTTTTACGTGTAGTCGAAACAGTTTCAAGTATTTAATTTAATAATTATTAATAAGTAATTTAAATATAGCAAGTGTTATGCACCTCTGACTTTGATAAATAAATTATTACAACTCTCAACTCTCAACCGCAACGCTGCGCCGAACATCCGAAATTGTTTACAATTCTGATCAATTGAACACGATGGCAACACTAGTGCCTACAGAGAGGGAAAGAAAAGCAGCAAAGCCGAGGCGAATGTCTCGAGGTGAAGCACAGGGGGGCGCGGTCATCGATCGCAGTCCCCGTCGGCACTTGGGGGACGCAAGGCAACATCAGCTGTTCGGCGAGGCGTCGCGTCTCTGCTTCACGTCTGGTTCGCACTACAGAATAAAATAGGTAGTCTAAGTACCTACATAATAAACGCACATTGTTATCGATCTTGGAGAAAACCGCAGCTATTATAGTCAAGACTAGACCTCCGTTCATAACTGAATGAAAGCAATGTTGCTTGAACGAACATAACGTTACCAAATTAATGAAAAATGTTTTATAAAAACGTCGTTTAACGTTTCTACATAATAAAATATTTTAAAATAAAAAACTGACCACGCTATAAATATTGTAGTATCTTCAAATCTAAAGCCTTGAAAGTTGAATTTACATCAAATTTTAATTATTTAATGGCGCGTACAGACAGACCAAACGGACGCTAATATTCAACTTTTATTTGATGTTGGTTGCTACATGGTCATTGACTTTCAAAACATTCTAATACATCTGGCGGCGAGTTCAAGAAAACGAGTGATGGTGAACATAAATACAGACAACACTCTCTCTCCTGCTTTAACTAAACATTCGTTATTCTTCAGCGCCCATCCACACCGCCCGCCTCCAATCAAATGATTTGACATCTGTGTAGTTTGCTAACAAACGATCACCGACGCGAAACAAGATCTCACCAATAAAAGCCTTCGTGACATTCTTTTGCTTATATGCAGCATAAGAGAATTTGTAGAAAGAATAAGTTTTTACATTTAATAAGTTATCAAATATTAATGGGCATAATTTAACTGATTTTCGTATCGCAAATCAGTTCAACATTGTCATAATCACATTAATTAATTTTTTTAAAAGATTTTAAGTAAATTAGGAACTGTCAGAATTTAAATAAACGATTCTAAAGCTTCAATGGTTTTTCACGTACAAAAGCCTCTAGTCCCAAATTCTAATATGAGGTTGCCAACACGTGAATAGTAGCGATTGATTACCGATAATACTTGGTCATTCAGTCTACAAATCTGCCATAAAACTGTATGAAATAGAATCAAGTTTCTTTACACAACTAGAGAGTTCTATCTGTAATAAATACTATAGGTTAAAGACTAATCGAGCAATGAACTGTAGGCATTCTGTGATTATTTACAATCAAACAACGAACTGTACACACGGGATCTGTTTTCAGACAAATGTCTATAAAATGTTTGGAGTTAAAACTAAGAATAATATAAGAATAAATTATGGAGTTAGTTTTTTTTTTTTTTCAGTTAAGTTTATATAGAGATAAAACGAAGAATGAACTAAGAATATTAGTTAAAAGTATTGTGTGCGTACGTATACAAGTTTCTGCCGCGTAATCTCAGTAAATATGATGCTACACAAATTAAATTATATACTTATTTCTGCCGCGAAGCAACAATACATGTAGTCAAAGATATAGTAAAGTACGTACTACGTAGGTAACTCAACTACACAAGAGACAAAAAAGTAATTGTTGTTATTCCTTTATCCATGTTTCATAGCCTGAGCAGAAGAGCGACATTCTGTCTGCGGAGAGATTTCCTTTATGTTTACCTCATCATCCTATGCTTTTAAGACCGACAAAAGACAATCATCGTAAATTTTAGTCCGGTCACAATAAAACTCTTCAATTTAAAGAGTTCATGTAACAAGAGAACATGCAATTGAATGTCACAACGTACATATACAATACAATTTCCGTCAATGAAATTATAATAAAAAAGTAGTTCCGTAACATTCATTTCTTTAACCGACGCTACTGTTACGTATTGCTAACAGCACAGTTCTCTCTATAAATTGACTATACTGAAACTATCACTTTCGATCATGTAGGCATTACAGAATTTACAAGCAGTCTCATCAGATAGTCTGGATTTGCCAGTAGTATAAAAAAAACATTCATATGGTTTATTTCATTGTTATAATATTTCACCTACTACTACTTGTATTATAAAAGCGAAAGTTTATGAGTATGCATGTATAGACTATAGATAAATGTTACTCTTTCACGCAAAAACTGTTAAATGCAAATTAATTAAATTTGGTACACGAATAAGCAATATCGTAACTTAGTACATACATACAGGATACTTTTAATACAGATTTACGCGCGCGAAACTACGGTAAATAGATAATTCTTTATCATTTATATGAAATAATTTGTGTACAATATTCTCTATATATTACCAATACTACACTGCAAGCCGGAAGCATTAACTAAAAGAGGGATATGTCGTTCATTGAATTACGTATAATGCGTTCACGTGCAGAGCTATTTGTTGACCATTGTGATGTGAGGGGTCAACTTATTTCTATTCATAGCTATATGTACCTATGTATAAGAAAGACGTAGAAAAGTAGTTCATCTATTATATTTCTACGCATTAAATATTTTTAAAGGGTCATTAACTATTTTCATACTGGCATTACGTCATTTAGAGAAATCAAAGTTGAGAAAGAGAGAGATAGAGATTTTTGATGATGATGTTGCTCTATTTTATACGAGTATGAATTACTTGTCTAAAAAAAACAATAAATAGTATTAAAATGAAATGAAAGAAATTAATAATTCAATCACATTCAAATAAAAATGTTTACATATTTCATTTTAATTTATGAACAAAATTTTATTTAGTCCCAGAAAAATGTGTCGCTTCTCAAATTTAAGTTGTCTTTTTTTTAACTCTCCTCAAATGTTGCCACCCAAAAATCGTTCTGGAAAGAGATAAACGAGAAGATATCCGTCGAACCATCACGCAAACTAAGTTACATAACGTGATGTTATAATACCCACAACTTTGTCCTCATAAATTGAGAGATGACGTCATAGAACCCGTGTTCATCCTTGAGCTTTATACAATCTTTTTGGCAAATTTCTTTCAAACCCATTCATCCATTGAAACGTAACAGACAGATTTACTTTCGTCGCCGATATCATTTTCTATTTTGCGCTTCCGTATTTACAATAAGTATTAGTGAAGATCTTTCTATTTACGCTTTCGAAGTATTATATAAACGTAAAAAAAAATTACATAAATTTTCAAACTATTTATCATCATGATATTAGCCGTTATCTGTTCATTGCAGAATATAGGTCTCCCCCACAATATTTTGCAAGTGTTTGCCACGCTTGGTAGCCGAGTTGACAACTGCAATTAGGCTTTTGGTTATAAGAGGGATTTTATGCCGGAACCATACAGCAGTCTATAATTTTACTCTGAGAAAAAAAGTAGAGATTGCAATCGTAACAATTTTAACGCGAAAGACTAATTAACAATTATACAGGAATTATCAAAATCGGTTTAGAATTTACCAAAATATCGCTTAACACATCTACAAAAATACAGACGAATTGAAACCCTATTGAAAATCGTTTATAAAGAAGCATTACGTAATCCACATAGGTCAATTCATCAATTCAATTTTCATTTAACACAACAGAAGCAATCTGGTTTAGTCCTACAGAGATTTCCAAATAAAACGCAAAAATCATGCTTCATGGTTCATTAAAATTTCTGAACACTATGGACTATATAACTATAAGTAAACATTATCAAAGAGGACATTGAGTACAAAACATTTATAAATGCACATGTGAACATCTTGGCCACCGTTTTAAGTGAACCTACAAAAGAAAACGATATCGTATCGGACTTTACTTGACCGTAAAATATAAAAAAAAAAACGATGCCGATACTTCCTTGGAAGGACAGACCAGTGCAAATAATACGCTTATGTATGACGGCCCACCTGAGGGAAAGTAGTAACCGTCGCCTATAGACATGAGCAGTACCATGGACATAACAGAGTATACTGTTTCGCCCATGATATCCTCCATGCGTTGCCATTCCTGAGGATTCAGGTGTTATTCCTCTGTACCCAGTAAGATCACGCCATATCCCACCCTTCAAACCGAAACATAGCCATGAAACACAACTGCTTCACAGTAGAAACACGAATGGGACAGAGGTACCCAAGCAATCGACTTTTGTACAAAATCTCCCTTTGGTGAGTTATATTGATATTGATATACACCAGAATAATTGGGACAAAATTATCGAAATATGTTTAGAAATGGTGAAAAAATCGCGTAACACATCCATAAAAAATACAGGCGAATTGAGAACCTCTTCCTTTTCGAGGTCGTTTATAAAGAAAGCATTACGTAATCCGCATAGGTACAGTCAATCCAATTTCCGTTTTATACAAACGAAGCAATCTGGTTTAGTTGCTCTAAATACCGGGTGGGGAACGCTTCAATACATTTGAACGTTAAATTCAATTATAAAGTAAAGGTTTATTACTTTTTTACGCGCGAGTCTATCTAGATATTTTGCCGCCACGAGGAAATCGCCTTCCGCACAGAATAATTTACAGTTTTAGTGCAAAACTTAAAAAAATTAGAGAATCCATAGCTTATAACTATAGTTCTTGGTAATAATTAAATTAGGATAAAATTATCCCTCATATAAAAATCTATACAATTTTATCCCAATTCATACCTTACCATCGTAAGATAGAACATATTATGTTCTAATTTACCAAATATAGTTAAAATCCGATCAATATTAAAATGTGCTTTGTAACGTAGTAAGTAACGATTATCCAATTTTTTGTTTTTTTTTTTACATTTTGAACAGTAGTAAAAAATCGGAGATTGTTAATATTATTCAAGCAGCAATCACAATATCATGACTTAACACATCGCATGCGAAGTATATCGTACAGTACATTATACACTATCACACTAATAATAAATTGTAATAAATATCTCAAAATTATTTAAAAAATGTAATGAAAATTCTTAATTTTTCTTTTTTTACATAAATTATTGTCGACATTACATAATTATTATTAATATTAAAATATTAATTAATATATTACATAATTTCCTGAAATACAGATCTCTGATCTAGTTTAGGGTCCAGTCTCCCACAAGTTTTACAGACCATTGTAATTATACACACATATACAGTTGTATTTTTTCTGTATTTTCTGTAATCATATAGTTCAGTATCACGGAGCATCACTACTGAGAATTCAAGTTAATTCTCTTATGCCTTCATATGACTTTTTTTTATAATAATAAAATGATATTCTTCACTATCGGCTCATACTGATGAAGTATATACTAGTGAAAGAGGGGTAAAGAGAGTTAATACAGAGGTCTAAAAGCTCCATTACTAGCAATATACCTATAATAATATTGGAAACCATCGTGATTAATTCTTATTAAATTCGTCACATTGGGCCAACTGACTTCATTCTCACTTATCTTTACTCACTGGCGACCCGAATAGCGCAAGCGGGGCTACCATTTAATTTTCACCCAATAAAAAAAAACTAATGAGAGATAATAGTAAAAATTAAGTCAGATCATTTGGCCTATTATGGCGAATTTACTAGGACAACGACGGTTTCCAAGGGGCACTCTGACGTCGACTTAATTTGACTTACTAGAACATACCTTTCCCCCCTATAAGAGGTAATTCCCTTAAAAAATAATCAACCAAACATTCTCGATATGCACCTGGGCTATCTGGTTGGCAGGCATTTCGTCTGGTTCCGTTGCAAATTGTGGCGGTGGTGGTAACACAGGTGGAGGGAGGGCGCGCGGGTTTGAGCGGTGCCCGCCCGGGCCAGCGCCCGCGCGCCCCTGCATGCGCTTGCTACCGAACCGCCACCACACCACCACACTAGGCACTTCACTAGATACCCACACCCACTCAACACATCACACGTTCTATTAACGACAGTACAGATATATATATCTCTAATTCACTCAAACGATTTAGTCTGATCACTAGAAGACTCAATGGAACGTTAATGGGGTTGCTGTTTCGATTAGGTCCTATAAACGAGTGTATTGATTTTATAATTGAAAACTTGTACTCATTACAGTTCGTAAATGTAGTAATAATTTCAAAGCGCTATTACGCTGTATAGGTGTGCATTGAAAACTGAAAATACTTTGTTACTTTGCGTCGCCTTTAATAATACGCTTAATGAACCGACACCATAAACAAAAGCCTGCTTTTGTTGAAATTGGAATTCTGCCCTATTCATTTATCCTGCCTGAACTATTTACCGAGTATACCTACCCACCTACCATACGAGGTATTGTTACTATTCACGCTCTAAAAAACACGTATAGGTGCAGTGTGTAAAGAAGTCTTGTTGGAATTAACATATTGTGATGTAGACAAATAACGTAGTTATAAATAAAAAAATGAATGTAAGAAAATAATAAAAGACGCTTTTTTCTGGAAGATAATAAAAAACAGAAAGTAGGATCCAAACAATCAATCATTAAATCATTAAATCGTCTCAATTATTTTTTCTTCTCTTTTAAAACATATTTTTGTTTTTTAAAATATTTTTTATTTTAATATTATTTAGGTAGTAATGAAGAATAATGTAGTAAACAATTAAGAAAATCGTTTAAGGTGTTGGTGAAAATAAAATTACCAATTACACGGAAGATTACGACTACCCTTTCTGTGTAGTTTCTGTATTTGGGTCAGAGCAGAGTAATTGTGCACTGTGGGGGAGAGACCGGCATCAAATGAGGTCGCCGCTGGCGTCACTACGGCGTTGGACAAAAATTAGGTGTGTTGTGTATCCGTATAGGCATATATGCACAGAAATATGCGAGACACGCAATAACAATACTTAAGCGATACCGTCATACGCTTTGGGTGGGTGAAATTTGTGATAATAAATAGTGATAATAAATATTAACTTATTAACTTTAAAAAAAGCATTTTAGAATAGAATATGATTTTTACGAAAAATTATTATTCTGAAAAAACATTTTAAGTTTAAGTAACTTTTGTCCTTATATTTTAGTGTCACACTTAAGAAGATATGTAAGTGATACACCAAATATAGAAGAATACCAGAAACGATAATTTTCAATTTCAATTGTTTATTAAACAACAGTTGTTCGCTCACAACAATAAGAAACAGTGATGTACAAATAAACAGTAACGGATAAAAAGAATCAATACATCAATTATATAAAAAAAAACAAACACAAACAGTTTACACAAGAAAAGTTTGTTTTAATGTTATCATGTGTATAGCAGCAGCACCGGAAGGTATCAGCGAAGAAATATAAATAATCTTTAATAAACGAAAGAATCTTCAACGTCACTCCGAATGGATATAATGCGTCACACACAACACACCCAGAAAACTTATAAATAGAAAGGTACTCCAAACAAAACCTATAAATGAGATTTAATTTTATTTAATAATAATAAGGTACGGTACAAAACATATACCTACTTTATTCAAATTACTTTTCTGAATACAACATTAAATTCAAAATTAACGAGATTGTATTCACAACAAGATCGAATTTATTTTACTACATACATTTTTCTTTTACAGAAAAAAAAAAAAAATCTAGTATTATCCAAGTTAAAAATAAAAAGAGACCTAGGTGAAGTCTTTTTGTATATTGCATTTAATAATGCACAATAGTCACAATCATCTACGATTTGTGGGTGAGTGATTGAGAGTGAAGAAAACTACTAAATCGATTTTAAAAATTATTTCACTAATAGAAAACTACTACTATCCCTAAGTAACACAAACTATTATCTACGACGAAACATTCCCACGGGAACAGGCGATAATACAAATTGCTAGTTAATATTTTCGTAATTTCAATAGAAAGATAAACTTTGTAAATTGAATATTATATTTATTATTCTGTCCACGTTTTATACTATGAATAACAACATACAATTTACAAAAAATAAGTAGCGTAATGCGTAATTTTATTACCTATTTTTTATTGACTCTTTTTACGGTAATAAACATTTAAGGTAACTTAGACTGTTTTAAACAAAATAATAGGTAAAATTAAAATATGTAAATAGTTAAATGTTTTTATAATTTTATATCAAAACATTACAAAGATTTTACTGAAATGTTTTAAGTATGTTTACGTTTTATCCAAAATTTACTTTAATTAATATAAAAATTTTGAAGTGATAGAATATGATTATATATCATACCTATCCACATTACGAATTATATAATTTTTAAGGTAAATAAATTACAATCTACTATTTACCTTAAAGTAATAAAATACCTTACTCGTACATATGAATTCTAATTATTATATTTATGTACATAAAATTATTACTACATAGAACTATAATATTTTGCGCCCCAATTTTTTTGATCTCGTTTGTGAGAATTGCGCATTGGGTCGCGCCGGTTTTCTGTTCCCACAAAAAATCACCTTAACAATTATTGTACTTCATTAACACATTATCAGTAAGAAAAAATTGAAAGAAAGCTTTCTTGCAAATTTCTGCAATAATTACAAGAGGAATATACAGGATAATCGGGTCTGAGAAGGTAGTGATAGGAGGGATACACGCAAAGGGCGGGCGGGCCTAGTTAGCTGGGCGGTCGGACCGGGCGATACGGCGCCTGACGCGGGACTGCCGCCCGCCCTCCGAACCTCGGGTGCCTCGCATCTGCCGCCCTCCCTCACGCCAACAAAACACAGATTACAGAGACACATTTAATAGCCAAACGCTACTTAAACTTCGATCGTACTACACAACACAAACACGAAATTGCTTAGCGTTCCACACTGTCACTTTTATGTACTTTTTTATTTGTTTTTATTGAACAAAGCAATATAGCGGTAATTCTAGTTACATCGACCAATTAAAGTCCTCTACTCTTTTGGCAGTCACACCTGAGTGATCTGCAGAGATGGTGGTTGCGATTGGCGTCGCGGCGGACGACGGGGATGTTGCCTGCACCAGCCGCCCATAGCCCGAAGACGCCGCGAACAGCTCGCCTTCGAAGGAATGGAGCACCATTTGTGAGACTCCCGCGCCCCAAAAGTAGTAGTCATTCTATCTCCTGGTTTGGACATATCGTAAACTATCTTTGGACTCTCCACAGTCTCGACACCCGGTGTAATGCGATATTTCGCTCCCGAAATAGCTTTCTTGATTTCGTTGAGAGCACGCAATGCGGCATTTTCTTCTTTTCCGTCTATTGCAGTCTCCCTCGGAACTGCTGTGAGTCGACCCGGAGGCGGCTGACCCACGGGAACGTCACCCTGACGACGTGTGAGCCGCTTCAACTTATTGAGTATTGTCTCAGGGGGGTCTGTATTTGTTCCGACAGTGCATAATCGAGGCCTACTGTGTTCGGGTTCGTCTGGCATCGATAAAGGGACGTATGTTTGTGGAGGCAGCGTAGCTGCTCGCCTAGGGATAGGTTCATCTTGCAAATACGTGATATGCAGAGTACTAATACTAAGCGGCTGCTGAGGTGGAGGCCACAGGTCTCTCGTGGGCGGTACGGGCGAAGGACGCTCTCCTAACATCCGACGAGCAAACTCGCCTGGTTGCCAAAGATAACTTGCTGTCAAGTTCCCGTGTGTTTGCATCACGACACCAATCTTTACTAACGTGAGACTCGCTATTACTAATCCAATACAGGCTTCGTGCACTTAAGGGTATTCGCACAGATGTCGAGTAAAGCCTGTTAAAATTGGATCACGGCTGTTGAATATTTAATAAACAGTAATAGCTAGTAATCCATTTTGGTATTCAATAGCGTTATATAAATATAATATACCTATTTTAAAGTAGATTTTTAGATATTTATTTTGTCTAAAAATGTATTTTTATTAGTCTTGAAATTTAGTACAAAATATTGCTTTTTATTTAGGTAGTCGAAAGCATGAATTCCAGTGCCTAAAAATCATCATACTCTATAAATTAAAGAAACTGACCATGTATAACGGCTTGGTAATATGTTTCCCTCCTCATATATAAAGAAACCTGTACCAAGCAGTATCATATTAATGGATTATAATGATGACGATACATGTAGACAAATTTATTTATAGGTAAACACTAATACATTCAAGGAATTTACTTATGTATTGGAATTTACTTGTGTATGTATGACAGTAATATTTAAATTTTGTTGCTGAATTCACGGTAAGTTTGTATCTTTCAATAATCAATCAAAGCCGTGGTATGCAGGTAGTCCTTAACAATTATTAATACCAAAGCTAGTTTGTTGCCTCTTCATTTAATTGCTTTCATTGGAGATTAAAACACAGACAATATACACTAAATATAAAACAGCTAACTCAAATAAACCATATTTATATACTGTTTGGTACACAGAATTAAATATGATGAAACATTAACGCCATTTTTATTGGTTCGATAAAATTTTATTGTATTAGTTGCAAAAATTACATATAAAGATAGTTAAGTATCAAGCTTGTAAAATTTACTGCTTTTGTTGATTTCATTTAAAATTCATTCAAATTAAGGGTCTATTATGACCCTTTTTTATTGGGAAAAAAATATATCAAAATAGAACAAAACAAGGTGTCAGTTCTTTAGTCTACTACTACATCACATACTATTCCTAAGATGCCAAAATAAATGCCGTATCACACTACATCTTGTTTTCACCTATTTTCCCCACAAATGCCATTTATAAAATGCCATAATTACATTTTTGGATGGTAATTTCTTATTTTATAGCTTATGCAATGATTTACATATTTTTACATTGACACATTCCCATTTTTATATTTACAATGAAAAATAACTGAAATAATTTTTATACCAATAAACTACTCATTAAATAAATTTTATTCTGTTTTCATCCTCATATTCATTCAACCTTTTTAATATGATGTACAATGACAACACCCAAAGTAAAAGAAAGTCTCTTTATCAATATTTTGTAAAACCAAGCAAAACCTAATTGGAAACTCATTATATTAAATACTCACCTTTTAGGTAGATGATATTATAATGACAAAGAAAAACTTACCTTAAGTGGTCGTGTGATAGTCACAGTTTCAATCATAGTAGTGGATGCCATGGTATATGATTATTATCCTGAAATCAAGATATTATATTATACAAAAGAAGCAATGGAAAATAGAGAATCTCTACAACTTTAAATCTGCCTTTTGCACATTTTACTTTTGTTATGTCCATGGTACTGCTCATGTCTATAGGCGACAGTTACCACTTTCTATCAGGTGGGCCGTCAGCTTGTTTGCCATTCTAAGTTGTAAATAAAAAATTTACTGGTCAATAAAGTTTAAATAATAATAATAAACATTAACTAGTAATATAGAATGTAATTTAGTCTAGAATTCAAATGTTTCAGAAGATTGTCTTTTTTAACAATTGAAGAATTTATGCAGAATTTAAAATCATCTTCATAATAACTCACATCCACGTATTATCATCACACTGCTCACCATTGACAGTAAATTTATCAACACACGCTTGAACCTAAATAATACCATACAGTGGTTTCAGAAGGGTTTTCTCATCTGAACACACAGACTGAAATGAGCTCACTACTGAAGTTTTTCTAGTATGGGGTTCTTCATAAGGTGACAACCCTGGTTTGCAGGCATCCATATGCTACATAACTGTTTACAACCAGACAGGCTGTATGCTTGTTTGCCACCTTCACAAAAAAAGCATAGATGCCAAACATAAGGCTCATGCCCAAAAGAGATTTTCATAATATTAAGAAAATAATAAACAAGACTGAAATACATGATGATTAACTACTACCTATTAAGGGTAAAAAATATGTAAACAGTGCATGAAATTTTTCATGCAGATCAGTGCCATGTAAAAGTATATTGTTCATCAAAGTAAAACTAAAATTCAAAAATATTTTATCATACAAAAATACCTTGTTCACAAAGTCATTTACATTCAAACAAATTTTTATGTCTCTACCAGCCTAACAGCAGTTGGCACAATAATAAATAACAATCTTATTTCTTTATATTTTATTAAGAAATATGTAGATGTTGGATTATTGGAATTAAATGTAAAATCGTACAATAATCTCTGATGACTACCACTATGGACTATATATTTACTTCTTCAACATATATGTACTAACTCGACAATGAATCACAGCGATTCAAGGTTTTTGTTTCTGTAGTGCTGTAGATTGTATACTTATCATACACATTACATCCATCCCTCATTTATTTAATGGAAACAAAAAATATTAATAGTCTCTAACTTCATTAAAGACTGTTATAATATTGCAGAGATTATTTTTATTTTAAAATATTAGAAGTACAATAATTTATTACTCACATAAATGTCACCGACAATAACTCAAGAGTGTCTACAAATTTACTGATCTAATAATTTGCTAGTCAGTATCGTAGATCAAAATATACCAACGTAACTATATATAATTTATAAATTTATAATTACACTGATAAATAGACATCACAAACAGAAGAAAGAAAACAATTCATTGACGATGAAGCTCTTCCAAACACATCCCAGACTAAAACTGTCATAACATAAATGTCACTAATTGACTGATTGTCTGACAGTCCAATACGGAAGATCTTTCTCTTTACATAGAATAATAAAATACAAAGTAAGGAATACACAATACCAATACTTAAAAAAGTTAATTTGATTGCTAATAGCGCTGTTTGTTATTTACAAATAGCGCTACTAACAATCAAATACAACAAATAAAATATTAATTCAAACTCAGTTCTTAAATTGCACTACAAGGCAGCACCAATAGTCCCTTACTAGTTATACGTTATAAAGTTTTAACATTTAAATAATGCAAAATATATCAAAAACTAAAAGATTATAATTAACAACAAATAACAAGCAATATTCAGCTATTGTAAATATATTATATTTTAGTAGGAAATGCACCTTCTACTTAATTTTCTGCTTGCCTCGTAGTTGATTGGTAGAGAACGCCATTAGGTATTAAGTTTGCTATATGAACACTTACAATATTATATAATTGTGCATTGAAGTTTAAATACATAAATATGCTATTTATTTTTATCAACGTATTTTAGATACCAAAGATTAACTATTGTGAAAAAAGATTAAGAAATGTATAAACACAAATTTATTATACTTTGTATTTAAAGCCGTAAGAACAAGAAATTAAAAAGAAAACCATACGATTGATTGGTTATCTGTAGAGGTACCGCGCTTGCTTGCTGCTTCGCGGCTCGCTCACCTTTGCTTTCTTTCGACGTAAGCCGGTTATTGTATTTTACTATTCTAAATATCATTGGCGCGAAATAAATACTTCCATTGTTATAATTGTGAGATGGCTGGTGTTAAATCATTAGCAGTGAGGGGCATACGAAGTTTTGGTCCCGAGGAAGTTGATGAACAACGTATAATATTTGATAAACCTTTGACTCTAATACTGGGACAAAATGGTTGTGGTAAAACGACCATTATTGAATGTTTACGCTATGCTATCACTGGACAAATGCCACCGGGCAGTCGCAATGAATGCTTTGTACATGATCCTAAAGTTAATAGGAGCACTGAAGTCATGGCTCAAGTAAAACTAAAGGTAACAAACATTTTTAATGTCGGTAATAAGAAAAATTGAAGGTTTCTAACCTTAAAATGAGAAAATTATCATAATAAATAAACATTACACACTTAGTTTAAAAAATCTGTATATGTATAAATAATAAATTTTCTTCATATTGTGACATTGCAGCTAGACTACCACTATAATAATAACATTATTTATCTGTTATTAAACAAAACTTTTAAATAGTATACAACAGTTTATTTCTCTACCGACTTGTTTTAAATAATACAACAAAATTTGATTGATATGAGTTATTTAAATATTTTTAATTTGAATTATGTGCTTTTGCTTACACCCAATTGAATCTATAATTTATAATATCTTGAGGTTCTACATAAAATTCTGATTCATTGAACAATTAATTGTTTTTACATTCTACAACTGAAGTTTACAGTTATCAACCTGTTTTTGACTGTATTATTATAGATATTCATTGTTCTATTATGTATGTTTTAAAGTAATTAATATATATCACTGTCTGATTTTGCTTTTTAAAGAGCCACAATTGTGGTGCTGTTCATAAAAAATATTTATTTTATTTTTAGACTACTTAGCAATGTATACAATAATAATTCTACTTTGTACTTGTGGTTTTCTCAAGTAGGAAACCAATGAAATAGTGGTCTATTTCATTAATTTACCTTGTCTTGTGTAAAATATGCATCAGTTCTTAAGTTAAACCTTCAGGAACACAACTGTTAACACTGCAACCTTTTATTAAGCCAAACAGGCAAACAAATTTTTTTTTTCTATTTTTGCTCTACCTTTTATATCAATTTTTCTTAAATATCTATGTATGCATATTGTCCATATCTTTTTTCAGATTATGAATGCTAAAGATAAACAACTTGAGGTAACAAGGTCGATGCGAGTAACTGCTTTGCATAAAAAGAAATCAAAATTTCAAACTTTAGATTCATTCCTGTCTATAATAGATGATGAAGGCAAAACAAAAGATATATCATCAAGATGTGCTGATTTGGATTTTGTGATGTTTGAAGAACTTGGTACATTTTTTTTACATTTAAACTTCCTTTGACACTAGTCAATACACAAATTCTATTGAACAAAATAATATACTGGAGTTAGTTCAATTTAAAAACCTCTAACTTTGTCACCTCATAAAATATAAGTGTTACATTTTCTAGAATTTTTAAATATTTTTTGTTGTAGATCTACAAAATTGATGTTTTGAGTATTAGAAGACATGTAATAAATTTAGGATTGTATTAAAAATTTGGATCCCCACTTTGTTGTGATATGTTAGTATATTTTGCTTCATTTGCTTATTTCACTAAAATAAGAGAAGGCTCAAAATTTGATATGAAACTTAAATCACACACACTCTCCCTATTAATAACATTTTCAAATCCCATTCCCCTTTTTTACATTTCTATAATTAATACCTTTTTATATTGCATTTTTAGGTGTTTCAAAAGCCATCCTAAATTCGGTTATATTCTGTCATCAAGAAGATTCTAGTTGGCCTTTAGATGAAGGGAAAAAGGTCAAGGAGCGATTTGATGAAATATTTGATGCTGACAAGTATAGTGATTGCTTTGACCGTCTAAGAAAAATTAGGAAAGATTATGCCCAGTCCCTTAAATTACTTGGTAAGTAAATGGTGACATACTATATTTGTATTTTAAATTTCTCAGTGATTATTAAAATTTCATTTCTCAATTAGATTACTGAATATTATTAATTTTTCTGTGATCTGTTCAAATCTGTGAATAATTTCTATAAAATTTTCTACTGATAATTTGTTAATAAGTAAATGAGTATTTATATGACAGAACAAGAAGTGGCTCATTTGACTGACAAGAAAGAAGACTTGGACAAAAGGAAGTTGGATATGGTCAATACTGAGTCCAAAATATCTGAAAATGAACTCAAGATTTCTGAAATGGCACAAGAACTCAAACCCATCACTGAAAAAATAAAAGCTATCCAGACTTTAGAGAAGAATTTGGCTACATTTGAAGCAAATAAAGAAAAAATAAAAGCGAGGTTTCATTTTATTCAAATATTCTTTATATATTATAATTTATTAATTAATTTTTAATTTAACAACATTCTTTTTTGTGATTGTTATTCTCTTTTTTACTTCAAGACATATATAGTAATAAAACCTTTCCTAGTTTCTATACAGTCTATGCAAATGCAATATTTTGACAACTATTGCTATTTTGGATAAATCAACCTACTTAACCAAATAGATAAAAATAGAGGTATTAGGTGACTAACAATTGCAGTAAATGAAAAACAATATAGTCTTAAATGTATCAAAATAAAGATTTCAGTTCTTAAAGCTTATATAAATTATAAACTACCTATTTGTTATTGTAAATAAAAGTTATTTTGTATTATAAAAAATTACAGATTAGATCACTGTCAAACTCAAGAGGAAGAATTGAAAAAAGCTATAAAAAATATTTTTGATGGAACTACACCTGAATTACAAGAAAAAATTGGTAGGTATTATCTAATATTTTAATTATTTGTAGTAGTTCATGTGAAAATATAAGTATATGAAAATTATGAAAATCTTTTTGTAGCTAACTATGCAACAGCGCATAAACAAAAACAAAAAGAACTTGATGAATCATACAAAAAAAACTTTAGTTTTAATAAAGAAGAAGAAAAAATTGCAAATGAAAAAACATCAAATGAAATTAAATTGAACAAACTGATTATGCTTGAGGGTCAAAATCAAGAGAAAATTGATAAAAGAAACAAAATGGTAGTGGAAACTGCTAAACTTGCTGAAATTGATGGTGTAGCAGAGGTAGAGACAAATGAAGATGCTGATAAACTTATACAAGAAATAACAAACAAAATTAAAAGCTTGAAACAGGACCTTAATGAACTGAAATCAGTAGCTGATGGCGAAGAAAAGAAAATGCAAGTGTTAGTTGATGAAAGTAGGGATGCACTTTCGCGTCATAAACAGAAAATTTCTAGTAAAGAATCTGAAATTAATAAGAATAAAAGGGAAGCCAATAAACTCGATAGAGAAATTTCCGATGCAAATGAATCAAAGGTGAAATTGGAAGCTTTAGAAGCAAAAGTAAATGCTGCTGAGGAAGAATACCAACAAGCAATAAATGAACTGAATCCTGAAGAATGCCAACAGGAAATTGATGATGACAACAAAGCTGTTGATACACATGATAAGGAAATTGAAGATTTAGATGATAAGGTCAGTAACTAAATAATTTAATAGCAGCTTTGGTATGAATACTGTTAAACTAAACTAGGTTTGGAACTAAATTTATTTATATATTTAATGTGTTGTCAATTTGTTCATTTATTTTAATAATTGTTATGAATTGTTTAGGTTTATTAAAGTATAAAATATTGTTATAGTAGTAAATGTTTCAAAAACTTAAAATGTGAAAAAAACTGAGAATACTTGCCACTGTTTATGTATAATAATATTTTTATAGATAACAAAATTACAAAAGCACAATGAAAAGGTAAAAGAAAGAGACATGATTGAAGGTTCATTGAAACAAAAAGAGAAACAATCATTAGTGTTGAAGAATAAACACAAGTCGGCAATCACAGAACTTCTGGGTGAAATGCCAGAAAAGGACTTTGCAATCTCCATAAATAAGTATGAGAATGATATACGCAATGAAGTAGATACCATGAAGCAAAAATTGAAGGATCAGCAATTAGAGGTAAAGTATTTACATCATCTAAATAAAAATCTATCTAAACGAAATTCATATGCATAGAATATCATTTTACATTTACAAATTAACCAGAGTAAAATCTAAGTAAAATCTATTATTCTATAATCTAATTTTGTCTATTATACTTTGTGTAATGTACTCATATATGCACTTGCGTGCAATTTAAAAATCTTTCCTTAATGATCCATTTTTATTTTTCGAAATAAATGTATAAAATATAATTATATCCCCGTCTGTCGTTATCGGTATATGCTGGCGAAGTGCTAGTAAGAGACTACTGAGTCGAATTCATCGGGAATTATCAAGGATTATTTACCAGGGATTTCGCCATGTGGTCCTGGCATAGAATAGGCCACCTCTTCTTTTACTGTGGGTGTCATTAGAGCCGACTAAGGGAACTTAATGGTTGAGGGATGGGCAGCAATGTCCCTCTTAAGACATCACTAAAAGCTAACCTGCCTCCCAAGCGTAACAACTAGTAGCAAATAGCAATTACATTACTACAGGAGTGGGGACTGGCCCTTTAAAAAAGGCTTATATGTACTCTTATACATTTAGTTAGATTAATAAAAAAGAAAATCTTTTAATTTCCATATTATTTAATACAGCAAAAAAGCCTGGAAACAGAACGCAAACATGTACGGGAGACATTGAACGAACGTCGCAGCGAACTAACCAATGCAGAGGACCAGATATATCAAGCTTGTGGTACTCAGTCTTATACAGCTACATTAGAAAAGATTACAAACACAGTGGAGAAATTACAGGTATAATTATTATAATTTAATAATACGATTTTTAATATATCTCCTGCACGCAAATAAAATTACTATTTTGCTTAACAAGGATATGATTTACCAGAGGGAGACTTTGTACAAAAGTCGATTGCTTGGGTACCTCTGTCCCACTCGTGTGTTTTTAGCGTTGATTCAATAAATAAATTGTAGTAATATATATTATATACAAGACTAGACGAATTATATACCCTTAACTACTATATTTCACAATACTAAAATAGTATTTAGTACTAAATTTAAATATTCTGTAATTATAATAAAAAAATATGTTTAGTTTTTAAGTAAGTTTAAACTGACTTTAGCAATACTCGTAGATATAACAATGAAATACGCAAACGTTCAAATAAGTATAAATATTTAATTTCGAATTGTTCCGAAAAATAAAATCAACCAGCCAAAGATGAAAAGCAAATATAGCTCGTAACCTCAAAGGGATTAAGGGGTTAATTTATATTGTGGCGGTATAATAAAAATGATATAAATATATATTCGTGATATTATGTACATACAATTATATAACTTATGTATATCTATATGGATAATTACAATAACAATTTATTATCTTCACGCCGGATCTCTTATGGAGTAACCAATGAAAACCGGATACAAAAGAAAACCTCTATCTTAACATACATGATACATATCTAGAGGGAGACTTTGTACAAAAGTCGATACCTCTGTCCCATTCGTGTTTCAACCGTGAAGCAGTTGTGTTTGCATGGCTGTGTTTCGTTTTGAAGGGTGGGATATGGCGCGAATTTACTGGGTACAGAGGAATAACACCTGAGTCCTCAGGAATGGCAACGCATTATCATTGGCGAAACAGTATACTCTGTTATGTCCGTGATACTTCTCATGTGTATAGGCAACGGTTACCACTTTCCATCAGGTGGGCCGTCAGCATGTTTGCCATTCTAAGTTGTATAAAAAAAAAAAAATGAGTATATATTGTGACAGTTTTGCACATTTATTTGGGTTGCCACTTTAGAGTCATATATTGAACTGGCTGTTTTACCCCATAGACCTAAACCATATTAACAGCATATATTCCACATATATTGTAAACACTAACATAAATAGAAAATTAGAGTTAAGTAGTTAACAAAATTCTCTCCCAGTAAATGTTCCTGTGGGAATGGAGTTTCTCTGAATTTCTCTAGTTGACTATCAAACTCATATTTATTACAGGATGAACAAAATGTTCTTCAGTCTTCAATTTTCATAATAACTAAATACAAAGGACAACTCAAGGACAATAACTGTTGCCCACTATGCAACCGTGGGTTTGAGACTGAATCTGAGGTATGTACATTGATACAGGAGACTTTTGTAAAATTAGTAATTACAAATATACTAGCTTTAGCCCATAAGAAATCATTGAATTCCTAGATGGCATATTCGGATAAAACATACACCAGTTTTTAACTTAGACCTTAAAGACTATAACTTTGAAAACCACGTTCAATTTGGTGCAGTTACAATATTTAATTAAAAAAAAATATTGTTTTTGCTTCTATTGCTTTTATTAAGAACCCACATATAAATTTTAAATATCTTCCATATACAAACATCGTCTAGTTACAATTTATCTATATATAATTATATACTATATTTTTATTCAATATTTAGATTACCGATCTCATATCGCAAATGACAACGCAAGTAATGAATGTACCAGCCAAGCTGGAAAAAGTCACTGAAGAGTTACAAAAAGCGTCTGCGAAGAAGGATGAATTAATAAGCATGAAATCACTTAACGAAAGGATTATCACACTGAAGGAAACTGATATTCCGCAGTTAGAGACTCGACTGAAAGACATCGAACAGGTATTTACGCCACTGTATTTTAATACCTGCCGTGTGATACCGGTAGAATTAGCTACCTCATCCTTTCCCATACATGTCGTAATAGAATTTAATGCTCAAGAGATCAAAAGCAACTCCCGTTTAAAACGTCACCAAAGCGAAACTAACCGCAGTATTCGCTAATCTGCTTGCCAAGTACTACTAGCAAAACTCCCAAGTGGGAAACCTACCTTCACCAGTGGACAGTTAATACGTGTTAATACAATACATATATAATTATAATAATGCAGTTGATTCTGTACAATTTCTACTTTCTTTTTTTTTTTTTTAATTGGATAATTTAACGTTAAGAATGTTACTGACCATTAAGAACTAAACTAGTTCTGGCTGAAATCAATTATAAATTTAATTCGTCTACTGTTGTTTAAAATAATAGTTTATTTGTAATATCAAATTTGTAATTGTTATTGACATTATACTAGTACTATTGTATTGTTTGTGATTATTCCACAATAACAAAGCGAACCTTTGTCATTGAATTACAGAAAATATCGAGCTTATCCCAGTCATCAGAAGAATTATCAAATAAACTCATTGAGCCGGAACAAAAGTTGCAAACTGCAAAACTGCTTCAAGGGGAAATGCCATTACTTGACAGATGCAATCAAGACATAAAGTCTATTTCTAATATGGTAAGTAACATACAGACATTGTAGTGTTTTATTATACTTATTTTCATACTAGATTATTTACTAGATAGTATAAAAATACGAGAACTAAAAGTATCAGTCATCTATTTTCGTAATTTCCACATCTCATACATACACATTTGCTCTGGAGACTTCAAGTTTTGCCTTGAACAGTTTTCAAAGGGATTAAAAAACTGTTAATCATAAAAATATATATTTAAAAAATTACAGTTGGAGACTGCGCAAGCACAATGTGCGGATTTAGGTTTCAATATGACTTTGGAAGATGCAAATGCAAAAAAGATAGATCTAAGACAAAAAATTTCAACACTGAAAGCTCGAGTCAAGACAAGCCAAAGAAAGCTAAATGCACACACTAAAAAAATACAAACTATGGCCGACAAAAAGAATAAGTTAAAGGAACAATGCCTCAATGTGCAGAAAAAGGTTATAATTTTTATTTTTATTAATTCTATTTTCGTTCTATGTACCATATTATATATTCTTTTAATAATTCTATATAGGTATTTTATGTACTGATATTATTCAAGTTATTTACACGTTTACATAAAAAAAAAAACCTAAATTAACTGCCTGTATGAATTATTGTGATCGTATTCTTAAAATCGAGAAAAAAATATATTTAAACTGTAAGATTTCGAGAAACTACTAATCGCAAAATATTATTATTAAAATAATAAAACGTCATATTAACATTAGGTTCAAGAAATAGTGAACCTGCAAGAGAAAAAGAAGCAGATAGAAGCTGATGCAGAAAAATTTTTAGAGGAGTTAAAGGAACTTCAAGAGTCTATCGCGCCTTTGGAAGCTAATCTCAAGGAAAAGGAAGCTGCGAAAAATGAAACTGTAAAAAAACACAGGTAATTTACGTTTAATTACAAAAGAATAAAAAAAATATCAGTAGTAATAATCTCACTAAATTAATTAAATATGGAAGACAGATGTAGGAAATAGGCTATGAAACATTGGGAATCAAAAGTTGATTGATGAAGGATGTTTAAAAAATAATCCTTACTAATGTTATTATACTTATTATATTACTAGCTATTATACTTTCTCGTTACTTCGTACACGTGCATTTCAAAGGTAGGAAAACCAATAACATAAACCGTTACTAGATGGCGTGTCAAAATAAAATATACACCAATTAAGTTAAAGCTTCAAGAATACGACTGTGAAACCCGCATTTAATTGGGTGCAGAAATTTTTGCAAGATGCCGGAACAAACATACAAATAGAAAAATTTCTAAAAATTGTTGTTTTAGCATCTATTAGTATTATTAAAACCCCTCATATTAATTTCTTTGAGATGTGCAAAATATTAAAAAAAATGAATTTTATTATATTAATAAGATGTGAAAGTCAATTTGTTTGTTTGTTATTTTTGACACGTTAAGGTTAATCTCTTAAGACGCCATTTACTCTGAAATTTGGTATATAGGTGCTGTATGGAATGGAGAAGGACATAGGCAAACTTTTTATCCCGTTCAATGAACGTAACTCAGTCACGCGGACGCAGTCGCGGATAAGCTAATAAATGAATAATTAAAATAAAATGTGTTTTTGTACTTTTTTAGAGATATTGTCGACACCAAGAATAATTACATAGTAAAAGTGGTAAATGAGTTTGATAAAGTTAAGACTATACTCTCTGAAATAAAACAACACAAAGATAGAAATATTCCTCGTGAAATGGAGAAGATAAAAGAAGCCAACGACAAGCTTATGGAGAAACAAAAGCAAATCATGATCGACAGAGATGAACTGACAAAAAAGATTGATAGTTTGAAAGATGAAATTGCCAAACAAGAGGTAAGTAGTAGCTATTGTTATGTCCTACTCTATTATACTTATACAATTTTTCACATTCACTACAATAAGAAAAGAATCTTATTGATATATTATAAATGGGAAAGTTTGTAAGGATAGATGGATGTGTGTCAACTGAAAGAATCGAAGTAAAATTTGGTATATGGATAGGTTTAGCATATAGGATATTTTATATACTAATTTACATTACCTGTATGTGTATACAAAATAAACATATTTTTATTTAAGTAACCTTAATTATAAGCATTTTTGAATAGTTTTTTTTTTTTATATCTGGCACCCAGTGATTTATTTTAAATGTATAATTTGCCGTAAAATTTAGTTTTTATTTATGTTATTTTTATTATTAAAATTAATAATTTTAGATCTACAAACGAGATCTAGACGACAATTTAAAATTGCGAAAAACCCAAGAAGAGATCGGGAATTGTCACAAGGAGGAAGAAAAGAACAATGAGAGAATGAGTGGTGTGAATATGGACACATTGTCAGAAAAGGAATCATTAATAACTAAACAGACGAAATTGTTCCGTGAAAAGGCACAAATTGAGGGGAGTTTGAGTGAACAACAGGTATGTAAAATGAGTGGTTTACTTTAAGTTTCTCGTTAACTTTTTGATGACGAAACACACCGATAACCAAATCAATCTTAGTAATGATGATAGGTTCATCTTTAACCATATTGGATTCAAATATATTCGGTGAAATATATAAATATATTGAGTGTTATTTTCACCACAACAGCAGAAAATGACAGATGCCTCTGACAACACCATAAGGGATTGTAGTCATGAGCTTATTTATTATTTACTTTGACATGATATTACGTTCGTCAGAGTAATTTATAAACATACAAAAAAGGGCTTTCGTCACAGTTAATATGTATTTTTTATATTAAATTTTATTTACAGGATAGATTGAGACAAATTAAACTAGAAGTAAAAAAACTTCAAAATAAAGATATAGAAAGAAAGTATAGAGAGAAGTACTATGAATTCAACGTCACTAAAGCCATGGATAAAGACATCAGGGATTACTCAGTCGCGCTGGAGAAATGTCTAATGGAATTCCATAAAGAAAAAATGGAAAACATTAATCTCATCATCAGGTACATTCAAACAGAAAATAAATTAATTTTAAATTACATATTTGTTTAACATAGTTATGTCACACTATTTATACAAAATTATAGAAGATTTGAATGTCTATCAATGATAAGCTGATGCAATTTGTATCATTAATTTTCTCGCCTCACCGTAAATCCATCACATTATATATCTAAATTAAATTCAATTAATTTTCCACCAGTAGTTTTTAACGGTAATTAAAAAACTTGAAAAATCTCGGAATACATTTTTTAATTATTAAAAAAAAACAATGATAAAACAAGAACGTCAAATACCAAGTATGAAGATTTACAACGACTACCTCTAAACATCATCATTATCATCATATCAGATTACCTCAAAATGTGCTTTGATTTTATGTCGATTCTGTACATTGCGCAGCGCGAGACTCGTTTAGTAACTCCTATTCATTCTTCTAAATTCTATTCCTATTCTTTCACTATCCAAGCTATCCGTCTCTGGAACCTCCTCTTTGGGAGGTCGTTTTGTAAAATCTCATTTCCTATCTCTCTAATTAGATTTGACGTTTACTATGTGTGATTTATCTTGATCTATTTAGTATATTTATGTTTATGTATTATTATTTATATTATATATATGTATGTTTATGTATTATTATTTATATTATATATGTATGTTTATTTAGGTTATGTAATCTTATTTTTATATTTAGAATTTTTTGCATTTTGTCTGATTCCTTTTATGCATTTACTGTGTCTGATTTGGCCATCTACCTTTCTCTCTGTACTTATCCATTCTTTATGCCAGGTTGTCTGTAAGTTACCTTTTGTATATGCACGTTCTGTATAAATACTCCTTGTATACATCTTTACTGTGCGCAATAAAGAGTTTATTATTATTATTATTATAAGCGCTACTTTTCTCGCACCAACTCACTCACTTTTCCAATGAATATAAAACTTATTTTTTAATTACTTAAAAAAAAAACTGATGAAACAAAAACGTCAAGTACCAAGTATGAAGATTTACAACGATTACCTCTAAACATCCATCATTATGATCATATCAGCCTCTAACTGTCCACGACACCCACGGGAGGCTTTGGAGGAAGAACTGGGCCCTCCTTTAATTGGCCTATTTTAAGCATCCAACACTAGGTGAATAAATTTCCCGGCACTAGAGTGGTCGGGTCGAGTCTCACACGTACAACGGCCCAAATGAAAGCCTTAATGCGGAAATGGGAGTTAAATTTACATTAAAGTGATCGGAAGCAAATTCATGATTTAGAATACGCCTGTATTTACTTAATTTATTTAGCAGATCGGAAATTATGCAAATTGGATATTTCATACTAAGTGGTCTAAACTAAGAACAATGCAGTTTGTGCAACTGTTTGTCATTTGTTTTCTCTTTAAAATCTAGTTAATAAAAACCATATCGTTTGTTTTTCAGAGAGATGTGGCGAAAAATATATAGAGGAAACGATATTGATTATATTGAAATAAAAACCGAAAGTAGTATGACTGCTGATTCGGATCGCCGCAAATATGACTACAGGTAAAATATCGAATATTTTGTTTCTCATTCCACTTATAACAATACATTTCTTATCTATGTAAAATTATTTTAAATTTATAATTAATTAATGTGTTACAGAGTGGTGCAATGTAAGAACAATGTAGAAATTGATATGCGTGGCAGATGTAGTGCAGGACAAAAAGTTTTAGCGTGTCTTATTATAAGATTGGCACTTGCCGAGACATTCAGTTCCAGGTAAATTTATGCATTCACGTGTAATAACGTATAAAAACAAATTATTTACATACTAGCTGTTGCTCGCGACTTCGTCCGCGTTTCCGTCGTTTTTCGTAAAATAAGTAGCCTATGTCCTTCCTCACGGTTCAGTGGTATTGATGTAACAGACACATTTTCCTTCACTGCTCTGCTCTTGTTGATCGTAGCGTGATGAAAAATATACTATAACTTGCCCAGGAGTATGAAGTATAATTGTACCAAGTTTCGTTAAAATCCGTCGAGTAGTTTTTGTTTCTATAACGAACATACAGACAGACAGACAAAAATTTTACTGATTGCATTTTTGGCATCAGTATCGATCTCTAATCATCCCCTGATAGTTATTTTAGAAATATATTTCATGTACAGAATTGACCTCTCTACAGATTTATTATAAGTATAGATTATGACAGATGTGTTTGTACGGTCATTCCTATAATCTTTAAGCATAATATTTTATCGTCTCTAGTATAGTTACTAGGCGCATCGGTAATTGGACACGCAAATCGATAAACACTAGTTTCGTCAATATCTTCTTGTGTCATGTTCATCAACTTGCATGTTAAAACCGCAGAGTCACAATCGAATTACGTAAAATAATAGAATCAATCCCATTAATGTGCTGAGAATCGCCAACAAATTCATCTGTTTTATACTTCGGAATCGTTAGCTTGTAAAGGATTCTATTTGTAATGTGGAAACAAAAATAACTAATTATTATTTTTGTTTCTTTTTTCATAGATTCGGAATCTTAGCCTTGGATGAGCCTACAACAAATTTGGACCAAGAGAACATCAGGAGCCTTTGTTCAGCGCTTGGCGAAATAGTACAAGAGCGAATGACACAGAAAAACTTCATGTTCATCATCATCACACATGACAGGGAGTTTATTGAATCTCTTGGTAACATCGACAAAGTGTCGCATTATTATGAAGTGTCTAGAAATGATGAAGGCAAATCCAGAATTAAAAGGATTCGATTCTCATAAATGTAGTGTTTAATTACAACTTTATAAAAAGCAGCCATTCCTTACAGTTAGATGTATTTTCTCTAGTAAGTGTTAAGAAGGCTGTGCCTTACAGAATAACAGAATACATTATTATCTTGATTATCTTATAAGAAATTTATCATTAAATTTTTTTTACGCAATTACACGCTTTTTTATTTGTTTAGATTGATAAGCGGATTATTGAGAACAAATGTTACAAGTAATATTACTATAGACTTCTTTTATATATGTTATGCTTATTGAAATTTTTTATAGTTTTTTTTTTTTTTTTGTTATTTTTATTGCACTTCACTATACACACAGATAGTATATTCCAGTTATACAATAATACTGTCTATTCAAAGGCGTATTTGAGTGGATGCCGGGCCCAACTCAAAATTGTCTGATGCGTACCCCTGGACGTGAACAAATCTTTTAATTATAGCAAAGACTTCTAAAATTACCTAATGTGCTTTCTCAGGGGAAAGGGATTGTTAGTAATAGGGTTTAACTGACCCATTGCTAGCAGTACATCTTATCAGGTCGACCTCCACGCGGTCCCCCCTAAAAATCGTGGTTAATTGAATCGAGGATGAAATTCCAGGTCAGCCCATCGTGATGAATACACCTGGAATTCAGAACGTTGTTTTCCAGGGGGGACCATGTGGAGAATGACCTGATAGAGTGTATCGCTAGCAATGGGACTGGTAATTCGCATTACTAACAATCCCTTTCTCCCCAATCAACAATAATATTATGAGTACTTTTAATTCTTAATTTGATTTACATGAAGACCTCGATCTGGATTAACCCTACTATTAAAAATTGTATATTAACTAATGGGATGAAAATGAAATGGTAACTTCTTGGTATGCACTAGCTGATACCAGTAAATGGTAATATATGATGAAGATTGGTCAGTGAGCCTATCGTGAGGAATTAATCACAATAATTTCAGGGGAGGCCGCGTGGTAATCGACTGACAGAGTATATTATTAACAATGTGAACTAACTTCATTGTTAACAAACTCTTTCCTCCTTATATAACCTGTCAGGTCGACCTCCCCCTTCAGCGAAATATGTGCAAATCGAATTAACCCTATTAATTTAATAGTGAAATAAATCAAGGTGATATAATTCATATTCAAAATTAAAGAAAAATTGGTTAAAAAATAAATTTGACAGCTATGTTTTTTTTTTCTGCAATGGACATTTAAAAGGTATCCAGACACGATAAACTTAAAGTGAAATTGTTCTTTTGTATAATTTTTGGGCATTCAATGTTATGATGGCAATTTCCACCATTATGTAAAGAAGGGTTAATCATAACGGAATCAGAAGTTCTAAATGTCTATTTATCTCACAACAGCCTCAGAAATATAAAGTAGTTAAACAAAATTACAGATCGAAAAAAAAACGAATAAACAATACAATTATTAAATTTAATAAAAAAATCCATAAACAAAACAATTGGTTTATAAATACATCCAATTTGAAGCCAATTCCATATAGTATAATTATGCATAGAGACAATACAATGTAGAATTATTAAAACATGGATATAAATTAACTAACTGATTGGTGCTCCTATTATACCATTTAGTCGCTCACAGATGGCCATCTGGTCTATATAAAGAATTTTACTTTCTTGCAAAACGGTCAACGTGATTCCTAACAACTCTGCAATCTGTGTGGATGGAAAAGACTGCGCCAAACATTTAATGATGTAAGGCACTAAGTCTTCACAAAAACACACACAGAATAAAACAAAGTTTTGTCTCTCTATGTCTGTAAAACTCTGTTGTTCCTTATGATAAAATGCTAATAAAATCTGAACTGCTTTCTCTAGTGATTTTCTGAAACCAGTATATACTTCTTTAACGATATTTAATGGGGCAGTGATTCTTAGTGAATTCAAAACTGTTAACAGTCCATTACAATACTCTGCTAAAGGATAATAGTCAAGTAGGTTCTCTGGTGGTCCAGGTGCCATGTTCTCATTTACAGGTCTTTGTACATTCTTTATACTGGATACCTTATACGACCGCATTTGCTTATCTAATTGATTAACAGCTCTTTCCAAGCCACTGTGTAGTTGCAGCAAAATATTATTGCGGAATAAAGGTGTTAATACACATCTCATGTCAGCACCTACTCTTCCAAATGATAAACACAAAAACATGCATTGATTTAATAAGGACTCAAAGCTCGATTCATCCTCTCTCAACAAATCTTGGTTCAACATTTGGGCCAAGGTTTCTACCTGAAATAAGAAAATTCATCATCATTATTATACTTGATAGTAGGATCGATATTAGGACGCGATTTCTGTTAACCTATTTCTAAAATTTTAATTTCCATTTGATTTTACAATGGTATTTATTCTAAGAACTATGAACTAAATTTTCTACAAGATTTTAATTCAAATTATAAAATTATGATGGTCTAAAAATCAGTAACTTCGAAATTATCAAATACAAATATTAAGAAATAGGTTTAGAGAAACGGCGCTACAAAATCGACCGTATTGACAAACCTTATATTGATAAAGCTTGACGTTTTACCAAGAAATTATTTAGTCATGAAGTACCATAAATTACCTTAATATTATAGGATATTTTATTATTCTTATATTTATTAGATGTATTGATACTTGTAAAAAATAAATATTTGTTGGGTGGCTGTAAAATCATTCAATATCCCAGAATTTTTTTATCATGCAACTTAGAATAGTAAACAAACTGAAGGCCTACCTGATGGAAAATGGTATATTTTGCCTATAGAGAGCTCCATGAATATCACAGAATACTTTGTAACTTTCATGACATCCAATGTACTAAGACTGTGTGTCTGTACCCTGTAACTTTACTGCCAGATCTCATTATCTAAATCTTAAATTCTAAGCTATATTACACAAGTTTATTCTCACTTATAAAGCATCTTTTAAAAAAGACCTCTAATTTTTTTCAAAGTAAAGTCGAAAATTGTCATTGGCAAAGATTTTCAATGCCATCTGGCACTAGAAAATATTAGCATCGTATATGATATAAAAAAAGAGAATGCTAATCTAATAATAAAAAAAAAATATCATTATTATGACAAATAACAAAAATACTCAAAAACTTGTTTAAACTTTGCTATCTAATATGATATGTGATTACCTTTTCTTTCAGCCAACATGACAGTGCACTTGTTCCATTTAACTCTTCATCTTTTATTTTAGAATCTTGCGTATCTGATAGAAATATTGATTTATGCTGAGTCAATACATTGAAAAGGTGGATTCTATGCAATTCCACTATTTTTCTCAATAATTTCTCAGGTGCTGCAAAAAAATAGTATTAAGTAGACTACTTACTACTGCTTATGTTTAAATTTTAATTAAAAAATTATTATTATATACATAGTTATAAAAAGTTATATTTCTTTTGCATTGCCAGCCATTGTTTTACTGACTCTACTTGGTATCTATGGTGCCAAAATCTGAGCAAACAATAAGAAATTCAATATACTACTGCTATATCAAACATAATTTCAAATTATAAGGATATCAATCAAAACCATACTTAAGGGAGGCTGGGTGGGCTGTGCATACACCCTGGTATCCAAGCAAAGCTTTGCCTGAGAGTTCATGTACAACCTTTTGTAAGAGACCAAGTCCCTCCTAGAAAATAATCTTAAATATGCTAATACTTTCATTTATCATAAAAGGTAAGTGAATCAAGTAAAAAGGAATGTAATGTTATAGTTGAATAATCATGTAATTAAAAGACTCACATTCTGTACTCTTTGCATCCTCCAAAGCTTTATCAAACCATGCATTTCTTGCCTTTAAAAAATGTAAATGTAATCCATCAGACGTAAATATATTATTTTTATTCCCTGCTACATACTGTAACCCATTTTCCTCATCATCTGTTGCTCTGTATACTGTATTTGCTCTGCGAAGATAACCTAAAATCTGAAGTATTACAAATTTAATAATTTATAAAAAGATATTTGTTATAAATTGAAGGATTACAAAGAACCTTACTTGCAAACATTGAGGTAAAGGTAAGTCATAACGAAGTTGATTAAATAAGTGATATAAAGTTTCAAACCATAGTGTCATTATCTCTGAAGTTGTATTCTGAAAATATAAATTATATAATTATACTCCAATTTGTCTAATTATAATACTGTTGTTTAAATTAAAAGAAAATTATGACAAAATCATTAAATTACATAAAAAATCCTAGAACCTAAAAGTGTCATAGATACACTTAAAGTATTTTATATTAATTTTTTTTATAAATAGTGTTTATTTTGTAATAATCTAAAGATTAGCCTGAAAATTTTATAAATATTTCTATTCCACATACTTGTACAATGGGTATCTCAGAGTATCTTTTAGATAAATTGCGAACAAAAGTAAATATGTCCAATGCACTCTCATAGTCTTCAGCATTGAGAGCTTCTCGCATAAGAGATGGCAGTTCTAGGAGTTCCAACATTTTATCTACTTGGTTACGAATACCACTGTACTGGCTGAAATAAAATGAGAAAATTACATTCTCATGGAACCTATTTTTAGTTATTTTTCTTATAAAAACTATTTGCTATATATTTTAGTTACCTTTTCTCTTTAACAATATTTCCTACCATCTGTGAAAAACCTTCACATTCTTGCAAAAAACTAGGTGTTGTACTTAAAAATAAGTCCAATGACTCTTTTGATTTTCCTAGATCTTTCATAATTGTTTTTGATATCTCTGCTGTCTCAACAAAAGTTTTGTAATTAGTAAAAGCAAGTTCCTGTGTTTGCTCTGTTAACTGTTTCATTTCTTCAGTTAACCTTTCTGGTTCCTTGCGAATGTGCTCCCAGTTCTGAGAACCTAATTTTTTTATATAATCAGTGATTTCTCCAAAATTTTCGAGCTGTTCTGTAATGAATAAATTATAATGTCTAGTGTGGATTATAAAAACTATATGGAGACGATACCTCCATTGCATAACGGAGAACAACAGTTTAAGATTCCTTCGAAAATAAAATGAATTACCTGTTGTATTATCAGGAAACAATAAATGGCACAATTCTTTTAGTTCTTGAGCCATTTCAACAGTTATGAAAATATAAACATAAAAAAACTATCATTTATTTTTTTGTTTTCAATCGATTTCAATAAAGGAACTCTAACTTGATTGGACTGTATTTTTTATACTGGGTATAGTATCTGTATATATATCAGTCTTTAATATTATTTAGAAATTTTAAAACTTTAATCCGAAAAAGAATTTTGTTTAAACATTAACACTATGATAATATGATTGACATAACGAATTGTCCGCCTGACATCTTATGGACGTCTTTAATGACGTGAATCGTTTATGTCATCTGACCAAAAAGTGACAATCTAAGTCATTGTAAGTCCTTGTTCTTAGTTCTAACTAGCCTTTATACCACGAGTCTCCAAACTATAGCTTGCGACTCAAATTCGGCCTGCCAGTGCCCGCGACAGGCTAGGTCTTATCGTTGTTATTATTGCTTAGGTCGCGCACTTTGCAACTATTTCCTAAAAACATAGTTAAGGTCAGAAAAATCAAAACCATTTTGGCCTATAGGATGTAATTGAAAAATCATTATGACCCTAAGACTTCAATGTTTGGAAACCCCTACTTTAGACGATTCTGACGAAACGTAATCTGTTGTCGGTCTGCTATAATAATAATTCTTATTTTTTTATATATAATTGTGTTCTTCGATTTGATCTACCTCTAAAAATACACGTATCTCCTAAACTAATACGTAACTATGTTACTTTAAGTCTATGCTTAGACATGTCTTTTCCCATAGGTAAAAGTTTTGCCCACATCCTAAGTTGATCACTGATACGAAGCAATTTCTTTTTGTGTTAGATGTAATAATAGATGCATGCTTGAATCTAATGACTTGATTATTTATAAATCCTATATTGTGTACTGCCTATTCATACATATTTTAAAATGATGTCCAACGCTACCTATTGCCAAATGTGCTGCATTAATTACGAGAACTAGCGGCCCCATTACTAGCTATATATCCTATTTGGTCAACCTTCAACTGTCTTTTTCCTAGTGTACATTCATAATCAGGATTATATTTAGCTCTATTATTATTATAGGTATAAAATCAAGTCATAATGAGTCGGTATTGCTTTATTTATTGGTACATTTTAATACATCTGTGAATTATAAACAAGCAAACAGTAGTATAGCATTGTAGATCCTCGTATAAAATTCGAACGCTGTATTGCTATTGCTGATGTTATTATTACATAGATTAGATTATGATAACTGCACTTTATTTTGCCACGGGATTAGCGCTCATGCACCAGGTACTTTATGATAACAAAGAAATATTTATCGAAAATTGCTGACATGTGATTTGTTTCATACATTTCGGAAATGATATGAAAATTATAATCATGACAATATAAATAAACGTCAATGATACTACAAGATTTTATAGTATGTATATATATATATATATATATATATATATAATGTTTAAATAACTACAATGTAGTTGAATGACTACAGCGTATTCAAAATGGTTCTATTAGTTTAAAATAAATCATGACCAAATAAATAGTTTCCTTTTAAAATTTATTTCTCGAGTTTATTTACAGTTACTATAAAATTACATTTCTAAAATTATTTTAAAATTATTCCATGATACGAAGTTTTTCATTACCTATTCAGGTGTACTATAGAGATCACTTTAACGAGAAAATTATTAATAATAACTACAATGACGTAACATCCGCTTCTTTAATATAGGTATCGTTATTCACTGGCCATGAGCATTATGGCACAAGGATATCTTGGTTAACGTATTCATCCTTACATATAATGTATTCGATACATGTTCATTGCACAGGTGACGAAAATTAAAGGATCTCAAAATAGTATTTGCACCAAACAAAAAAAAAAAAAAAAACAAAAATGATCAGAATCTATTAACTATATATACTTATGTACAATTTTATATCTAGATTAAACAACATCATTGAAACTAATAGATAAATCAGTCCATTAGTAAAATACAATAATACCCATTTGCATTTAGTTATACAAATAAAACTCAAAAGATGTCATCGAAATTATTATAAAATTATAGAATTTACAGGAAATACAAGAAACAAAGTATGAGTTTGTATTCAGTGTTTAGCCTCAAAGTGACCCACTGTCCTTATTAAAAATTACACAAGTAATTATTTACAACAATTGACAACCATTATAGATCACCTACAATCTTATTATAAACATAAGTAGACAGTCATTAACAATAATACAAAATTATTTAACTATCACACGTGTATAAAGATATGGCCGTAATAACCAAGTCTGTATCACACACACTGATAACACTTTCACATCTACATTTAAATTTCATCTAAATTAATACATACATAGTAACATTATTATACTTATTAGAAGTTATTCACTTCAACTGAATTAGAAACTATAGCATGATCATTACAACATATGTAATTAGATTTCTTCAAATTCCATTCTGGAATAATAAAATTCCTATGATTTATATTTATTAAAGGACTGCAAATAATTTAACAATCATCATAACTGTCACTAGAGATTCATCAATGAAAAAAGAATAAAACTATTAATGTTGTGATGTACTCATACAGATGTTTTTTGAAATTCATCGATGGATCCATATTATACTACTTTATATATTTCATTTCATTCATCTTCATTATACTACACATACCACTATCAGTAAAGTATACTGATACTTTACGAAGACACTTTGAAGTTCAATAAAATGCATAAATATTGACAGCTACGTATGAAGAAGTAATTGGCATATTTTAGTAACACTAGTGCTGTGATGTAATCCACACTCATCCATTCTATTCAGCACCGATACTTGGCAATTTAATTAAAAATATGCCAATTTTAAAAATCAAGGTATATTTAATAAATTTGGTATGTTTAGTAAAGTAGTAGTAGTCTGGATTATTTTTCGAAATAACAGCGTCTCAAAACAAGATATTACTAGAATAAAATTATTTGTTTAACCTCCTGAGGTCAGAAGTCCTAATACTAGAACAAAATATTTTTCTGTAAAATCCTAATTTCTAAAATAGCGATTTGGGGTCAACGCCCACTGTACTAATACTACACCGTCATCTGCTGCGTTTGTATTACGCGCCACGTCGGATATTCGATGTCGTTTAGTCCTAATAACAAGGTATTACATAGAAGGAATGATAAAATAAAAACTGTAAATCATATGGTTGCCTTCTTTTTTCTTATGCAAATATAATTAGAAAAAAGTAATCAGTTGCTATTTTTCTCAATTCATAGCAGGCTAATAATTACGTGGGAGGGATAGATTTTCTTTATGGATGATAACAGTATGGTAATCCCGCCTGTGCTATTGGTATACACTGGCGGGGCCCCAGTGAGGGATGAATGGTGAGGATGAAAAGGCAGGTCAGTTAGTTCATCGTGACGAATTCAATGATAAATTAGTGACGATGGTTTCCAGGGGGAACCGCGTGAGGGTCGACCTGATGATTGATAGCAATGGGCACTAACCTTCCTATTACTAACATTCCATTCCCCCAGGAAGGAGTAGATTTAGCAGACAGATATATATATATATATATATATATATATATATATATATATATATATATATATATATATATATATATATATATATATATATATATATATATATATATATATATATATATATATATATATATATAATGATTAATATTATCTAAGTGTAGTGATTAAAATTTTGATCTCAGTACAATGTTAAATTTATTACTAAAGCCATAAATAAAGACAGAGCTAATATTATTTTTAGGGAAGATAGTTTAAAAATGCATGTTTCGTAGTTTTTGAATTTTTGAAATTTTAAAAAATTATTAAAGTGATAAATTTAATGACGAAAGTGGTGGTTTTAGATTACTATTTGTTTGGTTTATTTTGAATTTTCGAAATTTTTAGGTTCTTATTCATTTTCACAAATCAATCGGGTCAATTATGTTGACTAAATATACAAATACATAATTACAGTACTGTAATGTCATTGACAGTATGATTCCGTCGATTATTTGTTATATTTCTTGTTTATATTTCCGTTTTCTATGGGAGTTTAGGTTATATGTAGCATCCCAATGTAATAAATATAGAACAAACTATTTTGCAGTCTTTTTTTTTCTATCGGGCAAGCCTAAATCAATATTAAATTATCCCTAAAATATTACACCTATATCAGTTGTGGTTACCAGAATAGAACAATTTTTGGACTGGCCGTTCAGGACTAAATTATTTGTTCTAATATTAGGACAGTCTTTGTCGGCACATCCGACTCTTTGAGACCGGGCCGCAGGAGGTTACATTGATCGTGTACTACTACTATTTCATTTTTAAATTATTAATTAGAAAAAAAAATATATCATCATTTTACTAAACACGGTAAGGATAAATAAACAGAATATATATAGACATTCAGAGTGCAGTAACCCAAGCATTACTGAAAATGAATATCATCATATCAGTCGTTAACTGTCCACTGGGCCTCCCCATAAGGAGGGGGTTTTACTAGTAATTGCCTCGCTTGTCAGACGGATTAACAACCACAGCTAAGCTTTGATAATGTTTTAAGAATGATGTCTGACCATATTTTTCACTGACAGATCATCACATATCGTTACTGAGGAGCAGAACGATTTGTTGATATTCTATCGAGCCGTTGCCGCTTCTACATGGGGCTAGCGGCGACGTCGTGACGATCGTCATATGTGTATCGGCACATGTAGCAGCAAGGCGTCCCGCCGAGGGAACTCTAAAGAGCACATCTCGCATTTGTACGGACCACCCGGCTCCGGCTCCTCCACCGTCGGTGAAGGCGGAGTGGGAGGGGATGGCGTGCTGCGGGGGGGAGACTGGGGCCGAATGGCTCGCAAGTCGTCCGCGGGGTGTCGTGGAGGCCGCCTCGTTCGAATCTGTGTTGACATGACAACATTTAGATGAAAAATCAGTGTTTATATATATATATATATATATATATATATATATATATATATATAACGGGCCACAATGGATAGTGGTAACCGTCGCCTATAGACATAAGTAGTACCATGGACATGGTATGCAACAATGCTACTTGTTGAAATCATTAATTAATTCTTAAAAAGACCAACATAATTTAACACCATTCGTCCAGTTTATTTTTGGAACATTTCAGAAATAGTAAATTCAAAAGACACTGATAATCTTATTCTACAAAAAGGAATTATTATCATAATGTAAATTGTTTTAAAGCCACAATCTTTCCTTTGTCTTGACAAAGTCTCTCAAGTTAAAGAGTCTCAAGTTTAAGAAATCCGAAACGGAAAAAATATGCAGCCATCCAAGATAAAAAATCTAAAAGTCCTTCATAAAAAAAAATTACTAAGACCATGGCTTAAAAAACGTCCGACGTCTTTTCAGTATGCAAGATTCACGGGACCCAATATACGTTGAATATGAAGCTTAAAACTGACCTGCTTAGTCCTAGGGCGCGGTTCCTCCGTGTGTATCATACGCGGGCGCGGCGGCGGTTCTGGTTGCCGGCGGCGGCGGCGGCGGCGCGCGGCGAGCGGCGGCGAGGCTGTGGAGGCGGCGGGAGAGGGGGTGCGGCGCGGCGGGGAGGGCGAGGCGGGCGGGGGCGGCGACGCGGCCGCGGGGGACGGCGAGCCGCTCGCTGAGCGTGACGCGCGGCCCCACGATCGCCGCGCCGGCGATTCCGTTTTCACTTTCCGTCGACGTTTGTATTTACGCGGACCAAACTGAGGATACAAAGTTTGTTCCGTTAAATATATATATTTATTTTTATAACTAATAAGTCTTCTGGGAGTATATATATAAATATAATTTAGAAAGAAACTTTACTATAGCGATTCATATCTGTGTGTACATACATGTTATATACAGACGAGTCATTAGAGAAAAGTTTGTTTCCTAATTCGCCTAACCGAAAATCAATCTCTTTTAGGTAGTTACATTCTGCTATTAATTTTACAATATGAACAAAGTTTTTAACCGTAGTACATGTAGATAACTTCTTCAATAGTCTCCACTGTTTTTTGGTTTTGTTTAATTAGCCAAATCAATGAGATGTGATGTGCTGTTTGTGGCTTACAATTTTAAGTACAATTGTTAATGTATCTACGTATGTATGTATGTAAGTAATCTAAGGTCCAGTGTTGGCACTCACCTGAGGTTGCCTTTTAAGAGCTGTGTTAGCATCACAATGCTGTATTAAATGCTGGACTAGTTCTGCACTGGAATGTAGTGTTTTTTCACATACCACACAGCAATATGCAGGTCCACCTGTAAATAAAAAAAAAAAAACATTATTATAACAGAAAAACATTAGATAATGTACAGATTGACTGAGTACAAACCGTTAGCGCGGCGGTCGGGCGCCGTACTACTAATTATTAATATACAGTACTAAAATTACATATATAAACGAATAAATATATATAAATAACAAATATACGACACATATATGACATATACTATATTATACACGAAATTGAGAATAATATAAAGTACTTACTGCTCGGATGTGCGTTAACGCTTTTTTTGAAAGACGGTTTAGTCGGTAGTCTCTTAATGGCATCAGGAAGCGCGCAGAGCAACACCACGCGCTGGTTGAACGCGCGCGGACACACGGCGCATGCGTACGGCTTCTCGCCTGCAACACAGCGGAAATCTATTTATTTATCTATTTATTAATTATATTTATTAAAAATATTTACAACATTATGACAGCAAAAGCCAAATCAATGTTATAAACCTAGTGTGCTAACATACAAAATTATAATAAAAGTGTTTTTACCCGACTCCAGATATTTCTGAACCACTGAAATATGTGTGTGAAATGTGAATAGGACTCTATTTTCCGCGCTTAGCCTCTCATTTGGGCCGTTGAACGTTCTGAACCACTATCATTGGCAGGCTACTACTTAAAATATCAATGATCTTTATAATATTATTTAATACGCATACTGCGTGAGTAAGGCAGGGTGCTGAAGTAGGTTAGTTCTGTAAGTCGATCGTTTGTGGATATAATTTTTAAGACTTATAATAGAAACTTTAATAAAAACAATAGAAAATAGAAGAGGTAAAATGTTAAGCCACCTTATACGACATGACGATCTTTTACAGAGAATAGTAGAAGGAAAACTAGAGGGCAAAAGAGGAAGGGGACAATCGAGGAATAACTACATGGGACAGATAAAAGAAACACTAGGTGTCATGTCATATAGGGAGATCAAGCATATGGCCTGGGATAGAGCTGGCTGGAAGAGGATGCATGAATTAGTTGCACCGACAAGAAGAAATTCTTAAATGAAAAAGAAAAGGAGTAATAACATGGGCATGAATTTAAATATTGTCGCAACGGCTAATTTAGTTTTCAGGAATGGAATGCATAGGAGGTATCATAGGCGAAACAATATACTCTGTTATATCCATAGTAGACTGTTCATGTCTATATGTGACGATTACCACTTTCCATCAGGTGGGCTTGCTTGCCATTGTAAGTTGCATAAAAAAGCCAACTGTTTGTTGAAACTGAACTACTGAATAGATTTTAATAAAATTTCCATTAAGACCAATCTGAAAGTATATTCTGTCAGATAAAGAAAATCTTAAATCGTTTTACAACTGAAAAAGATATGAAGTAACAAACAAAAAAAAAAACGGAATTAAGACCCTTCTTCTTTTTTTAAGACCATTAAAAACAAAATATTATGAGCTTAACACTGACCTGTATGTATTCTTTCGTGTTTGCGAAGGGTACCGCCGTCCGCAAATGCCTTCCAGCAAAATCTACATGCGTATGGCCGCTCGCCAGTGTGGATCCGTACGTGGATTTGTTGTGAACTTCGCGATCCGAACACTTTTCCTACAAATTCATTACTACAATGTATATTTTGATATTAAAAAATAATATACATTCATCTTTAAAAATTATCACACTGTACAGAATTGTAAACATTAACTTAACATTTTGCCTGTGATGGATATTTTTACCTTGTTTAATGTTACTAATGAATTGAAATTTGTTAAGTATCAATTTAATAACATAACTTTATAACACTTACCACACTCTCTACAGGGAAACTGTCTTGAATTATTGGATGTCGACGTATTATTTCTACCACGATTCATCTTTTTTAATCTGGAAATGAGAATAAAAATTTTGAATTGCATATTTATTAAAATACTAAAAAAAGTTTTTGTAAAAAAACTATTGTTTGTAAAACGTCCGGCGTCTGCCCTGCCCTTTCATTGTCACTGGTGCCCCATCAGCATCATACCTGGAGGCGGCGTGCGAGGCGCGCGGCCGCTCGGCGTGTCGCTCGGCGTGCGCCAGCAGCTGCAGCGCGTCCGTGCAGCTCTCCCCGCACACGTCGCACGTGTGCTCCGCCCACGTACTGCTCGAGCTGTCGTGCCGCTTGTAGCTAGCGGAACAAATACATTTTCAATATCATCAATGCCACACAATCACACCATTCGCGTGGTCTACCCTGTTATAAAGATCAGACAACAAACATCTGAAGGCGTAATCTAAAATACTAAGACTAGAACCAATTCAAAAAAAGTTGTTTCCGAAATTGATTCGTCCAGGACGCAAAACAATGTGCCCGCGGCTGCACCACGGAGGTCATTATAAATGTGGCAATAATATAATTTTAAATTAGTCAATATATTTATTTATTTATAATCAATTTATTAATTAATCAAAAAACTAAGACTTATTTACAAAAAAAAAAAACTACAAGATAACAACAATGAAGTCACTTACAGATTTTTACCAATAGAAACAATATACAAAATTTGACAATGCTTGCCTCAGATAAATAACCCAAGAATATAGGATTATTTAAATCAGGCACGCACATACGTGAGGCAAACGTGCATACAACATATAATATAGTGAATATTGTAATATAAAATAAATGTGCTCAATATAAAACAAATAATTCCTAGTCAAAAATCTATGCAATTTACTAGTAAAGCTATCATAAATACATCTAAATCTATCACTATAGCCTATATATTAATATAGTTGTTTAAAATTGTTTTATTTTACTTCAAATGTCTAGAATAAAGATAAGAAAATTAATGCAAGAGACATTAAAGAAACCTAAATTAGACTATTACGAAACTGTCTAGTCGGGTGTTGCGGGTGTAGTACCTGTGGGCAGCAGCGACGTGTCGTCGCAGCAGGTCCGCGCGCTGGAAGGCCACCCCGCAATCCTGGCAAAACAGCTCCGGTCCACGGACCGTGTCGTATGTCGGCCGCTCCGCGCTGCTAGCCAGCGGGGGCGATAGTTGGAAATCCATATCGTCATCTGCAAAACGCATAATACAAACAAAACTATAATTTTCTCAAACATGCTTAGAAATGTGAGCATTATTTTAAGAACCTTCTTCGAGATAAATCAAAATTGCCGTACTGGCCAGATACATGCCGGCAGCGGCCGGCAAAAGTTGTATGAAAATCCATATCTGTCGTGTTTTGCGGCCAGATAAATTACTATGTAAACTCATATCTGTCCTGTAATTTAAAAATGGAATGACCTTTTACTTTGAAACATGGCTACCAAGGAGGTAACTAATAAAAGGTTTTATTTAAATTTCGAACTGGCTTGCAAATAATAAGCTTTTATTGAAAAAAAAAAAAAAAAAAAAACAAAGGAATATTATGGTGCTTGAAAAACTATTATTGTTCGTTATTCGTCATTGAACTTAAAAAGTAAAATTGTGTTTTTGATTTCCGCGCATTGTTTGAGAATAGTACTATACAAGCCTTGGCCATAACTAGGCATTGATGGACTCACGTATGTGTGCCTCGGCCCACATTTGCACGTTCGTCCATCAATGCCTCAGTTGCTGGCCGCTGCAGTAATGTACTATTATTGTTCGTCAAATTTTGTACAGTCCGCATGAATACCTTTGCTTCGCCTTTTAGCTCTACTTAGTCTGGGACTAAATTGTGCAGTGTCTAGTATGTGTATATATAGATAATAGAATTTCATCGTGCCTCCGATAAAACTGTTTATAATTACTCCTCTCCATCCAAAGGTTGCCTGGAAGAGATCGTTTTTAGCTATAAGGTCACCCATTGTTTTCTCATTGTGATTATTTATTGTAATTGTTTATATTTATAATAAGTTTACTATTGTAATATTTTGGAGGAATAGAGGAATATGGAATTTAGTGCAACTGTGATCTCGACAACAATGGACAAAAGTGTTCATCTTTATCTGGTGGATAAAAAGATTATTATTTGCCCTTATTTTATTATCAAAATTTTGTTACTTTAGGTCATGTAAATCAGGTTTTAAACTCTCACATTTGAGTTAGATAATTAAAATTATCAATATAATCTGGCCCGAAGGACCAAAAAGTGTACAGGTTCATTTTTTGTGATACAAAGCTTAACTAAAATTACTAATGGAATAATTATTATTATTGACTGTAACTTATTAAACTATGTTTAATAGTATCACATCTTAGACATTTCATACAAAACCACAGTGCAAGGAGTCAAGAATTGTGTGAGATCGGATCGCAGAGGGCGGCAGGGAGTGCAGTATTCGACAAGTCCCGCTAATGATCCCGTGTGGGTAACGTGGTAGGCAGAGAGCGAGTGCGAGAGCGGCAGCATACCGGAGTCGTGGTCGTCGTAGGCGGGGTCTGGGTCGGGGTCGGGCGCGGGCCGCGCGCGCGGCAGGTGCGGGTGGCGCTGCGCCGCGTGCGCCGCCAGCGCCTCGCGCGACCAGCACAGCTCGCCGCACGACCCGCACTCCACCGGCGAGTCGCCGCCGTGCACCTGCAACCGCACCCGCCGCATTTACTCGTTATACGAAACCAACAGGCCGACCATATAAAACAAGGTGAGACACAGTACAAAAATACAACCACAAACGAGACAAACAACAAATCATCTTGTCGAATTATACTCGTACTGTCTGACTGACTGCAGATTTAAAGTGAAAAAAAAAAAAATTAGTAACAAATTAAAAAAAAAAAAACACGTTATCTAATCTGTGCAAATAATTGTAAAAAAAAAAAAACACTCAATGTGCACGCGTTAGACATAGACTAAGTTGGCACATCATGTTGCATTTTTATTCACACATTACAAAATTTACTAGAACCTAAATCGTTTTTATTCAAACTGTTGGATTAATAATGCATTTAAATTTATAATATATTTAGGAATCATGTAAGTTACTGTTAATTTAAAGTCTATATTTGATTTTAAAAATATAGTATAATACATCATTGTAGACTGTACACCAAAATGTTAAATATGTAAATAATTACCCGAGCATGCGACTGAAGGGCTTTTTCTCTGGCGAAGCCGACACCGCAGTGGCGACAGACGAAAGGGCGCGAGGGGTCGGAGGGAGGCGGCGGTGGGGAAGGCGGCGGCGGCGGCGTAGGCGGCGCGGGGGGCGACGACGGCGGCGGCGACCTTGGCCGCGCCGCTGGCGATCGCGCGCGCCGCGACCACTGCTGCGTTCGCGCGGACGTCATGTTCTCCCACATGCCATTCTGTTGTACAGAATAGTTTTTGTTTAATTCGGCATAGCTCTTTTATAATAGAAAATTACACTCCCAACTATAATCCCTGAAAAAGTAGTTAGAAATATTATCATCTGTTACCTTTGTGCTCAAGATAACACCCGACATATGGACATTTCGCTGAACATATGCACATTTAGAATTAGCATCAAAAAATTTGAAAATTAGAAACTATCGTGATAGATGTTTAAAAAATAACACATATAAATATAATAAAGAAGTGCTGAATGTATAGCATAGACCCAAATTGTTTAATATAAAGCGAGAGTTTAACATTATCAATTGCAAAAATAATAAAAATATGGACAGAATTAACCAACATAATAAGTAATATCCATAAAAAAAGTATAAAGATTACGTCTCTTTTGAGTCGCTTCAAAATATTAGACTATACAAGATTGTTCATAGTCCAAATAAATAGATAAAAATTAAAGTACAGTTACTGTTACGATAATTACCTCTACTGGTTCTGGATTCTTTTTCCGTCTACCTCTCTTCTTCTTTGGTTTGACAATTTGATCACTATCTAATAAATCATCTGAAATAAAAATTGAATATTAACAATTGATTTTCAAGTAGAATAAAAAAAATATTTTATTATTATTTTAGACGTCTGCTGGACATCCTCCCCCATAAGGGGAGTTTTACCAAAAGTTGCCACGCTTGGCAGGTGGGTTGGCAACAGCAGTTAGGCTTTTAGAGATGTTTTAACAGGGACACTGCTGCCCATCTCTCGCCCTCGCTTAGTCGCCTCTTACGACACCCACGGGATAGGATTAAATTGATTAAATCATCATCATCCATTGTCCACTACTGAACATACATCTCACATATATTTAGCCGTAAAATGTTTCGTTTTTCAATCCTACTGCGGTACAAATATTAAAAAAAAAAACAAATGTAATAAAAAAAAAATAAACTACTAAGGAATGTAACTAACCATAGTGGAGGGAGTCCTGATCATGATCGTCAGGTACGAAGGCATGGACCTTGAGGTGGTTCATGAGGTCGCACTTCCTAACATATCGCACGCCGCAGAGGTTGCAAGCGTGCGGCCGGTCGTTCTGATGCGCGACCATGTGGTTCATGAGCGCCGCTTTCTTGCGAAACCGCCGGGAGCAGAAGTCGCACGGCCACGGTCGCATCGCCGTGTACTCGTCCTGGTGGAAACAATTCTTGAAACTCTTTAACCGTACTCAAGAGATAACGATAGTTAGTATGACGATGCCCTTTGACTGGGGAAATTTGATTATAAATGACGAGAACCAGTGACCGTGGTCTTCCCTGGAAACAATCATGTTTAATTCCTAGTGAACTCGTCAAGTTGAGTAACTGATTTCACTCCATCATTATCAGTCTAAGGACTATATGATCAGGACCGCATTAAATTCGACGTCTGTATTTTGAAATGAATAGTGGATCTTTAGCAATCTGTTTTCTTCGTCGTCAGGGCAAATACGGTACCTCACCAATAAAATTTGCCCAGGAACGCCAGATAGACTAAGACCGGCCCTGATCCTCACCCCCACTAATACCACTACCACCATCAACGTCATTCGATTTCCATCCACAAAACTGACTAAGCTGTAAATCTTAACTTTCAAAATAATATACAAATATGCTTTACTAAATTGAAAACTTTGGTTCTTTATTAATTAATAGCGATTAGCTGACTTAGTACGGGTTGTGATTATTGTAGAGATCTCTTGATTCTTTTGTAAATAAAGTAGCTTTTGTTAATCATTAACAATGTAGATTTCTATATGTGAAAGAATTTTTAAATCGTTAATGTTTTTTAAATTTATCCTTTACAAACCTTCCTCTTTATAATATTATTTTAGATCCAGTAATAATTAAAACAATGAACAGATAATATGTACCGCCTGAGGTAGAAGTGAACAGTTTTTGGAACCAATAGTGACAAAAATGGATAAAGCAAGAGATGTGTTTAGCTTATTTACAACTATTTGTGTTAAATAACTAGAGAGAACTGGGACCATGCTACACAAGTTTTTTTTAAATATTTATGACATCTAAGAAATTATACAATAATGCTAACAATTTAAATCACTAACCTGATCAGTTGGAAGGGGTACATCAATATCATTTTCTTCTTTTACATCTAATACTGGATTTGCTAAATGCTCTAAAGGTACCTCCACCCTGAAATAAATTATTAAATTTATTTCACATAATCATGTGTTTTTGTTAAAAATCGGAACAGTAATATAAAAAAATAATACTCCTAAGGGTATTGAAATATAAAATTGATATTTTAATCCTTTGCATATGGAGCTGTTACCAACATGCAAAAATTATGTTTACTGTACCCATGTCTCTTGGAGGAGCTTTTTTATTATCTCAAATACTATCTTTAGATCTGATGGAAAGTAGCGACCATCACCTCTAGACATAAACAAAAACTTAAATATCACAGAACACTGTTTGTCATATAATTCTGCTATTACACTATTCAATATTCTGATAGTTCCTTCTGTTTTTTTTGGGGTACAAAGTTTTTTATATCTATAAACAATTTGTCAACACATCACAAGTGTCATTTCTGAGTACAAAGAGCTAAAACCCATTCTGCTATACTTTTTATTTTTAAAATACCTTTCCTGTCCTCCTGATATAACCCAGTCATCAGTAATCACTTCTTCAGTGACACACTCCACATTTGGATCCTCAGCAAGTTCCGCTGTTTCTGTATAGCTTACAACATCCTGAGATAAGTACATTAAGTTCTCAGCTGCTGTTTGATCCATACTCGCTATCATTTCTTCTGAAGTCTAAAATTAAAATATACATATTTAAATTTTGTTGACATTTAGATATACACATAGGCATAGAAATTAGGTAATATAATGTAGGTAATATAAATAGTACTACCTAAATATCAGAAAATGCTCAAATTTAGTAAATAATAAAATTTCAACTAATGAGATCATTTTAAAAAAATAATAAGATGATTACATCAACCAGGAAATTTAATTTTTTACAAATAATTAATTGTAGTCCAGTATCTATTAGATTACATTTATTAGTTTCACAAATAGGTTTTCATTAGTATCGAAATAGATCTCAGACATATTTGCATCCCTCTAGGACATTTAATATTCAATATACGTAACCTTGATGGTAGGGGGAAAGGATTGTTGGTAATGCAGATTACCAGTTCTATTGTTAGCAATATACTTTATCAGGTTGACCACCACACGATTCCCTCTGAAAACCATTGTGATTAAGTCTTTTTGAATTCATCACAATGGACCAACTGACCTGCTTTTATCCTCACCTATCATCTCTCACTGGTGCCCTACCAGTGTGTACCAATAGCACAGACAGGGTTACCATTCTATTTTCATCCATAAAAAAACCTTGATGGTTACTCTGTTTGAGATATAGATTATTTTATTTGCTCTTCTAATACAGTTAATTATTTGCTATAGTAATATTTTATGTAATTATTTATGTATGTTTTTTCTTGTGTTTATTTATTTATACTTTATGGTATACAAAATTTTTATTATTATAATTTATATAAAATAAAGATGTACAGGCGAGCTTAACTCTGTAAGAATTCTCTTCCAGCAAACCTTGAGTAGAAAGGTATATTTGTAAGTATATTTATTTTAATCTAATTATATATACAATACATGAGGGGTATCATGGATGAAACAGTATAATCTGTTATGTCCATGGTACTGTTCATGTTTACAGGCAATGGTTACCACTTTCCGTCAGCTTGTTTGCCATTCTAAGTGACTTTATGTCACCCAGGTGTACTGAAGCCTCAATAAAAGTTAGAAAAAAAAGTTTCATAAAAAAGAATATTAAATATTACTTTATGTTTTCTCAATACATTAATGCATCGCCTACTTATTTCTCAACTTCCCTAATGGTTGACTGGCAGAGAACACTGACTGGTATTAAATCTGCTAAATGTACATAGAATTTCATTAGCATAAAAATTTAAATAAATAATTATAATCAATCAAAATTTGAATTAAAATTGTTATGTAATACCATATTAGAATAGCTTGCAGATTGCACATTATCAAGGCCACACATTTGTTCTCCCTCAACTACCTGGTGTGGAGGGCTTTGCTGTAAAATACAACACAATATGGTTAATTGATATGAAAAAGACTTTTTTAATATTTACCATACTAAAAAGTAGGTTTTATTTGCAACATAAGAAGCAGGAAAATCTATTAAATAGAACACTTTTAGATGGCATATCAAACTAAAACAAATACCAAATTTTAAGTTCAACTTTTAGGAACACATCTGCTAGAACTGAATTGAATATGGTGCAATAGTTTTTGTATGATGCAGAAATAAATAATAGATAGACAGACAAAAATTCTAAAAATTATTCTTTTGGCTACTATTGTTTTAGTAGGAATACTAAAATCAATATTTTTTTTAATATTTTTTATGTCTGTAACATTAGATAGTTACAATTTTAATATACCACAAGTATATATGTTAATATACTTAATACAACAAATATAATCAATACAACCTTAAATTGCAAACTATATTGAGACTTTATAATATTTAATGGCATTCTTCAACTTGAAACTTAGATAAAAAGTGATTTATTATTACTGTACTCACAATGTATATATATTGATTTTAAAATGTAAGTTGAAGTTTGGAATACTCAAGTTTATTGTCAGAATATAATTCACTTAATCATTGAGACATTTTCAATTTTCCAGGTCAATATAACATATGTATCATGTAATATTGAAGATAGTATTGCATTCAATAAATTTTGTAGATAATTTATAAAATGACCAATGGTAGTGCCAGTCAATTCTCAGAACTGGCCTCAACTCATTAACATTAAATATATGTGTAAAAACTTACTTTCACTTCCACTTCCTCCCAGTGGAGGAAGTCTCCATCGCCATCCATCTTCTGTTATTTTATTATCTCGGCCATAACTGCAACTGTTTAACAAATAAGTGCTATATTTTAAACAAAATATATATGAGAAATGACTGGAATGGTTAACTAATTGCCTAATTGTTAGTAATATAAAAGTAATAATAATTTCATCTAGAGTTTGTTACCGATTCTGATAGCTTTGTAAATCTAATTCCCTTTATCTATTTAGTTTTTGTTCAGCTTGACTGACCATAGTCTAATAAACAAGTTCACACAAGATATTTGGAAAATGTTGCCTGTTTCCAATAACATGGAGGTTTGAAGCATTTTTTTAAAAGACTGCACTATTCTAGTCACATATATAAAATTGTAGATACAATTATCTATAATTTTGTTTGACTGGGACATATATACAGTAAAACTTGGTTAAATAGGACCTAGATAAGTGAGAAACCTACATAACTAGAACTCATGCTGAGGTCCCAACACTTTGGCACTGAATCACCTCTGTTAGTGGAACGAAGCAAACCTTTATATCCAAGATTTCAATTCAATTCTAGAGTTCGATTTTATAGTCACAGTTATCTCTATTATAGAGACAGTGAGTGAATTTTATATCATTAACCTCTCTAACTAAGACAACATCAATTTATTACCTCTCTAACTTAAGCTATTTTGCATTTCAATTTGTTACTTACTTATTCTTATTCTACCTACAAATTCCACACTTAACTTATTTTGAGCCTCAATGACCTTCACTTTTAGTTTTGCTTTATTTTCATACCAATGTTTATTTGAAAAATTATAGGGATTTATTTATTAGGGGTCATTGATTAATTTCCTACTAATATGAAATTTTTTATAAATGTTTATATGTTTGACTCTTTGAATACTTCTTACTCAATCATGATTAAACAACTGAGCAGACATGAATAACATTTGATACATGGGTATACACAGCAAATAGAATATACCACACCAAATAAATAGTTTCATTATAAATATTGGTCTACTATACATAAAATATACTCATAGTATATTTTATGTTATTAAAAAAAAAAAAAACAATGTAAAAATTATTCAACAGTCTACAGATTTGAATTTTAATACATTATGGTGTTGATATTAAAAATTGCTCTAAAACAAAAATTTCCTAATAAATTTGTATAATTTTATTTAGACTGACTTGTTTTATTAAGAATAGCTCCAGTTCATGCAAAAGATGTACACTAAATTATTCTTTTTAACTTAAATATTTTAATATAAATCATAAAACTTAAATTTTTACAAGCCTTTGAAAATTTAACACAAATAATTTATATTGCACTGATTACTTCTTTAATAATCTTTGTTAATTCTCAATGTACAAATAGATAATATGATTCTGTCAACTACAAATATGCCTTTTATAAACCAAAACATCAACATAACCTTAATAATTAAAAGACTTTGAAATGATGTTATAGTAAATAATCCCAAGTATTTTATAAAGTATATAATATAGCATTATATATTATATACATTAAATAATTACGGAATAGGGATACAATATAATAATGGTGTCAATATAAAAAAAGAACAGGTTATCTCTGTCAAATGAAAGGTTAAGATAAACAAGATCGGTTATGAATTAATCATAATTTTGGTTATGAAAGACAAAAGAAAAATTGCTATTTTATTGGAGCATAACGATTTTCACTTTGACTAGAACTTCGTCGTATAACTATACGTTTACATGACGCAATCGTAAAATTTATCAATAGTATCGTACATAGACGACAACAACAATATAACCAAAGTCGTTTAAAAATATACCATATACGAACCATATAATATTATAGTGAGTGCGTCTTGATTATATTTAGCACTGTTTAAGAGTTAAACTTTAAAATATTTTAATGTTTGGTTATTAGACAAATGGCTATCTTTCATTTCCAACCACGAAACTATAGACTACGAAATGGAATTATAGATCAAGAACTAGATTCCTTTTTTTGTTATATGCTTCGTACACGATCAAAAATTTTGCTTTATTTTAGACACGATCAAAGACTTACATCGTATATGTATATCACACAGTATTACCAACTTTCAAATACTTTTTTCCCTAAAACTAAAGACAATATCTCTTAAAATCGCCACAATAATTTAATGCTCCTAAGAAATCTTATTAAAAATAATAAATAAATAATAATATATATTATTCAGTTACAATTATTATTATTATTTATCAAATGATATAATAACGATCCTTTAGTGGGTCATATTAAATCATTAAAAACTTTTAATATTATCAAACATTAATATATCGATGCTATCATATATTAGATAAAATATTTATGTTTTTTACAATGTCATCCTTAGTATTTCTCACAATCCCTAAATCGACCAGTTGAATTGATAGCAAAGCATAAATACGCGAACCCATATGCGACCGAATTTGTTCTGTGATATGTATATGTGATATGTATAAAAACGTGTCTAAAGTTAACTCAGCGAGCCTATAGCTCCAGTAAATTCATCACGATGGGCTAATTGACCTACTTTTTCATTCTCACTTATCATCTCTCACTGGTGCCCCGCTAGTGTATACCGATAGATTGCATTATCATTTATTAAAAAAATTATATATATATATATGTATATCCTTAAATTCGATTTTTTGGGATTGGGATAGGTATTTTACTGAAAACAGAGCAAATTTTGGTGACGTGTTTTTATCGATAGCATAATTAACTACGCTGTTAATCACAAGTAAAATTTAAATTAGACATATAAAAATGTCATTAATTTTTTTGAATTTATTATTCGATATACTGAAAGAAAAAATATACCATTTGATCTTGACAAATAATACTGTAAATATATATATATATATATATATATATATATATATATATATATATATATATATATATATATTATATATATATATCTGCTAAATCTATGGGGGAATATATATATATATATATATATATATCACGCGGTTTCCCCTGGAAACCATCATTTGCCACTATGGCTGCAGTATATATATATATATATATACTGCAGCCATAGTGGCAAATAGTTATAAAAGTTGTCGCAACTATTCATAACTCCTAAATGGTATAATACTTTCCACATTTTATAGTAACTTTTAAAAAATATTTTATAAATACAAATAAGTTTATATTAAATGTTGTTTTACATCAAAAATGGCTTTATGTTGTATTTTAGTAGCCTAAGTCAGAAAAGTGTCACAGTGTGTGTTTGTGAGCGAGACAGAGGACAATACTGTTTATTTAAGTAAGAGTAACTTAATTTAATTAAGAGAGCATAAATCTCAAATAGCTGCTTTAGTATTATATACATATAATATTATTATACGCATAAGCCATGAATATGGCGGAATTTCATGTCTGATTTCTTTTTAGTTTAAATGATCGTGTTTCTGAATTCATGTTTTCAGTTTAAATTGTATTTGGACACATTATTTTCGTCTATCGTGGACACAGGTTAAAGAATTAAATATATTGCAATAAATGTCAAATTCATTCAAAATTAATACCAAAGATTTCGGAATTATTCTTAGTTTCATACAGTGATTACATAGATTAAGAATAGTACCTGTGATGACATGATGATCTATGACACTTGACATTTTTTAGTGACGTATTGTATTATTACTACAGTGCCAATTGAACTATTTATATTTTTTTATTCCATTTCATATTTCATTAAAGCAGTTTTATATATTAATGTTATTCATATCTTTATTCATTATTATCTTCATTACTATCTTGGATTTCTAATGAGTATTTCATATTGTTAGCAACTCGGTACAAGCGAAGTGTGAGTTGTGACTGATTAGCTCTTAATAAAATTTTGATCTAGAAACGAGGAAATACGTGGTGAAAGTTGTTGAAAAATTTAGTGTACTAATAATACATCAAAACGGCGGGCCGAAGCAACATGCGTCGAGCCCGAGATGGGTATTCATACCAGCCAATTCCTAGAGTAGCCACAGAGGACGCATTAGAACATGATAACGAGCGAATGGCTGAAGAATTAACTGGGAAGATAAGTACATTAAAGCATATGTCAATACAGATTGGTGATGAAGTCCGATATCAAGACAATTTACTACGTGGATTAGATGATGATGTTGATAGGAGTTCTGGATTCCTTGGAAAAACAATGGGTCGAGTTCTCAAACTTGGGAAGGGGAATCATAATTACTATATATTTTATTTATTTATTTTTTCAATATTTGTTTTCTTTTTGTTGTATATTGTACTAAAATTTAGATGATCTAAAATAATGTTACTAATAAACCTTGTTTGCATTCCTATCCCAACATTAAATAAAATATTTATTGATGTATTGTAAATATATAACAACATATTATTATGTACCAATAAATTCTACTGTTTATTCACTCTAAATTTATAATTTAAATATTCCAAATAGTACCTTCACTTGCATATTGTAAATATTACTATTAATGTTCTTGAAAAACCTGAATGCTGTCAAAGTTAAAGAACATAAACTAACATAGTATAAAAAAATTCTACAACCTACATTTTTTTTATACCACTGAGGTGGCAAACATGCATACGACCCACCTGATGGTAAGCGGTTACTGTAGCCTATGAACACCTGCAGTACTAGAGGTATTAAGCGTGTGTTGCCGACCCTGAAGAAACCTCTTTACCCAGTAAAGACTACTTGAATACCAGGTTTACCCTATCTTTGAGGTGGAACGGAACTATATGTCACTAGATATATCAACACCAAGGATCCTAATGCTTTTAGAGATGTTAAGAGACATGCCCTGGAACTGTTGGGCACATGCACATGCACAGCAAATAGGGTTTTCCTAGTGGTGAACGTGCAAGCTTGTGTCTTGGAGGGGTTAAACAGGACCAAAGTATTGTCGTCTTCAAAGACTCCAGTTAATGTTCTCTCGATTTCAGACATGTAAATGTAACAAAGCTATTAAATAATAATTCTAGTACTTTTTTAAATTTAGCCTAGCAAAAATGGTTAAGACCAAATTATAATGATAAATCATTTAATAAACTTCTTCTTTATTCAAATCTATCTCTGTGCTATGGCTTGACTATGTCAATGTACTGTATAAAGTTCCCTTTGCATTATTGGATGCAGGCAAGTTGTGTACCATTAGGGAAATGGGATTAATAATGCAAACTACTAGACCAGCATAGGGTATATTACTATCAATGGGCTAGCAATATACCCTATTAGGTCAACCTCCCTGTATTCCCCCTTGAAACCATCATGCTAAATTCCAGATGCATTCATCACAATGTGCTAAGCCACAGATAATATAATACTATACTCCCCTACTACCCTCACTGGGGGGTGGAGAAAGAATTGTTAGTAATGGGGACTAGTAGCCCCATTGCTAGCAATATACTACATATATCAGGTCGACCTCCCCATGGTTCCTCCTGGAAACCATCGTGATTGATTTATTGTTAAATACGTCACGGTGGGCTAACTGACCTGCTTCATCCTCACCTATCATCCCTCACTGGTGTCCCACCGGTGTATACCGATAGCGAAGGCGGGGTTACCATTCCATTATCATCATTAAAAAAAAATACCCTTACTGGCGCCCTGGTAACATATACTATTAAAGTAGGTGGGGTTGCCATTCCATTATCATTAATCTCTGGTATCATCAGAACAAGGTAGGCAAAAAAATGACTTAAATAAAACAAAATACAATTATATATTATCCATGCTAACAGTAAAATTCACTCATTAACACCATATAATTCTTTTAAAATAGTATAATGTTCTTCATTTATATTATCTTTAGACAATGAAATATAAAGTCTACAAGGTACTTTTAAAACATCAGCACAACTTTTTACTGTATCAATTAATAGTGCAACAATACCACATGCAATTTGAGTATTTCTTTTTTCATAGTAACTATTTAAGTTCTCTATTATTACTGTAGATGGGATATTCTGCCAATCAGGCAAAGTAGAGACACTTTCTATTAATGATTTCAAAGTCTTTGCATATAAAAAGCTTATCATTTTCATGTAATGTTTACTTGCTAAATGTAAATCTTGAGATAATTGTGGGAGTTCATTCAATTCCTCATGCCGTATATACAGTACTTTACCATGTGAAGCAAGAGATAGGGCCTCAGAAAATAAAGATTTACAATTAGTTGTTGCGTCCTCAATGAAAAAAATAACGTCAATATTTTTTGTTTCCATAATATGAATTTTTTAATAATTATTATTCTTAAAGCTTAGAATATATGTAAAAGTTGTAACCTTCGTAGTTATTTAGGAATTAGTTATAATTTCTTCAAAGACAGACAGGGTGATATAGGATAAATACGTGGTTTACGAATTACCAAATGTACTTTTTGTTTTGTCCTTTTACATTATCCTTTTCATGGATATTAAAACTGAAAAAAAAAACCTTTGTGGAAATAACTACACAGGTATTAACAAAACAGTTTCCTACATTAAAGTACTAAAGTGTAATAAGTATTATTTACCAGTAGATAACGACTATTTATTCATTTTTGAAATAAACATGACTATAAATTTTGAATGAACTCATAAAAACAGAACGAAAAATATTAATAGTGTTGCCTATTTACCATTGTTAATTGATCAAACAATCGATAGTAAGATGAATCGATTTTATCGTATCAACTTCATTTAAGTCACAATGTGAACTAGGCTTATTAAAAATATCGATTCTTCTTCAATTTTCAATTAATTAATCGGATTAAGAGCTGTGTATAAATACATGAAATGAAAAGATCCGATGGAGGGCCAAAGTGAGCGACATAACCAGAAGGATAATCAAATTAAAATAACAATGAGGATCTGGAATGAGGATATATGCAAAATGACCATAGTGATAGACATAGCCCGACGGATAAGTAAAGTAAAATGGCAATAAGCCTATTATACGACCAGCCGGTCACATAACTGATAACCGATAGAGAAGAAACGTTCTTGAGTGGCGACGCTCGTACAGGCAAACGCAGTATAAGACAACGCTCTACTAGACGGAGTAGCAACTTCAAATGCATTGCTGGGAGTTAGTGAATGCAGGTGGCTCAGGACTGTTCCTTATAACAGTCAATGGGTGAGGAATATGTTAAGCAGTTGACGGATAATAACTGATATGATGATGTCTATATTAAGCTAGATATCGATATACATTTTTAGATCATAATGTATAAAATAACATAAAATATTAATTTAATTTGTAGAATAATTAATATTAAAATAAAATATAGATTATTGAATAATAATCGTTAAGATCACCACTGGTGTGTAGCTATTACAATATTGTACCTAGACGCCTATGTGACACTGACAGCCCATCTCAAAGTTGTCAATCAGACGTTTTCTTTAATCTGTGATCAGAGCATATTTTTTTTATACAACTTAGAATCACAAATAAAGTGACGGCCCATCTGATGAAAAGTCGTAACCGTCGCCTATAGACATGAGCAGTACCATGGACATAATAGAGTATACTGTTTCGCCCATGATACCCCCCATGCGTTATCATTCCTGAGGACTGACAACGTACCGAAATTACCATTTTCACATATTAAAAAAACCGTTAGCATAGGGGGGAAAAGGGATTATTATTAATGGGTATTCTCGTATTAAGAATTATCTCCTAGAGGGCTTGGCCCCTTTAAAAAGGCGCTATATATATTATGTACTCTCAGAAACGTCTTCGTGAAGCTTCGCTAAAGTCCTGAAACGGGCACAATCCATCCGGAACAGCCCTAAAAACACTCATAGTAATGGAAACTTAACAGTTCATGGATAGGTATATTGGCCTTGGGGAGAAAGGAACTGTTAGTAATGGGGTCTAACTATTAACTAACCCACTGCTAGCAATACACTCTGTCAGGTCGACCTCCACACGGTTCACCCTGGAAACCATCGTGGTTAATTCTAGTGGAATTCGTCACGATCGGCTGACCTGCTTAGATCCTCACCTATCACCCCACACTGGTACCCCGTAAGTGTATACCGATAGCGTAGGCGGGTTACGATTGCATTATCATCTTCTAAAAAAGTTAACATAGGCGAGAAGACCATTCTATTTCATTCATTAAAAGATCACTACTTTTTTTAATGGATGGTATAATGAAATTGTAACCCCGTCGGCGCTAATAGTATAAGCACCAGTGAGAGATGATAGGTAGAAAAAGCAGGTCAGTCTTGGTATGACAGTAGTTACCAATGCTTGGCAAGCGGGTCCGCAACTGCAGTTAGGCTTTCATGATGTTTTAAGAGGGGCGATGCTGCCCATACCACGACCATCAAGTTGTAATTAAAAGATATTACGAGCCGAATATTTAAATAATAGGAACTATACAAAGGAGATTGTTAGATTATGTATTTTGTTTTTGTATTTTTGTTTTTTTTATTTGTGCTTTTTTTATTTTTATTCTTTTGTCTCTTTTGCTGTGTATTACGTGTATGTTTTTTTTTTTTATTGTAATTTGTGTGCTGTAAGTAATGCAAATAAATTGTCTATCTATCTATTTAAAAAATTTACCGTAGTACCTGTAATGGGCGGAACAATTATAAAATTTTCAACACCTTTCATTATCATTGATAAAAAGGGAAACATAATAAAAAAAATATATAGATAAAAATCAAAACTATATTGTCTGAGTCTCTATTACGTTAAGTATATGAAACTATGGAATCAAATACATTGGCATTGAAATGTGCTATTTACAATGATTTTGCAATTTATAATAACAATTTGTCTTTAATTATTGATAAATGATATTAATGTTATGGTAGAATTGTACAAAATAACCAAGATTTATTGACCAAAGAAGTTTATTGTTGCCCAAAAAATAATATGAAAAATTAATGCCAAAAAAGCAATAATATGTTCATAATAAAATTAATAACTAGCAACGAACTATGTGATGAAAAAATAATCGAAAACAATTAAGAACAGACTAATCTCATATATTTTTGTAACGGTTTGTAACATAATAGGCCGCGTAAATTACAAAATTTATTTTTAAAATAGTAAGACTGCACAAAAAAATAATTGTTATATCTCTTATAGACCTTGCCATTTAGTTTTATACAATGTCAACATAATTTCAATACATTCGTTTGCTACATGTTTAGGTGGGCTGTAAATGGGCTTTAATAGCACATTACCTGAAAAAGTCAAATACTTGAAAACCAAATATGCCATTAGCGTGTATAACAGCTATGGACGCGAACAGTAAACTATATGTAGATATTTATTTAGGTGACTACAAAGGACATTCTTAATTTACTTTCTTTTTTTTTATGCTGCGTAATATATATATATATGTCATGTCCAGAGCGTAAAACTGATAACTTCATAATGTGACTGACCTTTTTATGATATGACCAGATAAATATGACTATATTCTTTAAACGTAAATGTTCGATATGTCTAATCATTACGTTTGGCTATATCATTAAAGCAGGGTTTCAACGATGTTCGACTGATTCTGTAACATTAGACAAAATAGACATAATTAAGACATGTTTAGAGCGTAGTGGTGTTTGTGCTGATAGTCGGAGTCCTAACTTATCTATATGGTTAGGTTTGGTGGTAAGCTCCAAAAATTATCTTTTTTTTTTATATAAAATCATTACATTTACATATTATTTTATAAAAATATTACCATGGTAAAACCTAAGATTTACCAATATACCGGCTTTTACAGTAAATATATAATTTTTACGTCCTTTCCCTTCACTTTTATAAGAATAATTGTCCGCCGCCATAATGTCAACAATATTAACTATTTTACGATATGATTCAGTAATGTTTGACGACACGAGAAACTAGTCATGAATTTAGTTTTTCATATCATTAAGTGCTGATTATTCATTTATCTGGCCTAACCGCATCATGATGTTAGCAGCGTGCAATGTTTACATTATGAAATTATGATTTTATTTTAGCTGCCGAAATGGTTTACTTCCATGTTAGTCGCATAATAATAAATGATTTTGGAAGAAATAATTTATTTTTTGATTTATTTTTTATAAAACATTTTAGCAACGAAACTTATTGTTGTCTTTTACATAGTTTAACCATGCAGTTTTTATTATATTTCGAAGAATTTTTTAAATTTATATCAAAGACGAAACATTAAAAGTGCAGCACTACTACTACAAGTGAATTGATTATAATTTTTGACCACTGTTCACTTGAATGGTATTTGTGTAAAATTATCATATGTTAGCACCACATCATAGTTCGTTGCAAGTTAGTTGTCGTTAAAAATACTTATACTGTACATACTTAAAACTAATGATTTAATTATTAATAAACATTCTCCAATAGCTTACAAATACAGGTAAACAAACACATTTCTCAAAGGCAGACCAAATGATGTGGTCAGCCTTTCAGAATATTGATAACATTTCTTCAAACATGTATACCTTACATGAGAAAACGAAATTTACGACCGAACATACTGTATATACACATTTACGACACATGAACATTCTATCATTAAATACACTTCGATGAAGTATGACTCTTAAAATAAAATCACACTATTGGTTCTTACCATCGATATAAAAAAAAATTTAAGATGTACAATTAAGGAGAGAAATTAGAATTATTCAATGCAAATTATGTACTCATTTCCATTCATCCAGTGATCTATGTGCAGAAATTATAATGTGTACAAGGAGTATCATATTTGCGGTAAATCTGGTATTGCAGGTGTTCATAGGCTATGGTAACCACTTACCATCAGGTGAGCCGTATGCTTGTTTGCCACCTCAGTGGTATAAAAAAAAATACTAGGTAGATTATTTTTAATTCAGGTAAGTATTTACCATAGATATAAATTTTGTACAGATAGAAATATGAACCTAAAGATTTTTTATATCTATGTTTTTTAATCACAATTAACAATCTTGACTCTTGTTTGTAAACGAAGAACTACTAAGTTCAAAAGATTACCAAAACTTTGTTTCAGGAAAATGAATTTTCTTGCAATACTGCTAATTTTAATATGCCATACCCAATTTAAACGTGTTTAATGAAGATCAATATTAATTACTAAAATGACATGTATAGAAATAACTGTACGATCAATTAAAGGCATTTTTATATTTAAAGGACTTATTATGATATAGCAATATAGTGAAATTTATCTTTTCATTTCCTTTTTACATTGAAATCTGAATATTACATAATTTCATATTCATTTGATATTTACAGTCCATCATTATGTCCAGCATTAATTTATTCATAATGCTAAACAAGCATTGGAAAAGCAAAATCAATAATTATTTTTCCATGTTATGTTCAGTTCAGGCGTTATAATTGTTTTCACTCCTGAGCCTTGCTGGCTTCCGTTATAGACTCATACTGTTCTTTGTCCAATTCAGTCATTGTTAATGTCCCATCAGGCAACATGAGTACTACTCGTCGCGTGCCGCCTATAAAAATAAATAACTTTATTATTACTTGCAGTATAACTAGCAGTTGCAAGTAGCTCGCCCGCACACTTGAACTGTTTAGTCTACTTAAATTTTGTGCTAATGGAAGAGTTAAAAATTTTATGCATGCAATAACTATGGTCATGTTCATAAAATACAAGAGGTGTCCAAGGATAAACCTTTGGTACTCGGCTTTTACTGCCTATCTCATAAAAATATATTTCATTGTCACTATCATCAGAACTAAAGGTGTATACAAAAATTTCAGTTTCATAGGATGTTAAAAAGTGGTTCTAATTCAGTTTGCAAAATTAGACACCTAAATAAACAAACTAATATAAATAGTTTTGTAAGTTAAATGAAAGCTTGTAAAAAACGGCCAACCTGGCGAAGGCAGGTCTGCCTGCAGCAGCTGTGCGATGACCTGCGTGGCGTCCTCGCCGGGCTCGCCCTCCACCTGAACGGCAACCTGCTGCAGTGCCGGCGCCGCCTCGCCCGGCATCAACTGCGCTAGCTGCGACGGGTCAATCGCCAGCACATCCTGTACCCATAATCATATTTACATGGCCATTTTCATAATTATTGTAACACTTTTTCTATCATGATATAATAGACTGTGAACCTCGATTAGCCTGAAGACATAAATTTGGTAAAATGAAATATTGCTTCTCAGAAGGCTTACACAACTGTCGAGTAGAATCTCAGACTATGTCTTATCTTCTGTTCTGTCCTTTGTGTATTTTATTCTGCGTGGCAAAGCTACAGACTATGATGAAAATTTACTAACATCGAATCTGAAAATATTTAGGTCGCTATGAAATGAAAATAGAGACAGTCTACAAATTTTTATAACAAAATAATAATCAAGATATGAAAAGGATGATAAATTGAAAACACTTTAGTTAGTAAACACACAAAAAAGGCAAAATTATAAACTTTTCGTAACATATGTTACATTACATTAATCTATTTTAATTAAGTTACGCGATCGAGTTACAAATTTTGTATCGATTTTAATAATTATTTTAACAATATTGATTGGATTTGTTCTATTGATAATCCCATATTAATTATGGTAAGGTTGAAGCTTTTGTTTTTTTTTTTTTTTGTGGAATAAAAACTACTATTTGAAGTACAAAACTTTCTTATTTAAAATCTGAATATGTATTTTCAATTTACTGCCTATGAAATATCTTGTCATCTTGTCATTACATTTTTGCCTACTGACCTGTCCGTCATCTCTTGTAACATACATAACACCATCGCCGTCTGCTTCTACAGCGCCTTCGACACCTTCTACCGCCCCTTCGACGCCCTCTGCTGCAACTAGCAGCGTCTGGCCTGCTTCATTTTCACCAGCAACCTAAATAGATGGGACATAAACCTGAGTTTTAGGGGGAAAAGGATTGTTAATAATGGGTCTAAAAGCTCTATTGCTAACAACATAACCTATTAGACGGATCTCTATTCAATTCCCCTTGGACTTGTTACTATCGTTAGATATATAATAAGTACCTAATAAAAATAAAACTCACTTGATATAGAACTCCATCTTCTCCACGGATCATAATGGGCGCATGGCCAGTGTGTAGTAGACTTACTTCTTCACCTTCATCTGTACCTTCTAGAAGTTGTTTCACTGTACTAGCTTCTACTTTAACTTCCGTCTGAAAAAAACATTTTATATCCATATAAAAAAAAAATTGAAAATATTTCTGTGTAAACATAATGAATACATACACAATTATTTTCCACAAAAAATCTTCAATTGTAACGAAACAAGTTATTTTGGTCTAAAAACTAAATCATTTAAATGACTTTCATAAAATGTCTATGAGACCAATTTACAAGTATATCTTTTTAGATAAAAAAATTAAGTTTTTTTTCTGATCGATCGATAAATCGATTTAGAAGTAATAAAAAAAACTACAACTGAATTGAGAACCTCTTTCTTTTTAAAGTAGTTTGATTATATAGTTACAAAAAAGATCATGTAGTCTTATTGATGAAAGCATTACATTTATACATCAAACCCTATTATAGAAATGCCAGCAGTAGATCCAATGAATTCTTGTGCAAGAATTATTGATTAATATGAAATCAATAATACAAAAGCACTTTACACATTAATAATAACAAATTTATTTTGTATTATAAAGTACTTACGCCATCTTCGTCTGTTAATACAGGTAATGATGGCTGCGCTCCATCACCCTGTACAAGCATTCCTGTCGTTCCACCAGGAGACATTTCCACCTACAGATAAACATTATATTTTTATTCTTACTTCATTAATAAGTGGTTGGTAAAATAGGACCTATATTTCTATAAAAATATTCAGTTTAACTAGTAAAACACTTTCCCAAATATATGCTAATGACTTCCATCTCATCTGCATTCACCCGATTTGTAATAAATCATTATTATTACTTGCTGTTTTCCCAACTTCAGTTTGGGCTGCTATACAGCATTTTTACACATATTTGTGAGATAATATCAATGTACTCCCTTTTGGTTGTAATTTTATAACTTCCTGCAGTGTATGCTTATGTTCATCCATATTTAACTCAATGTACTATGAAAAATTCATCTTAATAAGTCTAGTCAAGTTTATTCAAAATGCTAATGCGCAAAAAGAAAAATAATTCAAAGACCGCCCTTAATAGTTCTTTTTATAAATTTTCTAAATCATATATTGTAAGGTTTTAATTTCGTTATGATTTTATTAAAGTAAAGAAGTACCTTCATGAGCATAGTAGCAGGCTGTTCTGGCGGTGGCGTGGGCGGCGGTGGCGTGGGTGGCGGGGACGGCGTGGGCGGCGGCGTGGGCTCGCCCTCGGCGCGCGCCAAGCGGCGGCCGGTTAGCGGGCACAGTGACAACGGCCGCTCGGGGCTCGGTGGCGGCAGCGGGCCCAAGTCGCGTGGGAACGGGTCTTCGATGCCGTCTGACGTGTCTGACGATGCTTCCGACTGCGTGTACGAGTAATTAAGTACATCTTAGATCATATACATGTATTACTTAAAAAAAAAAAATGGCTGCATTATTATACAAATAGCAGTTAGTAAACTAGTAACTATTGTCACAAATCGTCATTGCATTTATATATTATCCAGTACATAATTGCCACTTTCGGTAGTATGAAATACAACAGAGTTAAATGTATATTTGTAACATATAAATCATTAACTTGTCTAAGTCAATAAACCTATAACTCAATCATATTTGAGCGGGATAAAAGTAGCCCATGTCCTGTCCCATATAGTCCATGTATACAAAATTTCATAACTAACAGTTAAACCAGTAAGCCACTGAGAGGTAAACAAACTTACTTTCGCATTTATAATGGAAGTAAGAATTTAGCATACTATGCTACACTTTAAATGATTGATGATATAGTACATTACTGCAGCGGCCAGCAACTGAGGCATTGATGGACGACCGTGCAAATGTGGGCCGAGTTAGTGCATCAATGCCTAGTTGTGGCCAAGGCTTGTATAGTACTTTTCTCAAACAATGCACGGAAATCAAAAACACAATTTTACTTTTTAAATTTAATGACGAATAACGAACAATAATAATTTTTCACGCGCCATAATGTTCCTTTGTTTTTTTTTCAATAAACAGCTTTCTATTTGCAAGACAGTTCGAAATTTAAATAAAACCTTTTATTAGTTACCTCCTTGGTAGCCATGTTTCGAAGTAGATCATTCCATTTTTAAATTACAGGATAGATATGAGTTTACATATTAATTTATCTGGCCACAAAACACGACAGAATGGATTTTCATACAACTTTTGCCGGCCGCTGCCCCCTTTATCTGGCCAGTACGGCAATTTTGATTTATCTCTAAGAAGCTTGTCAAAATAATGCTCACATTTCCAAGCATGTTTGAGAAAAACATTGATATAATTAGCAACCTATAAAAAAATATCATCTATTGGCTTTCAATATCTTCAGCAACAACACTCCATATTGCTGGTATCAACTTTTACCTTACAATTATCACATTACAATATGTGAAATAGATTACTGATAGACAAATAGAGCATGCATAACTATATTTACTCAAAGGTCTACTTAAAAGTATTGGTTAAAAGTATAGATCTACTTTACCTGATCGAAGTCGAAAGTGATGGGGATGGGTGCTTTCTCGCGAATGCGTACGACATTCCCGGCGGCCGTGGAGATGGCGGAGTAAGAACCGCGACCACGGCCGCGGCCTGAGCCACCCCGCCGCAGTAGACTGTCACCCTAAATTTAATTAAATAATTTATTACACTCTCCTGGGCACTAGGGGTACAATTTCAAGATGAAACCTGTATTCGTAAGTAAATAGCAAACAATTTAAAGAAATGTTAAATAAAATGTAGAATTAATCCACACAATACTGTATTTTTTTATGCTAGGTTCTCGTACACCTTACTATATAATAAAATACTGTTAATCTGAGGTACTAAGTTATTAGCTGATTCACATAAATACTTCAGATGGCATTAAATACTTACTATATTTCTGTATAGATAATATTTTCTAATATAATTTAAGTAGCTGATTAGTTTTTAAAAATATTTTAATATATATTAGTAAACACCGATGTAAAAACCAACCTGTGCCAGTTTTTTATTGAGTATAGTGACTGGCGTTTTTCCTTCGCTATGACCAGAAGGTCGTTGTATAGTTCGTTGTATGATCTTCTGTCCAGAGGGTGTAGTTATTGTCCTTTCAGTCACTTGCTGACCACCAGATGCAAATGTCTTCTTAATCTGTAATAATGTATGTGTTGTGCATAGAAAATATTGTTACATTTTAGCCTTGACATTATTTCAGAAGTATTTTTTACATGCTTTCAAATTGAATTCAAATAGAATTAATGTAGTTAAAAAAAATCTATAAACTGTATTCTTGTAACTGTATTACAAAATATGTTAATTTTTTTATAAATAAAAATGAACACGGCATATTATAAAAAATATATTATAATGACTACTTTATTTTACCTGAGTAGGAACGGGCGTGCGTATAGGGGATGATTTCTTTATATCTTCAGTCTTTTTCTGTAATAAAATTAAATAAATTATGCTATGTATATATGTATGCTATTTACATAATTATCTACATATGTAATAACTTCAAGTATAGTGTAATATAAGAATATCAAAACAAATATACAAAAAAATGTTCTGTTTGATAAATGAGACATGGGGGGGGGGGGGGGGGGTTGGGTAAATGTACTTAAAAATATGTACCTGTTTTGCAGCTAATATTTGTTTTCTGATCACATCTTGGTCTATGTTAAGACCAGGTCCCAACTTTCCAGGGGAATCAATTTTCATTATACCTGAGCTCTTTGACATTATGTATACACCTACAAAAAAAAATACATCAATTACACATGTTATTATTTATTTCATATTTGTTTAACCATTTGAATCAGGGGAAGGTATTGTTAGAAATGCGGACTACCATTCCCATTGCTAGCAATATACCCTGTCAGGTTGACCTGCATGCGGTTCCCCCTGGAAACCATTGTGCTAAATTCAAGATGATGACATCACAATGGGCTAACTGACCTGCTTTTTCATTTTCATCTATCATCCCTCACTGATACCCTGCCAGCATATACCATTAGCGCAGGCCGGATCACCATTCCATTAAAAAAATAGTTTGAATCGTTCAGACTTTTTATATTTCAAGACTATAATAATATAATAATAATATAAACCCACCAGATAAAACAATTTATTAAAGTAGAATTAATATAAAATATAGCTATTTCATTTATTTTTTATTAAGGAAAACCAACAGCTAAATAATTTCATAATAAAAAAAGGCGATAAAAACAAGACAGAATATTACATTTTTTATTTATTATTTTAGCTGTTAACTGTCCCCTGCTGGACATAAGCCTTCCCCATAAGGAGAGTTCTACCAGTAGTTGCCACGCTTGGCAGGCGAATTGGCTTTTAAAAATGTTTTAAGAGAGACACTGCTGCCCATCTCTCGCCCTCCCTTAGTTGCCTCTTACGACACCCACAGGAAAGAAAGGGGCCATTCTTTTTCTTTAATTCTATGCCAAACACGCAGCGAAAGACAAGACAAAAAATTACATTACTATATATAAAACTTGCCATTTAGTCTTGGCATAGAATAGGCCAATCCTTCCTTTCCCGTGGGTGTCGTAAGAGACGACTACGTGAACTTAATGGTAAAGGGATGGGCATCTCTAAAAGCCTGTATGGCAACTACTGGCAAAACACCCCTTATGGAAGAGGTCGGTGTGTAGCAATGGACAGTCAATGGCTGATAATACATAAAATATTATACCTGTAGTGAGATTCGGCATATGTTTAGGATCAACTTTGATTACACCTTTAATGTTTGGCATTCCCTTGCCACTGAGACCGAGAGACTTCACTAACTCAGGGTCCAGTGCAGCTTTTGGCGATGACTGTCCATTAAGTACTTTCTTCTCAGCTATAATATAAATATTTCCCATAAATTTCTTTAGTTATCATAAAAACCATTTCAACAATAGAAGCTAAAACAACTATTTTTAGAGTTTTTGTCTGCCTGTTTGTACTTGTTTCAGTATCATGCATAAATTTCTGCACTAAATTGAATATGGTTTTTAATAGTTATAGCCTAACTTACAAACTAGTATATGTTTTATCTTGATGTGTTATGTATAAATAGTTATCGACTTTCAAAATCAATGTGATCAATATTTAACAAGGTCCTTCTATTGTATGAAAGTATATAATAGATTTTTTAACTAATGTTACCTGTTCTTAAAATCATTTATTATTAAAATAAATTATATTATTTACTTTTGACAATATCCGCATCAGAGTAATCCTCATCTTCGCTGGATATTTCTCTTTTGACTTTCTTGAGTACCGGCTCATCTTCAGCGCCGCACCATGCTTTCACTTGATCTAGAGCTCGTGCTTTACTTGTGCGTTGAAGGCGACTGTAATACAATTATTAAATATAAAATGCCTTAATAAAATATTTGTCTCACTCAAATGAGATTTTTTCAAAAGTTACTCTATATAGGTTAGCTAATTTGCATATACTCGTATGCCACCAAACAACTGTGTTTCATTGGTTATTTCGGTAAGAAGAATGGCTGTGAGTACAATTTTTGGGCGAGGGAATCATTTAAAATCGTTACTCAGCTTTAAAGTTACCCCACTGCTAAAAATAATATACCATATCAGGTAGATCCTTCATAACTACAGGTAGAAATTATCATGGTTACTTTCTTAAAATTAAATATGTAATCTTGTTCCTGAACTTCTATAGGGTAATCAAGCAGAGAATCAAAGAGTATCAAATGATTGCTCTTTTCATATAACAAACTCTTTAGAACCACTTATTAATTAAAAGTGAAATCAATAACTAAAATGATGACACCTCACACAAATTTTGTTGTTATTATTATTAAATAGCAATTGACCTCTACTTACCCCGTGGGGGTTAAAGCTGGGCTTTCAGTCTTCTTTACAACCTGTTTGACAATCTGTGGTATAGGTGCGTTGATTTGTTTCACCTAAAGAAAAAAGTATATACATTATAATCCAGTAACTTTCATCTATATAACGACAAAACAGAAATATGTCTATATAATATGTATTTAGATATGTTAAAAACAACAATTACTTAACTTGGAAGTAAATCGGGTGTATTAATAGTAGATACCTTAAAATTTGAACTTTTGTAAAGAATACTGTCTGAATTCAGACTTCAAGATATTTCCAAGCATTAAAATTAATTTAGTAATTCAGTCATGATATCCGAATAGAATTATTAAATATAGTATATGGCCATACATTGAATGCTTCAATATTAATTTTTTGTTGATTTTAAAATCATTATTGGAAATTAAATATATAGACAATTTTTTTAGTGTTACGTTTTAAATTGCAATTGTTACATTTAGAGTAAGTACAAATATTCTAGTAGTAGTTTTAGAATTATAAGTTCAAGGAACTACTCATGGCTATAAATAATGATAATCTATAATCTATACCAAATTTCACCAAACAAGCCATCAGTTTGTTTGCCTTACTGCAGTATCCTATTAATATTATAAATGCGAAAGTTTGTAATGATGAATGGATGGATGTTTGTTACTCTTTAATGCAAAAATTTACTGAATGGATTTAAATGAAATTTAGTACAGGGGTGGGTTATATCTATATATAGCACTTCGGAACTTCTTTTAGTACTGATTCAGGTGAATGGGATATGGTAACATATATTTTATAGTGAGTAATATATATATTCTCAATTAGAATATTCATCATCATCATCATCATATTAGCCTTTAGCTGTCCACTACTAAACATAAGCCTTCCCCTTAGGTGGTTTTGTCAGTAGTTGCTATGCTTGGCAGGTATATGGACAACCACAGTTAGGTTTTGAAAATGTTTTAAGAAGGATGCTGCTGCCTACCTCTCGTCCTCCCTTAGTAATTTCTCACGACATTCAAGGAAAAAGAAGGGGTGGCCCATTCTATGCCGGTACCACACGGTAATTTACAATATTAGTTACGATTATTAACCTGCACTGGATGCTGTTGTTGTTGCTGTTGCTGTGCTCTCAGTGCCTTGAGCTCCTTCTGACGCGCCAGTTGCTTCTCAAAGGCTTCCAGAAGATGTTTACATGTTTCCATATTTTCTACTGGCTCCCATGTATTCTGTTCACTAAAAAAAATATTACGTCACAATAAGCTTTAGAAGGCATGCTCAGGAATATTACAGTAATTTTTTTATTATGTAAATGCCTATCTATATATATTCTATATATATATAAACATAGAATATGTATATATATTCTATTCACATACTACCTACACATGTGGTGTATATGTGTTGCATAGGTTTTCTATTTATAAAAAATATTTACTACAATGTTGAATATTATTTTAGTCAAGTAATTTACATTTTCTTAGAATAATACTCTTTATTTGATGATGTGGAACAGCATTTTAAAAAGTAAACATGTATGAGGGGTGAAGGTGTTAGCTGAATGTAAATAATGTAGAAAACAACTTACTGTGGATATCCTTCCCATTTCAGCAGGTACTCATACTGTTTGCGACGCGGGTTGAACCTCTTGGCGAGTATTTTTTCCACCACAAACTCGCCTGCCTCCGAGGGGTCAGCGCCCTCGCGCTCTGTGCGACGAGCGATGCGCTCTTCGGGAGGAACACGCTCTTGTGCATTTCGGACTGACTCCTTGTCCATTATTTCCTACAAACAAAACAGTACAATTATGCATGTGTGATTCAATGTGTTGATGTATTCACAATTTCATAATTTAAATAGTGAATTTCACATTTCAATTCATTTTATCTGTGACGTAAAAAACTAGAGATCAAATGTGTATGTGTACTAGAATTTGAGGTGCATGAATTTATGCATGCTGTTATTTCTGTATTAGCTATTAAATTTAGAAAATTTACCTCTCTATGTATAAACCTTAACTTTAAAGAATATATTACATAATAAATAAATCAGATTTATTGAAGGTTTTTTTTTTAATAATAATTACAGATAACCTAATTTTGTATTTAAGGAATTCTATGAATTGGGAATATTTAATAGAAAAAATATAAAAAGGACTGTGTATACCTTAGACTTAGATATATTTTGACTGACAGGGTTTTTGTTTACAATAACTTTTTGTGTTTTAACCACATCATCGCTTTCTTCACCCGCTTCAGAATCCTCCTACAAGGAAAACATGAAAGAATTGGTCACAATAATTTGTTAGTGTAATAAAAGAATTATTTACCCTTCATTGCACAATGAAATTTGTACAAATGGTAAACTTGATGTTTATGGCATTCTCTACCAATTAACCATAAGAAAAAAATAGAAAGCGATTGTGAGGGGCAGTGGTGATAAAACAGTTGTGACATATAATTATTGAAAAATATAAAAATAACTATACATATATATATATAAAATAGTTTACACAAATATAAAGTTTTAAAATTAAATTTTATTAGTATTGTTAAATCAGATACAGATTATTGAACAACTTACAACTTTGGGTATCTTTCTGGGTCTACCGCGTTTTTTCGATTCTGATACTGGTGCTTGTACTGGTACTAATTGATCATCAGTCTTAAGTTCCATCTAAATGAGAAAATTAAATTAATCATACAATCATTTGCATTGAAGTTTTATTTATATAATAATATACAACCAATATACAGCTTAAAACTATTAAGCATGCAATGAATTTCCTATATTCATGTATAAAAGTTTAAAATTGTATAGTAATCACTTTTTTATTAACTAACTTAAAAAAACATAGGTTCAAATAAATATTTTTTTTATTCATTTGATATTTGTAAGTTTCTTTGAATGACCTTTTTCTAAAGTTTATTTTCAGAATAGCCACCTCTATTATTTAAGTGTGTATCAGTAAGCTAAAATATATATTTATATATTCAAATTATTCTATGTATAATATAATATCTCAGATTAACAAAATTTCATATCTCTTGTCAAAGTATTTATAGTCACTACTTTCTATTCAAAGGTGGCCTGGAAGAGATCACTTTTAACAATAAGGCCACCTATTGATTTTAGAGTGCAATCTTATAATGTAATTGGTTGTATTTGTAATAAGTTCACTATTGTAATATTTTGAAGGAAACAATAAAGCGTATCTATTTTAGATTAATAAACATAAACTCAATGAGTTTCTTTTGTTACTTTAACATCTTGGAATGTAAGATGAGAAATAAACTAAATAACACTTACAACTTTAGCATGTGCAAACTTAGAGAGGGACTGCACATTGGTACCAGCTGTAATCCAAGCATTTCGTTGTGCCTCTGCCATACGACACCACTGCTGGTACAGTTTCCAACTGTTGTCCGTGTTTATAACAGAGCTGTCTCGAGCCGATGAACATTTCCACAGCAGGAATGCCCATACTTGAGCTTTATTTTCATTCTTTAGGATAAATTGTATATTAATCTTACAATTCAATGCAATAAATTATTAGAAACAGCAAAGAATCCCATTTTAAAAAGCTATTAAAAAAATCAAGTTTTATTTTGAAAACAATTCATCAAGACTACAACAAAAATATGTAAGTGAAATAGGTTTTAATATTTGGTTCTTTATTTTGTGGTTAAATCCACAAAATAAAAAATATAAATAAATGGCAGATTCTCATTCACCAGTAGGACAATATAATTTGAGAGGTTTCTGTGATGTATGTTATAAAGTGAAAAGTTTTTTATTCTAATTTAAACTAGAGATGTAGTAATCAAAATTATGACTATAATACCTAGCATCAAACAGAAATATAGTATAGATTTAATTAAAAAATACTTACACTGTCTCTGACTGGAGATTTTCCTGTACAGTTATTACCACTTTTGTGTTCTTTGAATTCTTCAACAAAATGAAATGCAGAATGGCACTGACCACAGACCAGTACATCAAGAGCTGCCATCTGTTCATGAGCCTCTGAAATATATTAAAAAAATATTCAGTAACTGCTGTTTTTCTATACTTGGTTCATCAACATCACTTGGCTCAATTAGTATTAAATAATCTTAGTGTGTACCTTTACTGAATTTATTTAAAAATAAAATATCATAAATATTATAAATGTTAAAGTAACTTTCTTTAATACTTCTTGGTACTTTAATAGCTTAAACAATCATAATGAACCTCACATGGTTTACATGTATTATTTGGGATAGAGGTTACTATTTATCTCGGTCAACTAAGATATCCTAGTTGGGAGCAAAAAGTTTGTCAATAACAGGGTTTAACTGCTCCATTGCTAGCAATATACCCTCCTATCCATTTGACTTCGATGCAGTCCCCCGGAAACAGTAGTGGTTAATTATTGTTGAATTCATCATGATGAGCTAACTAAATAGCGCACACATGATTACGGTTTTATACTCATTAAAAAAATAGCATAGTAATGAAGACAAAGTCAGAGATAAAGTTAATAAAAACTTTTCTTACATATTATATAAATATTGAAAAATAGAATTGTGTTTTGGGCTGTGACACCAGAACATTTTTGGTTTCTCTACATAAAGTTCAAAGCCAGCCAATTTGTGTGATTGTGGCTATGTAAATTTAATTAAATAGTCAATTAACAAATTCTTTATTAATAAAAAAATCTAAGTAACAAATTACATAGAGTGAAATATATTTACAGTTAATGTATAAGGTCCAGTTAATAGTGTATTATAGATTTAATTCTGTTTCTAAAGCGCTACCTATTGAGTGGTGGCAAGCAGCAACACACTGCAGCTTAAGCTGAGTGGAGACCATTTCAGCCGCTACTACAAAATTATTATTTTAATATATAAAGTTGTTATTAATGTTTATTTTTTATAGCTGAATAAATGTTATTATTATTTTTATATATTTATTGTATGTAACATCTTCCTTTTTATGGGGGTAAAATGTTTAGCCATACAAGCCTTAGCCAAGCATGGTAGACTCTAAATTATGTGTGAGAATGATGACAGTGACAATTTAAAAATTTTCTGACTATGCAACAGGATATGTATTGAGGATGAAGGCTTTCTGTAACAAATCTATTGTGTAGGAATGAATTTGTAATTGATCTAAATGCTTGTGAAGTTTTTTTGGCATTATTCCTGTAAACGATAATACTATGTGTATTATGTGGATAGTGTGTGCTTTTATTATAATTAAATCTATAAGTTGACATTTATAAACACTCGACTCAAATGTGGTGTAAAAGGCTTTTTGTATGATTCTAAGGGTATCCACTGACCAATTCTACATACTTATGTGTAGGATACTAAGTTCTTAAACCAATAATCCATTTCAATTTATTCAATGGTTCATGGGCAATATTAACAAGAAAAAAATTCCATGTAAATAGTTTTTTTTTTTTTCCAATACAGTAGACAAGCAAACACACACAAATACAATTGCTGAAAATTAATTATATATCACTTGAATGTACCTTTTAAGGCCGTTGGATTTTTAGTTAGCTCTTCGGGGTTCCCTGCAGGTACTTCTTCAGTAGATTGCGAACCTTCTTCGTCTACAGAAGCCATGTTTACTTTTGAAAATCCTAAGATTAGACAAAAACTGCACCGTAAATGATATTTACATATAAAAAGGAAAGAAAATAATACTTTCTATTAATTCATAACCTTAAATTGGCCCGGCGTCTTCCCGCCAACTCACAATAAAATACGGTGACACGATTTTAATGTATATTAAAAATTCATTATTTAGGAATAACAATCCGTTGCATTGTGCCACAACTTGTTTATTAATTTAAACGAACTTTTTTAATCATTATTTATTATTATGGAAGCGTTTACACAGATTTTTTTTTTATAAAATTTCCAGAGGACGCTTATCTTCAACTGTACCATGATGTACAATAATTACATTGACTGAATTTCATTGACTTGAGCGAGTAAAAGGATAGTTGAATTTATTTTAGATTAAGTTCTCAACAACACATTTGATAGGTATACGATAAGTCTATTAAAATCTAAATAATTCGTTTTCCTTACAAGGCATTGACACTTACCAAAACAATATTTTTTTTATAAAAATGATGAACTTCTTCAGAACGCAACTCAAAACGGAACAAATTACTTGAGGAATCGAATGTAATGTGTGTAAAAAAAACCGCGTCACCGACACATCATTACTGCCCCCTAGTGTTCGCCGACATTTTACGTTTTCTTTGTTTTATTTTATCGACAGGACCAATAGGAAACTAGTACTTTGTTATACGTAAGCCATTTCAGCCAATCACATGAAAGCTAAAATCAAACATATTGTAACATACTTACTGTCTCGTACATGGCGTAATTTTTTACCGACACGATTTTTATACCGTCATGTTATAACGACAATCCTGTAATTGATTTACTTTATTACAAAATGCATAATTAAAAGAATAGATTTATTCTTAAAATTAATTATGGTGACCAAATATTCTTTAAAAAAAGGATAACAAATGGTTAATCTTGAACATATTAAAGGAATAGCCTACTATCTTCTTTGTCTACTTTTACTACTTTATAATAAAAACATAACGAAGCTAAAACTGTAAATATCAATATACCATGATATTATATAAGGTAAAAATGTAAAAAATTGCTGCAAAACTGAAACATAGCATTGTTATTTCTTGAATTAAAATAACTTTGTAAAGAAAAGTCGACCTCTGAAAGAACGGTCAAAGGGCCGAGTTCAGGAGTTTAAAAATAATAATCCGTTTTTAAAAAATTATTTTTATATTTTGCAAAGAATTACAAACATTGAAATGAGAAATTGTAAGTAATTCTCCGCATTTTAATATATTTTTCAACATCCCAACTAAAAAGTCGACCAAGTTATGAAATTGAAAATATCTCTACTTTCCATGCGGCCCTGTGTTTTGTTATTACACTTTGCCCTAGCCTTTGAAACATTTATAACTTTATACATAGAAAAGACATTGAAAGACCGATAGATAAATTTCCCATACAGTACTTTAGATTAAACGTGCTGTGGGCTAAGATAGAAAGCGTTCAAACATTTCTACGATAAGTAATACCAATTTCAACGAACTGTAGCTCGTTTAAAATCAATTATTATCTTCTTTGACATATCATCATCATCGTCATATAAGTCGTTAACTGTTCACTGCTGAGTATAGGCCTCCTCCTTGGTGGATTTTGCTAGTTGTTGCTACGCTTGGCGGGCAAATCGGCAGCTACAGTTAGGCTTTCGTTTATACTAAATACTAAAACCAAAGGTCGTTAAAAAAATATAGGGATATCTTTATGCAAAATATTACTGCAATATTCAACTTGTCGTTATATAATACGTATCAAAACATAAACGTATTAACGATTTATGTATTAGATAGAGAAATTTTTACTCTTACATTTTTTTACTTTTAGATAGTTTATAATATTTCTTTGACTCATTTTCAAGGGTGGATATTGTTACAGAGTTATTTTAACCTAATGAATGACTATGCCAAGTTTTAAGTTTACATTTTTTTCTATTTTCACTTTATTTTTGATGTGCTAATTATATAAATAATATACATATAAATATCATCAAGCTCTCATAATTAATATATATAATATTTGGATTAGTAGTTGTGTTGATAGTAGCTAGTTGTCAGTATTGGCCTTTATGAGAATAAATTCAGAACATTCGGCCCGTCATGTTTCGTGTACTAGGAATTAACTATAATGATTTTTAGGGAATGCTTGGAGGTTGAGTTCCACGCGATCCACTCTGAAAACTGACATGGTAAATTTCTAATAAATTATCATGATGGAACAGCCGATTTGAATTTATTGTTATCTATAAATGTTCTCTCAATGACAGCCCTCCAGTGTTGATATATCGTTTGTACAAGCGGGGTTACCAATCCACTTTAATTCTATATAAATTATCTCCTTAAGTTCAATCGTCATATAAACTATTTTTATACTATCCAATTTGCTAACGAACTGCCTATATAAATTATTTTAAAAAGCGAGTAAATAAATTTGTGTTTTTATGAAATTTAAAAGTTACCTATTATAATTACCATGCTGTTTTCAACCAATTCGTGTTAAAGAGTACCTAAATATAAGTCTCCCAAACGGATTGAATTGAATGTGTAGGTACTCAGCCACCGATCTAGAGTCGTAAATCAGTTCCCAACTACCCTTACAACTTATTGTTTGTAATACATCTCTGTTATTATAGCAAGGACTACAGCAGTGCTATAGTCCTTGTTCTTACTTAGCTTCTAGAGTGAGCTCGAAAAGTTGACTTTGTTAGCCATCACTAGAACTTTAAATACATCCCAGTACTAAATCGCGTAGCGGCATATAAATTTTTCAATACTTACCTCTTGTTGACGTAGGTATTGTAATGCGATTGCATTTTACCATAGCTAAATGTTCGTTAATGTTTACCTTTATATTATGTTAACAAACGATTAGCAATAAACGTAGGCGCATTTATAGAATATATTTTTCTACTAGCTTTTACCTGTAACTTTGTGCACATAACCAGGATAAATAGTAGTAGGCCACTATTTATTCATAAGGACCTAGATGCCCTTTTTTATCGGAATCAATCGATTGAAACATCAAGAGGTTCACATTTCTAATACTAAGCTATTTCCCCAGCTTCGCTGCGTGAATTAGCATATAAATAACGGGTACCTATATAAGTATATAGAGGACACTTTATGCGTTAAGTTAGGATATAATCTACTCATGTACCAAATTTCATTCTAACCCGTTCCGTCGTTTTATTAACAAACATACCAGTATTTTTAGAACTTTTATTTTTTTCTTTACTTATTTACGTTATCTTTGAATATTAGTAAGGAAAATTAGAATTGCTACTTGATTGTTAGCGGTGCAGGGGTCGATTCTGAAGCGACATTTTCTGTATCTTGTATTTCATGTATTAGAAATTTAGTTTCTATTGGTATAAACTTCTAATATTCTCGAGTTTATTCTAAAAATAAAGATTTCGCTGTGATAACTTATTGAAATTTTAACTTTAGAGAATCTATCTCCTTTTTGTCAGAATGAAGGGCATTTAGCGATTAGAATGCAATCTTTAATACTAATTTTTTTACGATTCACCATTGAACACGAAGTGATTCTGCTGTGATTATGACTCTAATTTATATGAATTTGACATGCACATAGAATATTATTTTGAAATTAGAAATGCTATCAACACAGGATATAATGTCGATGTATGCAAATGCAGTGTATACGTACCTGTAACAAACTTCAAAACTGTATAAAACTTTTAAAGATACAAAATAAATAATAACAAAGCGCATGCGTGGTTGCGCGCGCTGATACGTAGTTATATAATGTACATTATGATTTTGATGTGGTCATTCTTTAATTATATAGACCTTAAATATAGTATATTATACTGTGGTATAGACTTTTACAATTTGGTTTTGATAATTTTAATATTCAATCCCATATATCTACAAAAAATATACACAGATGATCTATTTATACAGTGCCGTATAATAAGTATAATAGCCAATGTTACATGTTGATACTATAACTTTTTATAGGTGAATAAATTTTTAAAACCGGTTGAGTAGTTTTAAATTTATCTATTACAAAGAAATCTTTTCTCTATAATATTAGTATAAGGAAAGAGGTAAATAAAGATATACAAGTAGATTGGTAGGATTATGCAGTTAAGAGTATGAGAATAAAGGATAATAAAAAATATAGTTTTTTGAATTTATTATTCCATAAAACTAACATAAACATACAAAAATAGTTAAAATAATAGCAGATTCTGACTGTGACTTCAATGTTTATTATAAGAGGAATATATCTAAATATTATATTATTAAAATTTGAAACAATACTGTATCACAAATGTCATCTCAGAAATAAATATTAAACACCTTAGAAGTCTTAATTCTAAGTCATAATTGATGATTTAAACTGTATTAAGAAATTAATTTATACAGATAAAGTGATTAGAATCTCTAATGTTTTATTTGTTATCAATAATATTGTTGAATTATTGACTGTATCGTTTTCATAATCTAGGTTCCAGCAAAAAGTACAAGGACTGTTTATAGAACAGATACAAGGGCTCGCTTTGTGACAGGAGAATAGTTTATCATATTAACACACATGTAACATGTATATTTAAGCTTAGCTAGTCTAATAATTATCAATTGTTTTTAATTTACTATGAAAATAATTTCAATGACACATTACAAGTAATTAAATATTTAAAACAAAATGTTTGACATTAATTATAACTTTCTGTATTAAAAATAATTTCTGTATTAAATGTAACATACCTATCAATTTCTATGCCCTATGATTGAAAATCTATATTTCAATAATGATTATGGTGATATTGATCTTTTTTTCAATACAGTAAGTAACATTTTACAATAGACATAAGATTTACATATTCATAGCAATTTTAGTATTTGGTTGCTGATATTACAGTCAAATACAAGGTACAAAATGAAACTGATCTCACCAAATTATTCCTAAGTTATATATGATATTGTAAAATTTAAGCATGACATTCAAAAAGTATCAAATGCTTAATAAATTAATACATTGTTCTAGATACAATATTACAACACCCCTTTCAAGACAATAATGTAAGTAAGTGATGTGAATACTCTAAAGAGAATGATTTCTCCTTGGCAATGTAATGATAGTCAACTTTCCTTTTTAATTTTTTTTAATCAACATTATCACAAATGTAGGCTAAGATTGACAATTGCCAATGAAATCTCCAGGGGCCATAAAAAGGTTAATGTTTTGCTAATCCCCTACCACATAGCGAGATGACCATTAGAGCATGGCCAATATTCCTCCAGATGGTTATTTAAGATTCATTCAGTAGCAGCCATTGCACGTGCCTGTGCTCGAACTCTCTTATCATATTCTAGCCGATTTTGACTGAAAAATAAAACAGAAGCAATAAAGTGTAATGTTCTGACTATTAATTCCATTCAATTTTCAATACACCTATTTTCTATTTCATATTATAATATGTACATAAAATATGAAAGGTTACAAATAAACTCAAAAATTTCTATCTGTAATTGTTGAGGCCAAGTTTTTATGCATTATATTATTATGTAATTATTCCAAGGATATTTTATTAACTTGAATGTTTACATACCAATAAATTGTATACGCTTCAGCTTGTGCAGGATCTTTAACATTTGGTTCATTAAGTAGGTCTTGGATACCAAGGAGGATCTGTTTAATTGTGATGGCAGGACGCCAATCTTTTTCTTCATCTAGAAGTGATAAACAGACTGTCCCTGATGGATAGACATTTGGATGGAACAATGGTGGCTCAAACTTGCATTTAGGTGGGCTTGAAGGATAATCATCTTTAAAAATCATACGTAATTTATATAGTCCTCCTTCCCATGGTGTCTGAAAAAGTTTGTTATTTAATAATTAAAAGGTTAATTTCTGATAAAAAGGTGTAAACAATATTTATAACATGCCATTGTTTATAAAGGAAAAGTGACAATGTAAATTGATCATAAAATTAACTAATAAAACTAAAAACTAAATAACATATTAGTAGAAGTATGACAATGTTCAAAGATAAATATGTTTATAAATGAAGTAAAAACACTGACTAACCCCCTTTTTTCCGGGAATAGCACACTCCCAAGTCATAAGATTCAAAGAGCCATCTGGATTCTTCATCGGTCTGGCAACAAAACCCTAAAACATAAATTTGTATTGCATAGTAAAGCAGACAATATGCAAATTGGAGTAATGAAAATATACAATAAATACTTACAAAAGGATGATCCTTGCGCCAAGCTTTTCTTTCCTCTGCTAAACGTGCACTTGCGATGCCAGACATTTTCTACTCTACCTAGAACAACAAGTAACATATTTACTATTTTTTCAACACACTAGTTAATATTAAAAGTAGCCACATATTAATCACATAATAATACTCACTTTAAAAAGTTATTGCAACCAAAATATTAAAATAAATTATTGAAATACCACAAATTAAGCGTCCACGATGCGTCAAATCAGTTCCGTGCTAGTGATGAGCGATATTACTCGATATATCGATATCTAGGATTTTATTCAAGTAAATCGATTCTAATGATACTTTTAAATTTCAAAATGTTAATATTTTTAAAAAAATATTGGCACATTGACAATATTAGCTGTAACTACACTAACACTGCTAAACGAAGTCCTTTCCCATGAGGGGGTTTTGCCAGTAGCTACCATACTTGGCAGGCGAGATGGCAAATGCATCCTGGTGATGTTTTAAGTGATTCGTTGTTCCACAATATTACCTATTTTTTTTAAAAAGTGATTTTTTATTTGTTTTACGTCTGTAATCTAGCATATCTCCCTTATTTATTAAAACGCAAATTTCTCATAACTTTATTTTAGCTATTGAACTGTTTTATCTCTTTCTCTTGTGCTAAATACCCAATTTGAAAGAAAGTGACAAAACATTATAATACTTAAAATAGGTTTGTATAAAGTTTTAGACTTTATGAATTAGAGAATATATGTTTTTTAATAGGATGTAAGATAACTACACCATTTTAACTGAAAACAGGGACATTATGTACTCTAAATGTAACCATATGAAATTATGTTGAACTACGTTTCTGCTAGTACGTTTATTTAATTCTAAAATAGTATGCTGAGATATGCATACTATTTTAGAATTAAATACGTGTGCTGAGTCCGAGGTTTTTGATAATTCATCTTTGAACGTGTGATTTCATATTTTTATTTAGTATAATTGCCTATCTTCAATGCTTGTTCTACTATAATGTTATTATTACTAGCAATGTCATGTGTATTTTGTTTTTATTTTAAGTTCAAGATTTTGTTTAGCTAGTTTTTATGCACAGGCTTTATTTTATTCGTCTAATCAACTCATTTGCATTAAGTTATATGCAAGTTAATTTATGATACGTACACTTGTACTCATACTGTTGGGTTGTTGTAATAACTACGTTGCTTATCTAATATTTGGTTTGTTGGAAAAAAACTACTCAAACCAATCTTGGGCTTGAAATACGTGTCAAGTGAAATAAATGCATTATATAAATACTAGTCTGTTAAAATTAAAAATTTATAATACATATTCAGCAGAAAACATGATACTAGTTGATTCTTGATAGAAACAAAAAAATTTTCTATAAATTTATTTTATAAAACTGTATGTCCTTGTAACTTCAAAATTTTAAGATTTTCTACATATACCTTGGCACCCATATATATCTGAATTTTTTTTCGTCGGAGTCGAAAAGACGAATATTCGTAACTTGGCTCTCAATTTACATATGTAATGTTGATCGTTTTGTATAGACACCGCATCTACCTGCTCATCTAGAGGTATAATGTTGAACGTTTTGTATAGAGACCGCATCTACCTACTCATCTGGAGGTATAATGTTGAACGTTTTGTATAGAAATCGCGTCTAACTGTTCATCTGTCATATAACTGGGGTAAATTTGACAGAATCCTTCAATCTAGGGATTTTTAGCTTTGACATTATAACTCAATATCGATATATATTGGATATCATCGCCCACTTCGCATTGCACACTCCGAGGTCATAATATTAAACGTAGAGTAAATTAATCGATAGACTATAAGCTTGAAGAACTCGAGTAGCGTAAATTGAGTTACTCATCGCTAATCTGTGGTATGTTTCTATAAAAGAGTATATAATTGGAAAAAGAGACCCCATTTCATACAAGTCACGTAAAACAACTTGGTCAGGAATATTTTATCAACGTACAAAAAAAACCTTATTTTCTTGTTATGTTGGCCAGTCTGATATTCAAAATGGAAATTAATAGGGTTATAATAAAACTATAGTTAAATAATTTTTCGATATTAATAAAATGTAAATATTTTATTGAAACGGAAATTATGCAAAGAAAGAAATATATAATTTTTTTGCCAAATTAAACGTTTCAATGAACATTTTTTTATATAAAACAAAAGATAACGTTCTTACACATATTTATTATTTTATACAATAATACCTTGAGATATCAATTTCTTAATATTATTGATAGTGAACACAAGTTTGTACCACTTCTCGTAATATCTAGTCAATTTCTAGTGTAGACCTCCTAACAGTATCAATATTAATTAATTAATTATATATAGTCCTAATTCTCGCGTCAAAATAAAAAGAAATATGAAATACGAAGCTAAAACTCTTCGACGAATAGTTTAGATGACAGCCATTTGCATCGCACTTGACAGTATTTTTGTTAGTTGGCACTATTCTGATATGGTAATTTTTGACATGTTGATTTCTGACCAAATCCATACATATAAAACTGGTATGGAAGTTGCGCAAAACTTGTTTCTTTGATTTTTATTTTTATATACACAAATAATAATTATTAATAAAAAAAAAAATAATAATTAATTTGTTAAATATAATATAGAGATTAGGAAAAAAATATTTAATGGCGGACGACGAGCAAGACCCTAAGGAATATCGGTGGGAGACGGGTTACGAGAAAACATGGTAAGATTAAACCATTTATATTTTTGGTTAGGATTTCGGTTTCTATTTTTTTATTTTTTATTACGTAATTAAATTATTTTTTTTTATTTCTAATTGATATTTTCCTCAACTTTTATTACTTATTACTGACCGAAAGATAGAAAGAAAGACTCATTCCATATCTTAGACTAATACAGGATACTGGTGGGAAAGCAATTGTTATTAATGAGAACTAATAGCCCCATCGCTAGCCTAATATCAGGTCGATTTCCTTGTGGTTCTCTCTGGTTAATAATTGTTGAATTCGTTACGATGGGCCAACGGTACTGTTTCATCCTCACCTATCATCCTTCCCTGGTGCCTCGCTAATGTATAATGATAGTGCAGGCAGGGTCACTATTTTATTTTCATTAAAAAAAATACAGGATATATTTATTTTAATTAATGGAAGCAGAGGTGTGGTATACAGTTAATCATAATTAATATATTAATAATTTTACTATATAAGATGGTTATTTTTAGGGAGGCTATAAAAGAAGATGAAGATGGTTTAGTGGAAGGTTTAGTGGCAGAGTTTGCACAAAAAGCTGCCCGTAAGGCTGCAGCGCCTCGACGTGGTCCCATCAGGCTTGGTATGATGAGACATCTCCTTGTAGCCATAGATTGTTCTGATGCTATGAATTCACAGGATTTAAAACCATCAAGATTTCTATGTACTTTGAAGGTACTTATTTCATACTTTTCATTCTTTGTTTTTACTTTTTTATGTTTACTTTAATTAAATAGTTTATTGTGACTAAATTCTTATTTTAATAATTATATTGTCTTTCTTAGTAGTATAGATATATTTATTTTTTCACTAGTTTTTGCCTTTGATTTTATTCATTTACCAGTAAAATATACCATAAAAAGTAGCCTATGTCCTCCATTGTATATAGTATGTGTGTATAAAATTAAATTGTGACTGGTTAAGTTACAAAGAGGAAACAAACTCACTTTCACATTTATATCATTAGAAAGTATGTTTATAAGACTTGGAATGAAAAATGAAATTAAAATTTTATAAACAATGCACATTGTTTACTTAAATAAATTTTAAGTAAAATGCACTAAAATACACATAGATTCATATTCATAAAGATTCATAAAGATTTTAAGTAAGAGAAATATGCTTTGAGGGTACAGAAAATAATTTTTGCATATAAAAGCTAACTAATATAAAATATAGTTTATAAATATTTTATTTAATAGAATATATAACAATTCTTTTAAGTATTTTTATAAGTTTCTAATAAATTAGTGCAGAATTTATGTAAGATATTAAAAAATAACTTTTCAGCTCTTGCAGAAGTTTATTGAAGAGTTTTTTGATCAAAATCCTTTAAGTCAACTTGGCGTAGTAGCATTGAAGAACAAAAGAGCTGAGAAAATAACTGATCTGTCAGGCAATGTGAGAAAACATATAAAAGCCGTGGAGAGGTATATTACTAGATATCAAATATTTTTAACAGTACTTACAAATTAACATCTCATTTTCTCAGTTTTCTTCATTTTAACAGTTAATTTTTACTAAATTTTATCTATGACTATGGATATGGTCAGAATATGATAATTATTTATTATTAATACAAACATTTATAATGTGTTATATAATTATAGCCTGTAGAGCTTAATGAAAAAGTAAACAAATATTTATTAAATTTAAAAAAATTAAATTAAACTGACTGATATTAAAAAGTAGTACAAATCAAAATCGATTTTATGCTTGAATGTTTTATTTAGAGAGTTTTTGTGATAATTTCAACTATTCTTGGTTATGTCTTCAGTTGCCCTCAAAAAGAAGGAAGTTCTCAATTCAGTTTTTTTTTTTAATTTTTGTTACCTCATAACTCCATTAGTTGTAAACTGATTTAGAAAATTCTTCTTTTTATCTGATATCCTTTCAGATAAAAATATTTACATATTGATCCCATAGAAATTTCATCAAAATCGGTTCAGTAGTTTAGTTTGTTAAATCAAAAATTTTTTTTTAAATACAATTATTATTAAATTTTATTGTAATTATTTATATTTATTATTAGGTTATGTATTTTTTTCAGTTTATCAAGTATAGCTTTGGTCGGTGAGCCATCTTTACAAAACACACTTGAATATGCAGGGAGGGTTCTGAGACCATTGCCAGCACATGCATCAAGAGAACTCCTAGTATTATTTGCATCACTTACAACTTGTGACCCTGGTGATATAAATACTACTATTCAAGTATGTATTATGGTTTGTTTAATTTTTTATACAACTTAGAATGGCAAATAAGTTGATGAAGGAATTGTGGAAAGTGGTGACTGTTACCTATAGACTCGAAAAGCATCATTGTTATTATAAAATACAATTGTTACTCCACAGCATTAACATCTTTATTTAAAAGAGTGTTGTTAGTGTACTCTTTATTAGAGATATTATTCACATATTTTTTGGCATAATATTATAGTCAGTAATATGATTTAGTATTATTATTTTCCTTTTATTATTTTAATACATCGCCATTTGGTCCCAGCATAGAACTGGCTACTTCTTCTTTTCCTGTGGGTGTTGTAAGAGGCAACTAAAGGTACTTAATAGTCGAGGGATGGGCAGCAGCGTCCCTCTGAAAACATCATCAAAGCTTAATTGTGGTTGTAAACCTGCTTACCAAACATGGCAACTATTAGCAAAACCCTACAATGGCAAAGGCATCATGTTCATCAGCAGACAGTTAATTGTTAATATAATGATCATGATGATGATGATGATGACTTTAATATATCTATTATAATAAGTATTTTTATTTACTCTCATAATAATTTTGTTTTATAAAGGCCCTGAAAACAGATGGAATCAGATGTTCTGTAATTGGACTAGCAGCTGAAGTAAGAATTTGTAAAAAATTGTGTCAAGACACTGGTGGTGAATATGGGGTATGTATTAAATTTCAGTTTATATATATATATATATATATATATATATATATATATATATATATATATATATATATATATATATATATATATATATATATATATATATATATATATATATATATATATATTTATTAGGTCAAAAAATACATGTTTCAATTTTACATTTGTTTCCATGAAGTCTTTGGGCCTCCTCTACTTACAAAAATTATTAACTAATATATAAACTTTAGATACATAAACAATTTAGATTTATACACATTTTTATATACATATTTTGTCATATACATATATATATACAGTTTAGTAATATTGAGAATATGTTGCTTATGAAATTTTTTTGATTGTCAAATCTTGCTTTTGTTTAAAATTATATCTAATCGAAGACACAGTTTTTGAATAGAAAAAAGATATCGGTTCATAATTGGCATAGAATCTATAACATACAAAAATGTGATGTAATTTTTGTAATATCACTTGTATATTATAGTAACATAAAAAGTGGCATACAGTACTCTTACTAAACACATCATTTCACCATCCCCTGGAATTGGAATTTATGTAAAAAGTATAGGATGTGTTGTGAAATATAGGCCAGTTGGTAACGCTACTCCCTGTTCTCCTCAGGATGTAGTAATCGGCGATTATGACAGCAATTCAGCAGTAGTATGGAAGATAAAACCTTTAAAACCTAGTATTTAAAAAATACTACACTTGTTTGTGGTCCCGGCATAGAGTAGACCATCCTTTCCTTTCCATTGGATGTCGTAAGAGGCGATTAAGAGAGGATGAGGGATGGGCAGCAGTGTCCCTCTTAAAACATTTCTAAAGCCTAACTGCGGTTGCCAATCCGTCTGCCAAGCGTGGCAACTACTGGCCAAATTCCCGGGAATGATGATGAATGTATCCGTATGAATAATTATATTCGACGACGATAACTATAAAGTGTTTTTTTTTAATAAATGACAATGCAATAGCAACCCCGCCTGTGCTAACGATATACACCGGCGAGGCACCAGTGAACGATAAATGGTGAAGATGAAAAGGCAGATCAGTTAGCTCATTGTGGCGAATTCAATGATAAATTAGTCACGATATTTCCAGGGGGAACCGCGTGGAGGTCGTCCTGATAGGGTATATTAATAGCAATAGGGACAAACTTCCCCATTACTAATAATCCCTTCCCCCACTATAAATTGTTGGTAAATGCAGGTGGTTTGGGGGGGAAAGGGATTGTTAGCAATGGAATCCATCGTGAACAATTCTTGTTGAATTCGTCATGATGGATAACTGACCTGTTTCAACCTCACCTATTATTCTTTACTGGTGGGGTGCAGGTGGGGTTACCATTTCATTATCACCCATAAAAAATGCAGGTGGTTCTGGACGACGTGCACTACCGGTCGCTGCTGCTGGAGCGCACGAGCCCGCCCGCGCAGGCGGCGTCGCGGCCGCTGCACGCCGGGCTCGTCAAGATGGGCTTCCCGCACTGTGCACCACCCGACGCCTCCTCCGACCCCGCCACCAACGCCGACCCACCTATCACATTTTGCATGTGGTCTGTACACATTTATGCACTATACTATACTATAGTCTCTTAATAGAAATTAATTAAAGGGTAATCAAGTATGCTTGAAATTATTAAATAAATACTCCCCAAATTAGTAACTAATTGAAATGTTTATTAAGAATGTTCTTTGATTATGCCACTCATTTATAGTTTATGCCACTCATATTTTCACTTGTATTATATTTTTTTATATTTTCAGATTATCCCACTTATATTTTTATTGTTCTATTGAAACTTATGTTTATTGCAACCCCAGAAAACGTTATTTATGTCCTTTACTGCCATTTACCGATAGGGAACAATCACCATATAAGCTATAGCTAGTATTTGATAAATTAAATTTTATAGAATGCGAAACGTTTCATAGCCACTTAGAAGAGGGCGAAGGCGTGGGCGGTGAAGGTCACCTGTGCCCGCAGTGCCGCAGTAAGTACTGCTCGCTGCCGGCGCAGTGCCGCACCTGCGGCCTCACACTCGCCTCCGCGCCACATCTCGCTAGGTAACTACCACGCGCTAACAACACAGCGTAAAGAATAACCAGTGGTTCAACGTTCAGAAGCACGTCTCCAACGTTTGCGATTCGAGGTGCTTTAGTAAATACCATATGCTAATATCACGATGTATGGAATAGTCATTAGTCATTTTTAGCACAAGGGGAAAGGTATTGTTTTTTTTTAATGGGTGATAATGGAATGGTAATCCTACCCGCGCTATCGGTATACGCTGGCGGGGCACAAGTGAGGGGTGATAGGTGATGATGAAAGCAGGTTAGTTAGCCCATCGTGACGAATTCCGCGTGGAGGTCGACCAGATAGGGTGTATCGCTAGTCAATGGGTCAGTTAGACACCAATACTAACAATCCCTTTCCCTCCAGAAAGGTATTGTTAGTAATGGGGACTCGTGATTTTTTTATGTCCATGGTACTGCTCATGTCTATAGGCGACGGTTACCACTTTCTATCATTTGGACCGTCAGCTTGTTTACCATTCTAAGTTTTATAAAAAAAATCTTATTGTTTAAAATACCCTGTTAGGTTGATCTCTATGCGAGAAACCACACAAAGGATTATGGAAACTATCCCCAGTAACTCTTAATGATATCATAACAATGTGCCAACTGGCCTGCTTTCAGACATTTCTACAGAAAAATATTTTGAATGTTGTGGCGTAGAAATACCATCGTGGAAATGCGTGATTATTTGTATATACAGAATTCCAGGACCAAATACTACGATGTTTTTCAAAAAATTTGAGATGATGTTGCACAGATTGAATTTTAAAACTAACACTAAATTAATTATAGCGGGAGATATCAATATAAATACTCTTATTGAAAATAACAATTCCAGTCATCTACGAGATATATTACAAAACTATAATCTTTGCATACATATACTTATTCCTACAAGACAGCAAACATGCATAGACCACATTTTCAGTAACATCTCAACGGCAGAAGGAAATGTTCATCAACTTTTCTTATCTGACCATAACACAGGACAAACTTTAACATTTGAATTAAAATGTAAAATACCTGAACTTGAATGTTATTATATTATGAGAAGGGACTTTAGTGAGGACAATGTATGCAAATTTAAAGAAGCTTTAAAAAAGTCTTACTTGGTCAGAGGTATTTAGCAAAATTGACACAAATATAGGGTTTGAATTATTTCATGACATATTTTGTTCTCTGTATAATCTCTGTTTTCCAATAAATAAAATCAAAATCAGAGAACAAAATTATAAAGCTAAGTGGATCACCAAAGGAATAAAACTATCATGCGCACATAAAAGAAAACTTAGATATAATGCGTATAAAGAAAATACAAATAAAACTAGATCAACTTATCTTAAATATACAAAAATTCTAAATAAATGCATTACTTACTCAAAAAGAATGCATAATAATAATATTATCAATAAGTCAAGAAACAAGTGCAAGGCCACTTGGGATGTCATAAATAAAAAAAGAAGCAATATAAGTAAACAAGAAATTAAAAGTATTAAGGTTGAGAATAAAAAAATAAATGATCCTCAAAATATTGCAAATGCATTTAACGATTATTTTATATCGTATACAAAAAAAAAAATTCGGAAAAAGCAAATTGCCAGCACAAAAATATTCAAAATCTGAATTCATCAGTATTTATAATACCTTGTAATGAAGAAGAAGTCATTAAAATTATAAAATCTTTGAAAAGTACAAGGTCTGTGGGTTTTGATGATATCTCAACTCATATATTAAAAAGAGTTGCAAACGAGATTGCTCCAGTGTTAACGTATATTGTGAACTTGTCTTTCATGCAAGGTATATTTCCAAATCGATTGAAACATTCAATAGTAATCCCACTACATAAAAAAGACGATAAAACCAAATTAAACAATTATAGACCCATTACATTAAACTCAGTATTTTCAAAGGTATTTGAAAGATTGATGCATATTAGACTGAATAATTTTATTAATAAATTTAATATAATTAAAAAGGAACAAAATGGATTCCAAACAAATAAATCGACAACATTAGCTGCATTTTCTGTTATTCGTAATTTGACACATTATATTGACAATAAAAAGAGAGTAACAGGAATATTTTTTGACATGACTAAGGCCTTTGACAATTTAAATCATACTATATTATTAAATAAGTGCGAAAGATATGGGATTAGAGGTCCTACTCTGAAATGGATATCAAGCTTCATCTCAAACAGAAAACAATGTGTACTTATAAATAAAATTGATAATACAAACACAAACAAGTCTTTTAAGTCTAATTATCATTGTAACCTATCGGGAGTCCCACAAGGAAGTATACTAGGACCTCTATTATTCCTCCTATATATAAATGACTTGCCAGATATAACTAAATATCAATGTGTTTTATTTGCCGACGATTTATCAGTTATTATTCCTGAAAATGAAAGAATAAAATCTGACTATGAAATTACTATAAAGAACACAATAAGAGACATAGTAAACTGGTTGCAATACAACGATTTAAGTGTCAATATATCTAAGACTAAGTATATGCAATTCTTGAATTATTCCATGAAACCAATAAACATTTTTATAAAATGTGATAATGAAATTGTAACCGAATGTAAAGAAATAAAGTTTCTAGGCTTTACATTGGACCAAAATTGTAATTGGAAAGGACATACAAATAATGTAAGGAAGCGTATAAACAGTTTTGTGTATGCTCTAAGAAGGTTAAAAAGAGAAGCAAATGAAACCACAGTCCTTACCGCTTACCACGGTTATGTAGGATCGATATTGAGATACGGACTTCTACTATGGGGAAATTCGGTATTAGTAAGAAAAGTTTTTATCACGCAAAAGAAATGTATAAGAGCGATTTGTGGTGTTGGTCCAACAGAATCTTGTAAACCTCTATTTAAAAAATTAAAGCTTTTGACACTTACCTCAATGTATATCTATGAGGTGGGAATATTTGTAAAAAAACATTTGTATTTATTTACAACAATGACAGAATATAATAAATTCACACCCAGAGACCCCACACAACTGAAACTACCCACCTGTAAGTCAACGCTGCATCAACAAAATTGCGGTGTAATGGCTATTCGAATTTATAATAGGATACCAAAAAAAAATAAGAGAATTGCCATTAAATTATTTTAAATTAAAATTGAAAACATGGTTAATAGAAAATAATTTTTACAATATTAATGAGTTTTTGTAAAATATAAATGCTGTGACATTGACTTAGTTGAAATTTAAATTGTAATTTTAATTTTATTTGACATTTTTATCATTTTATTATTTGTAGTAGCTTTATTGACTGTTTGTAATGCATGACCAAAGTGACACTTCGTACTAATAGTGATTTATTGTATATGTAATTGAGAATTAAATATATGATGTACCTGTATAAAATAGAAAATGGATAAATTCAATAATTAATATTTGCATGCCATTTGATGTGGCGAAACATAATGGACATCTTATAAACTTCACAAATGCAACACCTTTTCTACAATGTTTCTAGCAAATAAATTTCATTTCATTTCATTTCATTTCATTTCATTTCATCTTCACTTATCATCTTTCACTGGTGCCCCGTCATCGTATGTCGATTGTGAATAGTGCAGGCAGAGGCGCGGTTACCAATCCATTATTATTCATTAAAAAAGATAAAAAAAAAAAAACACTTTTAGCAGTCCTGAACGATTAATATGATCGTTTAGGTTACTGTTAAGACATGTTTATTGGACGACTGGTATAAAAGAACTCATTTCTTTAAGTCGAAGAAGTCTAACTAGACTATGCTAATGTCAAGCCACTAAGCAACTGTGCTTGTAACTGTTTGTGTTTTATTGTGTAGAGTGAGTTATTACAGTGATATTATTGGGTACAAACTCTTTTTCTTGGCCTCTCTGTGGTGTCTCACAATGAATTTTATGGTGTCTATAGTGCTGTTTATGTCTATAGGTAACGGGTACCACTTTCTAAACGATTTATTTGGTCAGCCTTTTTAATTAAGTATTTTTTTATTTTCTTAATTTTTTATTATTGTTATTTTATCCTTTCTTCAGGTCCTACCATCATTTGTTTCCAGTTGAGGCATATGAAGAGTTAAAAAATGAAGGACAAGCCCAATGTTGCTTCGCTTGCTTAAGAACATTTACTGATTTGGATAAACAGGTAACACTGTCATCCGCAAAGAAAAAAAAATATTAAAAAAAAACAGAACACAAAATTAAAGTCTATTGTGATGGCTAGAATTATACTCCAACATCAGGTTCATTTCTGACAAATGAATTGGGATATTTTTCATTTCATAACAATTTATATTGTCTCGATAAAGTTAGACATATTAGGGACTTTAAGGTGACTCTTAGGGTATCTAAAATAATAATAATTTTTATGTCCTTCCGTAAAAACAGATTAGATAATAAGTGATTTTTAGATAAATCAATTAGTTAATTATTTCTGCCTTTCGCAACCAGTTAAAGTGGCTTCCTATCCGACTTCGACGTGATATGCACATCCTTTCTTTTCTTTATAACATACTTAATAACCCCAATTCTCCTTCGTACCTCTGCTCTCGATTTAAATTATTACCACTACCAATCCGTCCTAAACGCTCCTGTCAAGTTCAGTCCAGGATTCTCGACCTACCTTTGTGTAGAACACATTTTATGGGCAACTCTTTCTCGTATCGAGCTGCCCAATTATGGAACAAACTCCCTTCCCACATACAAGAGAGCCCTTCAATTACCTCTTTCAAGAAAAGGTTGAAGTTACATTTTCTTTCGTTTGAGTCATAATCTTAATTTATTTATTTTTATAATTGAACTGTCAAACCTTAAAATCATTGAACTAAATTTCTATTCTAGGTAGTATATTCATTTATTTTAACATCCATTGTATAAGTAGGTAGATATTATATTTATTTATAGTATATGTATTTATGTAATATTTTATTATGTATCTTAATATTTTATTTAACTGTATATTTGTTTATGTACACTAAATATTAATAGTTGTAGCACTTCAACTGCCCGCTAACAACATGTTTTCTAACTGCATTGGGTTGACTGGAAGAGATCTCTGTCAGAGATAAGTCCACCCTTGCTCACAATATTTATAAATGCATTAACAATGTAATTTACAAGTGCAATAAAGAATATATATTGTCTTAATTATTGAATCTGTCAGATAAAATCACAGTGAATTAATTTAAAATCGTGTGGTTCTTAAACATTCCGTTATGGGGTTGTTATTGTAATAGATATACCGCTGCAACCGGTGCACGGAGTACTACTGCTGGGAGTGCGAGGGCGCGGTGAGCGGGTCGCTGCACGTGTGCCCGGGCTGCGCTTCACGCCCGCACCTCTACCAGCGCCTGCCCTCCGCCGACCCGCAGCCGCAGCCGCAGCCGCAACCGCAGCCGCAGCCGCAGCCGCAGCCGCAGCCGCAGCCCCAGTCCCAGCTCGTACAGCCGCTCGGCTGAACGCGTTCGATCATTGGGGATGTACATTAATTATATGAGATTTTTTTTCAAATCGTTTTTTCTATTTCGGTTTAAATTTAGTGAGACGTGATAAAATCTTTTCAGCTATGATGATTTTTTTTCATACTTATTTCTCTTCCTCTTTGGTTAGATTTAGTGGGATGTGATAAGATCTCTTCTGCCGTGATGATTTTTGCAAATATGTTTTTCTTCTTTCTCAGTTGAATTTATAATAAGATAATTTTATGAATATACAATGCAAATTTTATTATGTACTGTATATATAAATTTACCGAAAAAAATGTATATAAATGAGTATAAAACTCATACGTAAATATGTTGCGTGGTTCAGAAGTAAGCTGAGTAGCAGACACGCGAACAAGACTGTTTTATACCCTTTAGTTAGAAGTTCACATTCAGTCAGTCGGAACTAAATTATCATTATGTGCTCATAAATGTGAACTTCTACAATGTTATTTATTGTATAAAATTGAATTAAGAGATTAAATAATTTTTTTTAAAAGAAAACATGTATATTTATTTATTATTTATACATATATATATTTTTATCACAATTTGTAAAATTCTATTAATGTGATTACAAAATAATTTCTTACTAAGTACACGCAGTTGGTTTACTACATTAAAATTACATATGTACTTAACGACACGACCATTAATATAGATCACAGATAAAAATCTCGTAATACAAAATGATTTTCCCATGTATATTCTGACACTGAACTTACGTATCTATGTATACAGGCTGTAACGGAAAAGGTATAACAATATGGATAGTTTCTCCAAGGAACATGGTGCGATCATGTGATCGTATTCACCTTTGTATCGTTTAAGAAGATAGACATTTTCAATTTTATTGCCTTTTTTTTTGTGTAAGTTAAGCGATATTTTTCACCAATACAGCGATACTGATTTTGATAATTTTTTTTGCCTTAAATATATCTTACTCGTGTTAGTCCCATATAAATTTTGTCATGATTAAAGTTTATATTTTGTTAAATAAATTTATAAACACAATTTCATATTGTGAGCCATGTTTTTTAGAGATATATATCTTGTTTCACGAGTACTTATCACTGGCATTCAAATTGTGAGACCCTTTCTCTTACATCTGTATAATTTAACACATAACGAGACAAATACAAATTGTATTGTCATTGTTATCTGTAACATTTATATTTTACTTAAATGCACCATTTAAATGTTTGAAAAATAAGTACAATATACAATCGGAACAAGCCACTTGTTTACACATCACAGGTAAGTATTTATTGATTACATATAAGCCAAATTCCTTATTATTACACATAGATCTCTCATAATTATATTGCGCTTGTAAACAAAAAAAAAAAAACAGCAATAGATTTATATACATACATTTCAATTGGTCGAACATTATAATACTATACGGCAATAAAATGTGTACATTAACAGGATATATTTGGACGATCATTTAGACACAATTTCGTATTATATACTTATTATAAAAAGGACAGAGAGTGTATTGTTTAGCACCTGTTATATAGGTACATTGTAATGTGAAAATTTTAGTACTATTCCAAGACTAAGATTACAACAAAATTATAATTTTTGATCAATTTTATTTCTTGTTATTCGAGAATAAGTGTCTCAAATATCTGATATTTTAGACACGTTGTAAAATAATAGTTACAGAATTGGAACTAATAAAAATCTAATATAAAAATAGTGTTTGATGAGTCACTTCGCTAGGGCAATCTTAGACATCCAATAAGGTTCAAAATTGTTCAAACATTATTACTTTCACTACCAGCTTTCTTCCGAGTTAACCAAAAGAAGTTTGGTTTCTGGTAATACTGTTCAATTTGTATTAAGGATTTCCCCTTAGTTTCTGGTAGCATTAGGAAAAGTATGATGGTGGCAAGCAATGCAGAACCGCCGAATATGCCGAACACCCCCCCTATACCGATGGCGGTCTTCATTATAGGAAATAGTTTAGTGAAACCAAATAAGACTGAGTTAAAGAGGCAGAATATGTATCCGCCACACAAACCCCTGACTTTAGTCGGCAACAATTCCCCAATCATTAGCCCTGGTAATAAAAAGAAACCTAAGGTATTGAAACCTACGTAGCCGAGAATAAGGGTGGGGGTAAGTAGCCGTAGCCAGGACCCTGTGACAGAATCGTGGCGAGGGCGAGTGTACAGAGAGCTGTCCCTGCGCCAGACACCAACACTAGCGCGCGCCGCGTCACTTTTAGCAACAGTATACACGCGATTATTGTCATCACTAGTCGCATTAAAGCAGTTGCGTTTGCCGCCATCTGTAATAGAAATGATGTGATTGATTGACGTGACGGTTTGGATTTTGTAATATTTTTATAGGTAATGTATCATCTATATATATGTCACACACGCATTATTGAAATTAAACCTATTTTATGTGTTGATCCAAGTAGAGGTTTATTTGTACGCCAAATTCCATCCAAATCTGTTTAGTCATTTATGAATAAATAAATAGTCATGTCCAGCTACTATATACATTACATTATCAGAATTATGAGTATGCTAAGTAAGTATGTAAGTAAATAGAAAAGTATCAGTTGAAATTATTGCGATATGTGTGTTGTGCATGCCAAAAGTTAACCAAAACAGTTTAGCTGTTTAAGTGTAATTGAATAATGAACATCTACCTAACTTTTCAGTCGACTTTAAAAAAGACGGAGTTTTTCAATTCGGCGGTTTTATTTTTATATTTGTTAGATAATAACTTCGTTAGTTATAAACCGATTGGAAAATTCTTTTTCAGGTTGGTCCTTAAGAAATTTTGTCAACATCCGCTCTGTAGTTTGGTTTTTAAATTAAAATAATTTATTTTGCCACGATTGAAGTCTGTTTTTTTGGGAACAAATTATTATTAGATTCACTCGTTGCTGCTTCACAGCGAAAGATCTTATCCTAAGATGTTATCAAACTTTCATATATATAGACATATAAACTTATAAAAGATATTTTTTATAAGTTTATGTAATTTAATACAACGAATATCGCAATCTACTATAGGGTTTGTCAGAAACTGTAATATCCAACCTGTACAATGCAGCCTATACGAGCAACTATTATGTTTGGCGGTAGAAAGAAAAGAGATAGAGGCGTCTACACCTATAAACTAATTGTTCAGTCTTCCTTTGGTATTAGACACCACCTACTAATTTATGTCTTTTGTGCGTATTGTACTTACATGTGGTTGCAATGATCCACCAGAGTCTTTCACTATGTCGACAGCGTAAAAGATAACAACATAGCTGCCCGACATTATCTGCAGCATGTTGAATGCATTGATGAGAAGCAGTGGCTTAAGTACTGGCGCGCGAGTCACTGTAGCAAAGAATCTGATAGTCTCTTCACCTCTTGCTTTCTCTTTCTCGCGTGCTGATATCAATTCGTGAAGTTCACGTTGGGCCTGAAAGAATAGGCTAATTTAGTTTTAGTTTCAGTATATAAGTATAACCTACTCCTTTACATTTTATTCAAATTCGATTGGCTGTTTAAGTGTAATTGAGTAATAAACATACAAACATCTTTACAAACTTTCATATTTATATATTAGCTGTTCTCCGTGGACTTATTCAAAGTAAATATGTTAGGTTATAACCTACTCGTGTACCGAATTTCATTCAAATTTGTTCAGCCGTTTATACGTTATTGAGTAACAAACATACAAACATCTAAATATTCAAAAATCTTTACAAATTTTCATATTTATTAGTAGGATATCCAAATAGCTTTTGTAATATGGCAAGTCAGTGTCACGTTTCGTTAATAAATAGAATGAGGCAGGTTTCTACGTCGTCAGTCTTTATCTACCCACGCTGTGAACATAATAATTGATATCTTCAATTCGAAAATTGTCGTTAATTTTAACTGATTATTTACAAACATTAGGAATCTTGTTTAGTAATACATACTTTACGTTTTAAGTAGCGTCTAAATTAGTACTTTGGTATTCTATAATCATTATTAAATCAATGGGTTTACATATTTTTAGACATATATTTAATAATTGTTAAATCACGTAAATATCCTAGTATTAGTTATTAAAAAAGTAAAATAGATTTTATTTTCTAATGAGTATAAAATGCAGTATAATTATTCATTATATGCAATATGATTAAACATTAAATTTCATGACCCAAATACAATTCAAGTCTAACATTACAAGAAATGACTCTCCGATTTATAATAGGTAGTTACGTCTACGTGTTTGTTTGTATCATATCGCATTGTCGTTTCGTTCGAGAACATTCTCTTCAATTGTAAGTGGACTCTTGTTGAGCTCATTAAGAAATCATTTAAAAAGATTGACGGAATCATCTTCGCCTGAATAGTTTTAGGTTTCAGCAAAACAAAAACCTTCTCATACCAAGCATTTATAGGAGACATCGTTATAAATTTGCGGTAGACATGTATATTCTGTCTAGTCACAACTTATCTAGTAAGTAGAGGATAATCATATTTTATTACCATACTTATTTTTCATGCAGGTTGATTGCGTAGTATTACAATTTAGATAGGAATTTAAGTATATTTAGCTATTACCGATTGAAGGCATAATATCTGCTCAATACAATAACTTTTTGTTTGTAGCCATAAAAGTATGGTGATAACTATGATATTACTTTGGTTTGACGAAGATATTTCTGGAATTGTGGTAAATGTTTTAATATTTGTATACCATACAACAGTATATATGTAGTCGTACCTATTTTTTTTAAGAAGGTGATAATGGAATAGTAACTCCGCCTGCGCTATCGGGATACGCTGGCGGAGCACCAGTGAGGGATGACAGGTGAGGATGAAAAGGCAGGTCAGTTAGCCCATCGTGACGAATTCCACTAGAATTAATCACGACGGTTTTCAGGGGGAATCGCGTGGAGGTCGACCAAATAGGGTGTATTGCTAAGAATGAGTCAATTAGATCTCAGTACTAACCCTTTCCCCGACTTATTTATTTTGTTAGCTACTAGCTTTTTATTCGCTACTTGGTACGCGTAGATTTCGGAAGCAGGAACATCAGTAAAACAGACTACTTCTGGATGGCGCCTCAAGATAAAACATACATCAGTATTAGATATTAGAGACAAGAGTGTTTAAAGAACTAATTTAATAAATAAATAACAAATCTACACGATAAAAACACTGAATTACATGATTTAGCCTTTAACTCTATTAGTATTTTATATTTCACAATCACTAAGTTAAGCACAAGCGCTCGGACTCACGGTTCGCTCTAAGAATCCCAAAACCCCAAAATAAAAGAGGCAATAGTGAACAATAGTTCCACACGGGACGTAATTATTATAAACAAACTAATGGTAACAAATTCGCAGAAGTAACACTACGAGTCATTGTTTCTGTAATTTAAACATCTCGCCATTATCGAGGCCCAACTTAGGGACAGGATCTCCGTTGTTTCTTGCTCTGTCATCGGTATGTAGTGTTTCGATTGCCAACACCAGTTTTTGACTTAGAGCTTCAAGGATATATCTGTGAAGATTGCATTTAATTTGGTATAGTAGTGTTTGCATGATACCGGAACAAACATACAAACAGGAACAAAATTTCTAAAAACTATTATTTCTATTAAGGTCCCTCATATAAATTTTTCTAAAACATCCTCCATGTACAGACATCATCTAGTTATAATTTTATTATATTAGTAAGATATAAGAACGAAAAACTACAAATAGAGCTGCTTCTCAAAAGCAAATTCAATTTTAGAAAAGTTAAAACAAATTGGCAAATAGTCATTAAAAGATTTAATTTAGTACTTTCTATTATTCGTAAGTGCCGTAAGAGGCGACTAAAGGAAATTAATGGAATTGACAGCAGCGTTCCTCTTAAAATATCATCAAAGCTTAACCGCGGTTGCCAACCCACCTGCCAAACGTGCTAATTATTGGATAAACCTCCCAAAGGCAAGGCCTGTGTTCACTAGCGGACAGACGGTCGATATCATGATATATGATGGCATCCTTACTATTATTAATATTATAAATGTGAAAGTGAGTTTGATTGTTTGTAACATCTTAACTAATTACTATGAATTTTGGTATACACGTATTGTATAGGCTGCACAAGGATATATGTTTCTTTTTTATTCCGATCAATAAATATATACTGGTCACGCGGACGAAGTCGCGGATAAAAGCTAGTAAAAAATACTATACATATGGATGATCTCATGCTAGTATATTTTTAAACAACTTCCAAAAGAAGTTTCTCAATTTGTTTGTATTTTTTGCCACTTGTTACGCAATTGCGTCGCTTGTTCCGAATCGATTTTCATAATTATTTTTGTAATTGATAGCATTTACTCACATGTTGTTGATGGGGCTGTCGTTTTTCTTTGCAGAACACAATTTTTTATGTAAACATACAATGTAGGTTATCTACGAAACAAGTTATTGTAGGGTTTCTATAAAACGACTAAACGAGCATGCGGCTCATCTGACAATAAACTGACTACCACTTCCGTTGATTACAAGCAAGGAATCCTTTTTTTATGATATTTAAAATGACAAACAAGCTGACGGCCTACCTGATGGAAAGTAGTAATCGTCGCTTATAGGAGGGGATAGGGATTGTTAGTAATGGGGTTTAACAGCTCCATTGCTAGCAAAGTACTTTATCAGATCGACTTCTGTGCGGTTCCTTCTGGAAACTATCGTGGTTAACTCTCGAATAGTCATGATAGGCTAACTGACCTAACTTCATTTTCACCTATCATCTCTCACTGGTGTTTTGCCAGTATAAAGGGGAGTTATCATTTTATTTTCATCCATTGAAAATCGTCGCTTACAGACATGAACAGCACCAAGGACAACAAAATATTATGTGATAAGCATGGTACCTCTTATGTATTGCTATTCTATATAGTATTATGTATGTAAAAGTGTGTTTGTTTGTAACTTCTTGCTGTTTTATCTGCTCAACCAATATTCGTCTTTTTTATAACACAGGGGGCATACGAGCTTGCAGCTTATCTGGTGGTAAGTGATTGTATTAGTATGTTGAGAAGAAATTGAAATTTGATATGCGCATACTTATCATTTGGGATGGAGAGGGTCACAGGCACATTTTATATTGGTCAATCATATCGGGTAAAAAGTGGGTAATATATACAAAATTAAATGTTTCTTATAAACAATTATAAATTAAAGACTTACAGTGTCCGAGTTGCCTCGTAAGCAAGACATGGCTGCCATAGCATCGTGGAAGCGGCCGCGGCGCGCCAGCCACGTGGGGCTCTCGGGTGAGAAGCACAATGCCACAAACGCCAAGATGGGCAGTACGATGGACATGAAGGCCACAGTTCTCCAGGGCAGGGCGCCACCTAGTGCGTATACGTATAACACTCCCAGTGAGTAGGCCACGAATGGCGTTCCTATAAGTAATCCGCGGAGTCTTGGCTCTGAAATTTCGCCGAGATAAACCTGTGGAAAATTAAGATAACTAAGTAAGTATTCCATAGAGACAGTGACTACATAGAAAATTCTTAAAGGCAATTTAGTAACAAAATGTAACTGGCAATAGTTTTAATATTGTGTGTTTTATCGGACTTCAAATAAGTGACAAAGAACCTATCAATAGATACGTTTTGGTTATTACATACCTACTTGAGATAAAAAAAGAGAGTAAGTTCGATGTTTTTTTTTTATTTTCACTAGTGTGAATACGCAATCGTATCTACCGATAGATTGTCGTTTATTGTAGAGGAATTAGGTAGCTACCTATTTTTACCATACCACCATTTTTTAACTTTTTTTTTGTCAACAAAAAAAGCATTGGGTGTTTCAAATGGATAATAAAAAGCAAAAAATAAGAAATAGGATTAAAACCAGACGGGCTTAGACTAGTATGTCAGTATTGCAATTATAACGTGTAAAATTGTTCTTGAATGCAGTTGAGCAAGCATATAATGCTTTAGCTATTGCTCAGCACATTTCATAATAAAAAATTGAACTAAGTCGGAACTGAAGAACAAGGATTCGCTTATTTGAATCTCTGCGAAAAAAAACAGGAATTACATAGTTATTCATCATACCAATCATATATGTAATATATGAAGTAGAACATACTTGCGAAGGTGCTGCCATGATGCCCACAGCGAATCCACAGACGATTCTTCCAAGCAGCATTAATGCATGGTGAGTGGCAGTGCCAATAATAATCCAGCCTAATATTAGTGGCAATATGCATGCCTGTAATGTCCGACGCCTCCCGATAGCTTCCATTATAGGGCCTGATAACATGGAACCCAGCGGCGTCGCCGCTGAATGTATACTTGCTGTAAATAATTAACGTTATGTAGCCATTGTTACTAATATAACGCACTGGTGGTAAAAGGGGGAAGCATAAGGGATAAATAGTAATGGGGACTAACAGCCCAATTGTTAACAATCCTGTTAGATCAATCTCCTCCTCCCTCGCAACAATTGTGTCTTATTTAAAGTGAACTCATCGCTGGGCTAATTGACCTGCTTTTTAATCCTTACCTATCAACCTTCATTGGTACCACACTAGTGTATACCGTTATTGCGGGTGGGGTTACTATTCCATTTTATTATTTTTTTTAAACTAGGTTATAATTTACCTTTGTACCAAGTTTTATTGAAATACGTTCATCCATTGAGTAACAAACATACAATCGTCTCATTATTCATTTATCATCATACCGTATTTAGTAGGATAAATAATAGCGAGCGAAGTTGCGGGTAACATCTTGTAATAAATTCATTACATATTGTTTTCCTTGTAATACCTATAGATGACATAGGTTATTGTATGTGCTTATACTTAGTTACCCATTATAACTTGTTTTCAGACCATGAGCATGGACTAATCACATGGTTTGTTGGTGCTTGTAATAGTTTCGTCACGCGATCATTTTGTTTGCATTTAAGCGGTTATTTATCGGAATATGGGTTCTTTTCATAGAATAATGTTAAACTTTTTTATTTTACAGGCAGTTTACGTGGATTTTGAGTGCTAACATTGTAAAAGTTACTAATAAATATTTCTTTGATTTTATAATAGTGTTTTCCTTAGTTACACTCATGTGGCACGTATTCGTAATTTATTTTAATAATAGTTGTTCACTACAGTTCCTATATTTGTTAAGAATACTTTTTATTTTATTATTCAAGATGATAGGTATTTATTTTGTTAGCCAATTTTGTATTTAATCAGTTGCTGTTTTTTATAAGTTTTACTCCAGTGGCCATTTGTATCTAAATATTATATTACATATCAAATATTTAAATAGATATGTAAAAAGTTATAATTATCTCTTAAACAATCAGGTAGTACGTGACAGTGGCTAAATTAGAGTGTGTTGACCGTGACTTTTCGCTGGAGCATGATTTCGTGCGTCTGAGCTAGAAACGATATCAAGCATTTAGTAAAATAGATAGGTATTATCATAGTAATTCTGTGATAAAGTCTATACTATTATAACAACTAGGTGTGTCCATAACTTCTTTCGCGTGATCGGAACATTTGTATTGATTGACAGGGATAAAAATGTCTAATATCTATACGTGTATGCCAAATGCATTGACGTATTGTGTATTAACGAAGTACATTACTCAACGGCCAAAAGTATATTTTGTCATGATTATTTTTAATAGTTGCCGCCAGTTTTGTAAAGATGCGAGGTGTTGAATGAAGGTAAAGATACAAATGACAGATTTTATCTCTTTGTACAATTGCTAATAAATTGTACCTACTCGTATGTTAGTTATTATTCAGTATGATATAAAAAATCAATCATGTTATAATAGGTACATAGGGTCATTCGATTAATTAATTATTAATTAATTTATTAATTAGAAATGGACATTTAAATACGATGATCTGAGGAAATGAAGTAGACGAGTATAGTGAATTAGGAATCTTAGAACAAGTTGCTAGATAACAATTCTTATTAATATTGAAAATGTGAAGGTCAGTTTGGGCGATTGTTTATTTCACCCTCTTGGCGTTTTAATAGGTTCAACCAATCATAATAAAATATGACATATACTTATGTAGTATTTGGTGTGGGTAAGAATACACGTAGGCTACTACTATTCCTGTCACACGGGAAAAGCTGCTGGCATAGCTATTTTCTGTATAAAATATACTTTATTATTTAAAATTAACTGACAGGGATCCAATACATCTGTATCTGTTTATTTTGTCTAAATTCTGCTTTTTTATTAAAAGTCTACCAATATATAAAAAATGGTCAAATCAGTATTCATAGTTTAAATCCAATTAACGATTGATCTTGAAAAAACGCAAGGCTCTTTATTAACGTTATCATTTCAATCTTTCATTGTGTAAAAGAAAGGTCAGGACGCGGCAAATTATCTTTGTTGGTGTTATTTTATCTAACCGATCCCTGAAAATTATAAGACGTTGCATAGTTGTTAAATGTACTGAAGAAGAGCCAAGATAGGTACTTTATAGTACCACAATTATTTTATGTTTCTTTTTGTAACTTTTTTTTATTTTATTTTAAATGTACATAGATATTTTTGAGTTATTTAAATGATAAAATTGTACAAGAACCGGGCCGAAAATGGCGATAAATATGTACTTATTTAGTTAGTCACTCACCGTTTACTAGGAAACAGGCTTGCGAGCCTAGTGTTAGTAATCTTTGATAACCAAATTATGTACCCGCATTTTTGTTTGAATAAAGTTTATTATTATTAAAAAAAAATAGAGTATACAGTATTAATTCTTAAAGTGTCAGTCTATAGAGTCAGTAGCTTGGTGCTGTTAAAATAATATAATAAAATTAATATGCTATAAAAACGTTACCGATTTTCGATTATGAAAAGACTTTATGACTCTGCCTGCAATGCTGAATTGGCGTAGAATTTACAATTATAGAGATAGAGGAATAAAAAATTTTCGCATAAAACGTAAATTTGTAGTATAATAGTGAAGCCACAAAACTATGCTCAGTCAAAATAAACAAACAACATCTCGCCCAGTTGATAAAAATATAATCTTCTTATAATTATATTAAATTTCCTGAATCGACCTCTAATTGTATGTGTTCCGATTTTTTTTATTTTAAAAAATCGGATAACCATGTATTAAAATATAAAAAATGAGAACACTTCTCAACTCACACATTCAAAAGAATGGCACACTTTTCAATTTTAATTCGATCGCGTTCTGTGTTATCCGTTAAAAAAATCTTGCACCCTATATTTCTACTTCTCTTACCCTCTGTTTTTCTGATCCTGTCTTTTGTTTTGCTTTTGTTTTGATGTATTCTGTTGTAGTTATATACTGTTATAAATTTTACTAATACCAAAACTGTCAAATAAATTAGGTAAATTTCTACAAGGTCATTTAATTTTTCTCTATAAATTTCTATTCTAGCATCTGACATCACTCGTAACAAATAATTTGGAGTACAATTCAGAACACTTAGACCAACTCACTGGCCCTCACCGAGATTGAACTCGTCCTAGGTATTACGTTGATATGTTACGTTGTAACATTTTTGAGGTGCATTTGGTTTGATATAAATGATATTAGTTATATATACAAGTTATCTTTAACCTTTCCAAGCCATGGTAAGATTTAATGAAAATTAAATTTACTGTTAAACGCCCATTCACAATAAAATATAAATAATAGAGTGTATGTATATGTACATCAAGGAAGCGAACCGGATCTGTTGTAAATTGTAATAAACGAGTCCGTAACTAGCATTTAATGCCCTATGAGAAATATAACATGTCCTGTTAGTATAATAGTTTTTAATACCTTGTATATCTACAGGAAGTGATATTAATTTTCCTCGCAAACGTTATCAAGATTTATGGGCTGTGACAACACGTGCAAGTAAGTGATGTTGAGAAGAACGCATTGATTGATATTTATCATTCGTGTTAGATAGAATTTTATTCGGATAATAACTGATTACGAAAAAGTTTTAGTGATAAGTAGATATGTTTATCGGAAAAGGAATAATGATGTTTAATATAATAAAATATCCAAAATCCAACCATAGTGCCTAGTCATGGAAGTACGCAATTTTCACAAAAGAACATTGGTAGGAGACATTTGAAATACTTTTCTGGTAATGTTTGACACACGGTAAGGGCCATACTTCTTCAGAGTATTTATAGAAATCAAATGTGGCACATGTAATGTTATGCTAGAATCTATGTTTATAAAAAAAGGTTTGCTGCTTTTATATTTAGTGGATCATCAACTTGTTTGCCATTGCCAGTTGTATAGGATGATATAAATAACATCGTCATCATTTCATCCGTTATCTATCCATTGCTGAGCATCATGGAAGTACGCAATTTTCACAAAAGAACATTGGTAGGAGACATTTGAAATACTTTTCTGGTAATGTTTTAAGGGCCATACTTCTTCCAATTTTTTTTTTTTTATACATAGAATGGCAAACAACTGCCTTAAGGAACGCTCTCGTTCCTTAAGACAGTTTACCATTTGGGGTAGTGTGCCAGTAGATGCCACGCTTGGCAGGCGGATGGGCAATCGCATATTGGCGTTGGTGATGTTTTAAGAGGGACGCTGCTGTCCATCCCTTGATTAAGTTTCCTTAGATGCCCCTTACGACATCTACGGGCAAGGAAGCAGTGGCCCATTCTATGCCGTGATCAAACAGCTTATAATTATAAAAATACATAAAGTAACATATAATCTATTAAATATTCCGTATGTCGTTACCTATCCAAGAGCCCATCTCATCGTCTATTCTCATGGTGGAATTCTCATCTCTGAGTTGAGGCAGTGCAACGGCAGAAAACCCAATGGGATGCCCTGCACCCGCAGCCAGTATTAATACAGCACATGTAATTAGAGCCTGCAACAAAACAATAGTAATAAATGTCAAACATTTTCCTGCGGATGAGTTCGGATAAAAGTCGCGGATCTCTGTCCTACTGTGTTTCGATTTGAAGGGATTTTGGATTGAAATTACAGTACAGAGGTATGACAATTTCAACCTTAAAAATGGTAATGCATGAAAGCTATATTGGACGTCAGTGTATTATACCATATTATTTATATATGATATACTAAGGATATCACAGAACATTCGAACACATGAGCCTGATGGCTCATACGTTTCCATCCCTTAGGAATAAGGTGTTATACCTCTTATATAATATCAAAACCAAAACATAGTAAGACAGAGGTATTGCATAGGTATAAGCGGATAACTTTAGGGGGTTCCTCTGATAAAGACTCACTTTTGTGTCAAAACAAAATAAAAATATTATTATTGAAAGAGGTTTTTGTTAACGTTTTTTAGATTTGTCTTATCACTTATATACAAGTGTCATCATCACGTGCGGATTAAAAAAAATAGGTAAAAAAGTGCAAGTCACGGTTTTATTATTCATGAGTGTGACATTGACTGACACTTGTAGGGTTAAGCATTTAAGGACGTATCGATATAGGTACTTATTTAAAAATTTTATAATATAGTATGATCCTGCGGTTTGAGTATAAAGATTTATTAAAAAGTTAAAAAAATAACTTTTTAATAGTTAAATCCGACAGAATTTTACTCTTTTCAGTTATATCATGGAAGAAATGTGTTTCAGTGTTCCGTGTTTCAGTTTTTCAAATTTTATACGACATTGACTTGACATTACCGATGTCGTTTTTTGTTAACAAACTTTTAGTCTATAATTATAGATGCTAAACTACAGGGCCGTAGCTAGACCTATGTTTAAGGAAGGGCAAAAGAACTTTGATAGGGCAGAAGCCATAATTGACTTCTAAAAAGCGGATCTGTCTAATTTTCTCGGGACCTTTCATTTTAAAGGGCGTTGGGCCTTTTAAGGTAGGGCATTGCCTCTCTACCTACCCTAGCTACGGTCATGCTAAATTATTATTACAAAATAAGGTATACTATTACAATACAAGTAAAAAGTGCAAATTATGTATGTAACATCATCACCAACATCTGTGCAAATCTTAAATTTTAAATCTATGCTATATATTTTAAATAGTCTTAACGAATAAAACCACGGTTTGTCATCTCACTTGCAAACATATAAAGTTCCTAAAATATTTGTTATAAATTAATTTTACTATATTAAAAGGATATTAATGTAACGAGAATTTATTTAAAATTTAAATAATTAAATAAATTGAGCTCTTTTCTAGGTATATCCTTATAATCATTTACAATATTTACGCCGTGGACATGTTTTGTCAATATATAATATGTAAATACAAGTCAATGTAAATATAAATTAAGTATTTTGTATTTCAGATGCTAAATGCGACTTATAAATTTATGTATTTATTATTTCTCGCGATGCGTCCCAAGAGCGTGAAATAAGTAACTAAGTAATTATTTAAACCAAAGCTGTTTTAGGTAAGTTATTGCACTCCGTTCAAGTAAAGGTAGAGATAAGTACACATTTTTGACAGTTTGTACAAACAAATCTGTATATGCCTTTTTATAGTTTTTTAGATGTGTAAGAGGCAAAAAATAAATAGTATTAAAACAAAACAATGTTTCATTGTTAGTACTTAATAGGTACATAGGTAGGGATGTGTAGTAAATTGTAGTGTACACGTGCTAAAAATTACTTTTGTTTATTTTATTGCCACTATACGCTGATCACATGCCAAGTAATACGTTTTAATTGGGATCAATTGGTGTTTGGTGTGTCTTCACTTAGCCGCAATATCCGCCTCCAGATAAGTACTAGCAGTTAGTAATTAATTAACTACACTCACTAATTGCAATTTTGAAAGCCTGTAACTAGAGACTTTTTTTTAATTTATTTTTTGTGTCCCTGTTATTTACTAGCGATCCGCCCCAGGTTCGCACGGGTGCACATTACATTACATCACATTAGAAACCTCTAAAATTTTCAGTGTTTCTCTACTATATTATGCATATATTATACATATAAATCTTCTTTTTGAATCATTCTATCTATTAAAAAGAAACCGCATCAAAATCCGTTGCGTAGTTTTAAAGATCTAAGCATACATAGAGACAGACAGACGGGAAGAGACTTTGTTTTATATTATGTAGTGACTATGCTTTTCTAGGTAAAATATATATAAATACTTCCGTATCCAATCTTTATTTTTTACCTACTTAGTGGGCGATAGAGGATACATTAATGGAGAGACTGAAACACGAATCTCCTTTTGCAATATTTGACGAGCTCTGTAACGTTACTTTGCGTAAAATCTGGGTTCAAATCCATAATCAACTGTCAGTCAAGCCAAATTGAAAAATTAATCTTTTTCATTGTTTCATGGTTAGGTGTTTGAGATGGTACCCCTAGATATTGGTGCTCATGGTTTCTCATATAATGGGGGTAAATACTCCATTGTATGAGATATATAGCAAGGACAAATATCCTAGTTTGATCCTAGATCAGTAAATTTTTGTAGCACTTATTTGGTACAAAAAGCAAATATTCATTCCAAAAATATATAATTGCTGGCTATGTTGTGTGACATAAGTAACATCTACTTATTCAAGAAAAGTCTTAAATGATTTTTGATATAAAAAAAATTATATTATGTGACAGATTTTTTGGATGATAATAATACGGGACAAGTTTTCGAGGTACCCCTTCATGTTTTGAGGAAAAGTTTTAGTTTGAACTTAATAATATTTTGTATGCCTATAAGGTCGATAATTGAAGACCACGTTGTATTTTACTACCACATCATATGTATGTATCTATTATTTACAAAACAAATTATTTTTAGATTGATTGATTCAATCTAAAATTACAACTGGTTAAAATATTATACGTGACAGCTAGTTACATAACCGTAATATTACAACCAAACTTTGGACTTTGCCATAATGTCAATTGCCACGTGAAGTCATCATACATTATAATATGGCAAACAGAATTATAAGTAATAACAAGTTTCTGACGTTTTTTATCCTTGAAACGATAAAAGCAAAAGACCGTATTTAATAGTGACTTCTGTAAGTTAGATATGTTATTAAAAATATTTTTTGTAGATTAACATTACTTCCAAAAATATCTACTCGTTTGCTCAAGGTCGAATGATTTTCAAATGGTTAACGTGTACTGAATAAAACAAATTCGCTGTTCGGTCAAAGTCACCTTAATACGTCCCAATGGTAGAATATTTTATTGCATTATTGATACAGTAGATAACTTTACTATAGAATATCCTAAGTGGATTTTCAATACATTTTCATCTGCATGCGTATTTTTATATGATTTATTTTAAATAAAATTGCAGAAACAGTAGACAATGTCAAATTTCACGAAGATTTTAGTAAGATTTCCTGTGGCAGTTACCTTAATAAATCAAATGCTTTAGAAATTTTATTTGTTTTTTTTTTGTATATTATTTTGGAGACTTATTTAATTTTCAAATCAGACAAAAGGCTGTCCGGAAAGTTCGTATAAAAGTGTTCTGGAATGCGGAAATTCTCAATTCGTTTGTTTTTTTTTGTATATTATTTTGCCATCTGTAATGCAGTTCAAAAAAAAATTCTTTCTTGGAAGCCGAAGAGAAACTTTTTTTCTGGAGATGAGTCTTGGTGAATTTGATGTCGAATTAAAATTTTTCAAATGTCAAGACAATGTTGAGACACATATGCCAGTTTTGAATCAACTCAATCATTATATAACTCCCATGCCCCTGCCCACACCTCTCTTGTTTCTACATTAATGATTTGGCCCCGTGTGATTTTATTGTTATAATTGATAAAAAAAGAGACCGCTTTTTTTTGGCACACACTTTGAAGGGGATAAAATTGATTTACCTGAATAATTGTAAAATAAAATTTTTAAAAAACTTTTATACAGTTTGCAGTGTAACTTTGAAGGGGATAAAATTGATTTTTTTTTTTTTAATTTATTGCAAGTTTTGAATAAAATCATTATATTTGTTGACACATTGTTATAATTGAAGATCTTTTTTTTGCAGTGTACAATTTTTTTTTATTTTTCTAATTTAACTATTTTTCAATGTAATTTGTGTATGACATATTTTGTCAATTTTCATAGTTCCTCGTGTATGGTGTTTGCTGAACGTTGTTTTACCACTTATTGCGAAATATAAAAGTCGGATTAAAATAATTGCTGTATGTTTTTTATGCTAAATTATAATAAAATAAAAATAAAAAAAAAATATGAAAAAATAAAAAATAAAATATTTTGGGGTGGGTCACCCTTGTCACTTACGGGTATGAAAAATAGACGTTAGCCGATTCTCAGACCTAACCAAAAGATTTATAGAATTATATAAAGAGAGTTATCTTGTTATTAAAAATATATGAATAATAAATCCTTACTAAATACTTAGTAAGGAATTATTTTGGTACTTTAACCACTCAATACATTGTTATTAAATTTGGCATACACAAGGTATGTGAAGTGTTGATTACTAAATCTATTTGGGATTGAGATGGCGTAGACTATATTTTATCCCAGTCAATCAACATATCATGGTTACATGGATGTAGTCGCGAATAAATACTAGTATCATACAAATAAAAATCTCGTCGTCAAGTGCACGCATATGAGACTAAAAATGTCTAGTTATAATAATATCCGCGTGTTTATAAACAATATTAAAGAATTTATTGTTATTGGCTCATGCTCTGATACTGAAAGAGACTTTGGCAATGTCATTGTTTATTTACGAATTGTATTTTCTCGCTAATGTTCCGTACCCGTGGATCCAAAACTAATCTTATTTTGTAATTGCTAATTTTAGTGTAAGGTAGACAATTATAATAATGATTCCCGTGTGGTCCTGGCATAGTTTTCCTATGTGATCCCGCCATAGAATTGGTTATTCCTTCTTTTCCCGTGGGAGTCGTATGAGGAGACTAACGGAGAGCGAGAGATGGGCAGCAGCGTCTCTCTTAAAACATCTCCAAAACGTAACTGCGGTTGCCAATCTGCCTGCCAAGCATGGCAACTACTGGCAAAACCCTTCAAGGAGGAGACTTATGTTTAACAGTGGACAGTTAAAGGCTGATATAATGATGAATAATAAAACCCACACAATCAGTGCAATCGGCTGGTTTTTAGGATAGGATAATCTGTGTTATGAGAAACAAGGACTATAATAAATAGATAGATAATTTATTTGCATTACTTACAGCACACAAATAAGAAAAAACATAGATGGACATATACAATAAAATGAATGGACACGATACAATTTAGTTTTAAAAGTACGTTTCCTAAATTGATCGGAAATCAACTGACCGACCTACCTCGTTTGCGGAAAGCAATGTGCTTATTGTTGCACTACAGAGGTAATCAATATAAATTATACCTAGATATGTAAAGTTTCTACAAACGTTTGACTCAAATTAACAACTACTTATTAGATAGATATTTGATATATTCTAGGAGATAATCGTTTAAAATAAAAATTGTTTTGAATTTTTGTATATGGAATATATATTATCCCACAGTCGAATGACAGATATACATAGATTATAAATTTTATAAAATGGTAAGTACTTGTAAGCAACTCTATCTATTCATCTGCATAGTTTTCACAGTTACTTAACATTTGCAACTTAAAATAGTCGACCTACATAATTACACGCTTGGATAAAACTATGGCTAAATCAATTTTGTTGAGCTTCAGGAGAGGAGTTCCATGAAATTCGTTTTTTGAAAAAGTTTTTATGTAAGTTAAAAGCTTGTTAAATATTAAATTGACACTAATTTTTATAATTAATTTCGTAAAAAGAAGTACTTTTAACAAGGAAGCTAAAACCATTCGTCACAAAAAACCAAACACCACCTTGAAAATTAGATTAATCTAATATCTAGCATAAAAGAAACTGGCACTAAAAAATTAAGACGAATTGTTATCAGACCGTTTCAATGCCATCCTCCAAATGTCATATCCGTTATGGTTAAATGCTATTTAATTTTACAATTAATATTATAAAGAGGACATTTCAATTTTTGCAAATAAATAAATACAAAAAGGCTACAAACAATAAAGAAAACTTATTCATTTTCACAAGAGGAAAGATTTGAACTATTAAACCGATTTTATTAAAATTTTCATCTCTAGAAGAAAGGTACATTAAATATTTATTAATAACAATAGTTATATATATATATATATATATATATAAACACACACACATAATATATTAAATAATATACTATATATATAAATTTCACTTTAAATTATACTATATATATATATATATATATATATATATATATATTTAAAATAGCTGCGTCTTATATATAATAATAATGTTATACGATTTCAGTTTTGGACATTCAACAGGACAGAACTTTTTTTTATTTGGTTCCAAAACCGATATAGTTTACTACTATAAGTGGTCTATATTAATTTTGTGATGTTTGATTAAAGCCATCGTCATTTTTTACGAAGTAAAAATCTACTTGTTACCATGCAAAATCTACTTGAAACATCATTCCGCGTTCTTAAAACAAATTATTTTAATCTAATGTCGTTATAAAACATCTCGTTGTTTATTGGCCGACACTCCTCGAGGTGACCCCTTCGTGTACTATTTTTCAACAATTTGCGCTAGTCACTACATCGATCGTCAATAAAAAAAATACGTTATTAGTCGTGGATTAATAACGTAATTTTTTTTATTTTAGTAATTAATGGAAAAATAATAATACTAAGGTGAAACCTACAGTTTACACAATTACATAGTATAGTTACATAGATCCATAGCTATTCGATAAATGTTATGTTATTAATATAATAAAACTGTAACTAGACGATGCTATACATAGGATATATTCAAGAAAAAAATAATAATATAAAGTTAATAAGACCTATAGAAAATAAAATTTTTTTTAGAAACTATGTCTTTTTTAAAGTAGTATAGCAAACTGACGGTTTACCTGATAGATAGTAGTAACCGTCGTTTATAGACATGAGCAATACCATGGTCATAACAGAATATACTGTTTCGCCCATTATACTTCCCATGCATTGCCATTCCTGAGAACTCTGTACCCAGTAAATTCACTGCCATATTCCACCCTACAAATTGTCGGTCTTTTTTTTGTGTAAAAACTGCTGCACCATAAATGGTGCGGTTCACTATTGTGTTCTTAAAGGTCTAAATTATAAACTGATGTATGTTTTGATACCCATCTAGAATTGGTATACTTCTATTTAATTAGTTTTTCCACTTTTAAAATCGCGTGAAAAAAAAAGTAGCGGGTAAAACGATAATATTAAATAAAACTTTTACATAGTGATGTCACATCGTTATAATGAACGAGTAAATAAATATGTTAGATGTATCTAATACGACTGGTTTTTGCGATTTAAAGATGTTAAGAGATGACAATGACAAATGACTGTCGAATAAAAAGTGTAGGTAAAGTTTTTATCAATATACGAGGTTTGCACGTATAAAATATATACAATTATTAGGTAAATCAATTTTTTTGCTGTGACATAATGCACTTGTGCACGCCGTTTCCACTGTATGTGTAGGTTTCCCAAAGAGTACCAATTTGGTTTTTGGGAACAAGAAGAAGTCACACGGGGCCAAATCCGGCGAATAGGGGGGGGGTGTTCGGTCACCGTAATGGAAATCAAAAACTCACGGACAACTGGGCAGGGGCACTGGTGAAGAATCCAACGCCCCTCTCGCGCCAATTCTGGACGAACTCGTGCCACACGACTGAGCACATCGACGTAGAATTTTATCAAGATAATCGAAAAAAACATATACCGGGATTTTCTTGATTTTTTTGTTTTTGAAGTTACACCTGCAGAACGCGCTGCTCTTACAATTGTTGTAAACAGATGGCGTGACAAGCTTTTCTGAAGCATTGTTAGGGACATAAAAAAATTACTTTTTAGTCGTATATCGAGTATTATTAACTTTTTGCTCGCTACTTCGTATGTATAGGTTTCTAAAGAAGGAAGTCATTGGAATAAACTACTTCTAGACGGCGTATCAAGATAAAACAAATTTTTCTTAAATGCATCCGAACACATAGTACGATAGACAAAATTTGTAAAAAATATTGTTTTGGTTCTATCGCTCTTTTAAGACCCCTTATGTAAATTTTTCTTAAATGTCTCCCATGTACAGGCATTGTATAGTTAAAACTCTTTTTATATTATTACAGTTAGTAAGATTTAGTATGAATTTCATTAATTGCTTGTAGTTACAAGTTATTTAGGTAGTAGCAGATCCGAAAATTCACTAGAAGTTTATTGGTGTACATTATTAGAAATTTGCAATGCAGTCTTGGTTTTTTTCAGTAAACTGAGAAAAATCTGAATTAATTAGACTGATTTTATTAATGAGCTTATGAAAAAAACCTAGTATTCCTCTACAGCTAAAGATTTATGTTATTCTAGTGAGTTCACGTGGCTTTGTTCGCGTGCATCGATGGGGTCACTTCTCAGGCGCCATTTCTCTAACTCTATCTCAAAATCTAAAAATTCTGTTTCATATCACAGTGAAACCTTTATTTTAAAAACCAATATGAATTAAATTTGTAATAGATTTAAGTCAAAATTATTAAAAAATTACTTTATGATGATTAATAACACATAGTCATTTCGCGAAATGACGAAAATATTATGTTAAGACATACCTAAGTTTAGAGAAATGGCGCTTCCGAATCGACCCCTGTAATTAAAATATTCTACGTGGTATGTTTTTTAAATAAATGGAATGGTAATCCCGCCTACGCTATCGCTATAATAAGTCGTATTTAGGATAAATATGGAGATATTAATTGAGGATGAAAACGCAGGTCAGTTAGCCCATCGTGATGGGAACTGAGCATTGTGGTTTCTAGAGGGAACTGCGAGGAGGTTGATATGACAAGTTATAGTGTGCGAGCAATGGGGCTACTAATCCCCATCACTGACAATCCCTCCTCTCCCCCTACGTGGTATGTTAGTGTTATATATCTGTGTACCAAATTTCATTCAAATCCATTAGCCGTTTAAACGCGATCGAGTAAGAATCATTCAAACATACAAACAACTTTACAAATCTTTTATAATGTTTTATTTATAATGAATGTATGCATTATATATGTATTTTTTATTCTCGGACTTAGCATTCAAATGTTAAACTTAGATTTCTGATTGGTCCCCTATCCACAGAGGAAAAGTGGTTAGGTGACTTAAAATTACGGTATCCTTGGATTTGTCGTGACAGTCAGATAGAATGAGTACCGTCGTATAGCATGGTAAATATGGCAGTTGCAGCCGTTTCACCTTTTTTGACCCGAATTGTAAGAGATTTTGGATGGTATTGTATGATTCTTTATTATTTAAATGGATTTATTTTATTATTGTAATATTATTAAAATTGAATTTATTGTTTTGTGTAAAAAATTAGTGTCCGAGTAATGTTTTCAAATACTTTTATAACTATGAATTTTGTAACAAACGGGAACATCTTAAAGATTTTGGTAAATCATTTGTTTGTAAAATTTACGTAAGTATATAGTTGTTTCTACTTGTGCTAAGATTAGTTCAGATTGCATTAAATATAGTAGTGAATATGGATTCTAATCTGTTTACCTGGTTCAGTACTCCACGGACTGAAGAGTATGTTTCGCCTTTGACGTATGGTGGTAGTGTGGCTGTGGAACTAATGCTGCGAAGAAAGCTCTGAAGAGCTTCATACTCTTCGTCTTTTCTGCTGTCTTTACTTAAGATTTTTGGCTTTTGACCTTCACTGAGCATAGCCTCGTGAGCTCCATCCCTGTTAACAAAAATACAAATCAGTATTAAAATTGAATAAATACGAAGCAATCTGAGGTTTCTTCGAAGTGTGTCGCCATACGCTGGCTCGTATTAGAGATACGTAAATAGGTGTCGTGACTACGAGGTGCTACTGTTTTCTCTTTACTTAAATTAAATTGACAAATTAAATTAAACAAACAATTTAAAACGTATTTATAAAGAAGTTATAAATAATAATATAAATTCTGTACTACTCGTTTACGACTACAGTGAAGAGTTTGGAAATTTGATTTTGATATAGTAAAAACTTTTGATACAGAAAATATTTATTTCTAAAGAATATTTATAATTCTTAAAAATTTTTATTCATTTACTAGGACGTCTCTATATAAAAAATGTATAAAACATTTTGTTCTTATGTACACATAATTATTGGGCGTCATGGCAAAATACTATACTTAAAGCTCGAGATATGGGCAGCAGCGTCCCTTTTAAACATCACCAAACCTTACATGCGGTTGGCAACCCGCCTGCCAAGTGTGGCAACTACTGGCAAAATCTTCCTTATGGGGAAGCCTATATTTAACAGTGGACAGTTAATGACCGATATAATAATAATAATGGAAAAATGCTATGCATGACAGTGCGTTGTGAATCTAAACTGAAGTTAAATAACAAAGGATTGTGACGATTTCAAAAATCTTATTAGCTATAGCCTCTTGTTAGTATAAAAACAGTGTAACATATATGTATTTTTTTCTTCGTATGGCCAGAACAGGCGACCAAAACCGGTTTACAATGTATCAAGGTGAGGTTTGCAAACGCGTGCCATGTACAAATCTCTTGCGAAAATCTACGACACTTTTGATGTTAATTATTTATTATTAGTGATTCAATAAAAATACTTCTATTGATTGAAGTTTTCAATTGGTTGTTGATTCATAAATAATGAACTGATTAAAATTAAATAGGCGTTTAGCCTTGATTTGTTGGTAGGTAGATAATATGAAAATAATCTGTCTAATAGGTAGTTTAATAAAGACTGCGATGTCAAAATAATTATTTTTGAATTTTGTGAATATGTCATCTATCTACTATATATCTTTGTTCAATGGAATGTTAATTTTATGAAAATTCTTATTTAATAAATAGCATTACAGACATTACGTAGCTAATAGTAAATGAATTAGTAGGTATTTTAAAGCGCTTTCAAAAAAAGAAAAGGTATTTAATTGTATTTTTATCTGCATGTCTGTTACACAGCATCTGCGTCAATTCTCAACTAATTTTGAAAATTATTTTTGTAAGCGGCAAGATCTATTTCCGAATTAGTCATATATTTTATTATGATAATAGTTGTTTGTTTTTTTTTTTATGTGGAACAATATCTAAAATTGTAATTGTTTTGTTATTATAAGAATACGAAGCAGGCGGGATTTGAACCCGCATCATTTATCACGTTTTGATCATTTTGAATTGAGTCAATTGGTATCAATGTAAACATATGTCACTCCAGGGATGCATTACGTCGTCCGTCAGTTCATTTCAATGTTCCGCAACGCTTATCTAAACGGCTGAGTGAATTTGAATATTTTGTATGCAAACGCGCTTTTATGTTAGAACCTTGAAGTATATGTTTAATACATTGAATTTGAAAAGGGACTGGTTTAAATAGAGCAACAGCTGAGTTCCTTGATAGACTCCGGAAGACTACGCCCCCTAAAAAAGAGTATAAAGTCACAACAATCACATGGTTATAAAGGCGTTTTAATGCATGTTACAGTAATCGGTAGGTTAAGAATAGCCGTTTATTATCAGGCTAGCTGTTTGCTTGTTGCTTTCATTATTATATTAAATACAGTCTAAGGACAATGTATAGAGCAATAGTAGACTTGTATGAATAAATATACTATTATAACAATTAATATATAAATATGTATACTTATATATTAATCGTCATAATGGTATATTTAACATATACAGCATTGACTTTCAGATGCCCTCTTTTTAAAAACTGTACATTTGCCAATTTTGTTTATTAGAACATATTAGAAAACATTCAGCATAAACTTATAGAAATTTTATATTTTGGTCATTTTTTTCGTTTGTCTTATTTTTATATGTTTCATTGCTCACTTAGTTTCGTTTTTAGCATATTTATTGTCATCATAAAAATATTCTATTAAAAAAATTTATATTGATTGGATATATATATATATATATTAAATTATATTTATATAATATATATTATGTATTTATATATATTATTTATATATATATATATATATATATATATATATATATATATATATATATATATATATATATATATATATATATATATATAATATAAATATTATTATAAATTATTTGAATATATCTAAAGAACAAACAAACGCCCAGATGTAAAAAATAATCACCAAAACATAAAAACATATAATTATAAATAACATATATAAATATAGATTCAAAATGAAAAGATCACATAAAGATAGTAATATCCAGTTGAGATTATCATCCTTATTGAAGTGGGTTAAAAAGACAAATGATTACAAAGTGACCGGGCTTCGCCAATTTATTAATTGAAGCCTGTGAATACTTTTTCATTGAGTTCAGTCGTAATTGATTTCAGTACTAATAACGTAAATATATATGTATAATATATTATTAAATATATAGTAATTGAATATAGTATGTATATATATATATATACATATATATACATATTTAAAGTAGATAACTATGTTTAATTGTAAATTTATAGAATTTTCATTTTTACTCTATTTATTACACTAACTAGCAATAGCACTATTTTTTTCTTCTCTATCTAAAGATTTTTGGAAGAGATTATTTCAGTGACAAACGGCAAGACTAGTTTTTTAATTAATTATATATTTTTCATATAAATAGGTATATATACCTAACATTTATAATACGAATATGTATTGTTTTCAAAATTAATTGATTGAACTGTTATTGTGTTACTGCTAATTGTTACTTTCAATTTTTTTTGAATAGGTTTGAGCTGATGTTTTTCTTATAAGTAATTGTTAAAATAATTGTAATTGTAAAAGTTAGTTTTCTTTTCTTTTATAACATATCTTCTTACTATAGTTTAGGTTTAATTTAGTAACTGTCGTTTTATCTCTTACTTTGATTTATTTAAATTTGAATTTAAATTGGCGAGGACATTGCTTAATATTCCATAAAATAAAGCAGCCATCTATTTGATACCGGGGCTTTTATATAAAACCCGAGTAAACAATTTTGTTTCGGTCACAAAATATTAAAAATGCATTAGCTTCGGAGATAATATTATGCAAACCATAGCTATCGAATAGTAAATACCTGAATATTAAGAATTTTTAGCAGTAGGTATTATATATTTTATACATCTTATATATAAAATTCTCATGTCACGGTGTTTGTTACCAAACTCCTCCGAAACGGCTTTACCGATTTTTATGAAATTTTTTGTGCATATTGGGTAAGTCTGAGAATCGGCCAACATCTATTTTTCATACCCCTCAATGATAAGGGTGACCCTCCCCAAAATTTTTTTTTATTTTTTTAACAAATTTTTCCGTTTTTATTTTATTATGATTTAGCATTGAAAAATATACACAACTTTAAATATTCATCGTTTTACGATCAACCCCTGTCTTTTAATCGCGATTTTTATATTTCGCAATAAGTGGTAAAACAACGTTTACGGGGTCAGCTAGTATTTTATATAATACACTAGATCTGAAAAATGTGGACAATGAATTTTACTTTTAAATCCAAGAACTACAGAATAGTAGGTGTAGCATTGTCTTCGTAAAGTATATTAATAGATCTGTTTTAATTTTAATTATAACAATCAATTCGATAAACGAACTCATTGATTAGACACTGTTTATATCAACGGCGCTTTTGTATATCAACTGCATAATTACCGTATTGAACGGTATATTGACATAAATTTATTCTTGTTAAAGTAACATAATATCATAATTTATTGTTATTTATTAAAAGCTTACTTTATGCAATTATAATGGTAATAAGATTCAGAATTCAAATGCATCAACTTGTAATTAGAGCAAGCTATTTATTGCCTAATTAGATAGATAGATCTATATATAATTTATTTACATTACTTACAGCACTCAAATAACAACAGATATAGATACATACACAAAAAAAGAAATAAAGGAATACATAGTTAATAAAGGGAATATATATATAATATATAAAGTGACATAATGTTTCATTTCGTGAGTTTGCTACAGTAACACAAAATGGTCACAACTCAGTTTATTGCTTTGCTCTCAAAAGAGCAAAATTGTTCTGGTCAAACGCCTAAAAATTATTATTATTACAAAATTATTATAATTGATATTCATTTGTATGACTTTAACATTCCATATTTTTGTATAATTAAACTTTTTTCGATATGAATTAATTGTTGTAGAACAGAGAAAATAAATAGTATCAAATACTGTAAAAAATATCTACAATACCTTTGAACTTTGACGATTTTAAAACTGCGCGAGAAATATATGACGTATCCAAATAATACGACCATTGCATTATAATTAGTTTGACTAAAAATAAAATTTGGTAATTATTCCTGTCGTAACGTCCTATTCTTGGAAGGATGTGGCAGTACTGGCTATTTATATTAAGATTGTCCATATCGCAATATACATTAACCTTTGCTCTAAGGTTTTGATTAATTCTATTCATGACTATTAAGATTAAAATACTAAGGACTAAAATGTCTATGCAATAAGTTTTCGAGAAAATTGGCATGAATAAATAGCCATTGTTAGTCTGTCTGTTTATTACAATATATATATCTTAATACTAAATAAGTGTTTACCACCATAGGAGTATAAAAAAATAAATAAGAAAATATCGACTATTACGCTGATGTTTTCCTAATACAAGACGAAGTGGCAAATATATTGATGGTCTGATGGAAAGTGGTAGGTGGTGACCGTCACCTATAGAAATATGAACAGGAACATAGAATAA